GATGTGATTCAATGAAAGAGGAACTTTAAAAGAAAAGAACATGGCCTTCAATAATTCTTTCCTCTTTCCCTTATCAAACAAATTATTCTCCCTTCATTCATTTTTGAGTTGGATGCCTTCACTTGTATTATTAATGGTTGCTGAATATTACAGCTAATATATATTCCATGATCAAAGTTCTTATGTTTCTTAATAACAAACTTTCTAGTTATTAGAGTTTGGTCCAACTAATAATGATCATTCATGCCAAGAACAAACTCTCTAATCGATTTTCCAGGATCTCAGGTAGAACACTCACCAAAAAAAAGTTAATTAGGCATGATTATTTAAGTGAATATAAAAGGAACTTACGAAATCACTTACCGTATAGTACTCTAATTACGACAGTGTAAAGGGAGAAACAACACTTCATCGACAAATTTGTTACGCACGATACCATGACAAGTAACAACAATACAATGCAACAATCTGTAATTTTCCCTTTTCAGATTCATGATCCTCATCATGCACGAAGAACATTTAACCAATTATTATTATTAGGAGCTACGTTCGTGCAACTAATTAACAAAACATTATTATGTTGGGGTCCGATTTGACATTAAGAAAAAGAAAAGGGTACAGTTTCGAAGGACTAGGGAACAAGCATGCTCATATATATACTATAGATGTAGAAGCAACCCATTCCCTAGGGATGGTTAACACAGGTTAACACACTATATTATGTCGAATGAGACGATGTTTAAATTAACTTAATCAAAACATAAATTTTTTATCTGGTGGGTCTTGTGGTTCTCAGAATGATTCGTGAGAGAAGAATGTTACAAAACAACCTTGCAGTTGCAGTCGAAGCTCCTTAGAACGAGAGCACACGAAAAATTAGCGGAATATATCTTCAACATTTGTATGAAAAAACATGACGATTCAACAAATTTTCTTCCCCGATTATTTACTTTTTCAACTAACAAAAGTGTCATGGGAAACCTTTAAGATGAAGAGCAGACTCTCTAGAGGACATGGATAAACTATAGATCGTCGTCGCAAAGCTTTTGACGAGCGAGACCTGTGACAAGGGTCGTCGATGATTGCTTGTAAAATTGGGAGTACTCTTATTAAAAGCTCGAAACTCATAGTTGGCATATCTAATAGTGAATTCTCCCTATCTATGCTCGACATCGATCGAGACCAATGATGACGCGCTTGAATTGTTGTCATGTTATTTAGAGAGCAGTTTTTGTCTTGTCAGATGAGGTCCCAAGTCTAACTCGTTCTTAGTTGTTCATAATCCATTCAAAAGCTGCTAACTACTTCATTTGTCAAAGACCGTCGAAAATTCAAAAAAATTCAAGAACCCTCATGAGCCTTTGGAATAGAAAACCATCTTCTAATTTCTTATTTCATGTTCTTGCACCATATCGAATGACCTATTTCACTTCAAATAAACTTCGACTTAGTCGGGTGCGATCAGGCACGGCTCGGACCACTACACACCCCTAGACCTATTGGTCCCCTCCCTTCTCCTTCAAAATCTCGTGTTCTCGGTCCATCCATTCACGAATATCAAGGAAAATAATAATAATAAATACCATATATATTATTTTCCGGGGGAAATCACATTTTATATTTTCCTGTTATTATTTGTTAACCTTTGTTTATTTATCATAACTAGCAATTGGGCCCGGCCCGTTGGCCGGGGCGCTGCTGGTGTTATTCATGTACATAAAGTTTATTAACTTAAATTACTACTCAACCATTTTGTCGCTGTCATAAAATTAAACACCAAAATGAACTGCAGTCATCATAAACTCACAAATTCAAGTTGTTATTGTTGTTATAAACACACTCAACTAAGCTGCTATGCTATTGTTATGTACACACAAATTCAAGTTAATTTCAACCTGAAATTCCAATTGTCCATGGAGAAGGATAACCAAAACATGAAAGCTGAAACTATTTAGTATTTACAATGTAAGTCTGAATTTTCTGAAAACCAACCATTTGCAAAGTACTAAAAATACAGTTCATAAAGTGGACCTTAGCTCCAGCAATACTACTCTTCTTTCTTAGTGTAAGAGTCGATCAAATGTTTGATTTTCTTCCTCTTTACGGTGCTCCTTTCAAGACTTGGATTAGTATTGCAGGGTTCCTCAAAGTTTGCAGCAACCAAATTGGTTTACTCTTTGAAACAACTTGATTTCATATACTTTTTGTTCTCTCAAGCTGGATAGGAAACCAAAAGAAGAGTGATTATGGCCCAAATATCCGACCTCTATAAATAACACATAGAAAGCAATATAAGAACCAACAAAAATTAGAGCCAGAATACCATGACAGATTCTTTTTGAATTGATTATGACTATAGCCTAACTCTGAATCAATCAAAACCAAATGCAAATGTTCAACCATATTCAAGAAACCTTAAATTGATTAAATTGGCAAACTCACATTTCACTTTAAGTTCAACCTGGAAGGCTAATATCATACCATAAGCATCTGACTTCACATATTTTAGCTGGTGTTTTTGTTCACATTACCCGTAAGAATGGACATAAGTGATCCATATAATAGACATACAAATCAAGTATCGGATGAGGATTTCCATTACACTTTCGAAGCACATGAGGTCGCATAATAGTACTCCCTTTCACACGAATCAAAAAATTGAACCAAATGCTATATGGATTGCAACTTACCATGATACTTATGAGAAAGTGGCAGATGGGGATAATGATATAGCAACAATGTTTTCTTTTGGATGAAATGAAACTGGAGGGAGAGATTAGGGATCAGAATGAACATCAAAATTCATTGTCATCTTCATCCTAGCCTAGGTGGATAGTACACTTGAAAATCCAACAGAGTTTCTGTGATTCTCACAATACATATATACACAAATTTGAGTTCTAACACGTTAGCCATATATGCCTACAGCCTTTTGAAAATTGAAAAGGAAATTCACAAAGAGATAAATACAAACCTCCAACTTGAACTCCAAGCAAGGAACTCATCCTGACCGAAGTAGTTAGCCAACGACTCCTTGGACATTTGGGGGAAGGTAGGAGAGGGTATCGTATTTCTTCAATCCCAGTGGTGCCACACCTATACCATTTAGGCATTTACCCACCACGTTCAATCAACCAACACATCTAATTAATTCAATAAAATGAAGAGAGAAGAGGGGGGAAATTAAGTGAAGAAGAAAGGAACCTTCATGCACTGCACTCAGCCACCGTTGCTTGCAATGGATGTAATGTGTTGAACTTCTAGGTGGCGGGGAAGGCATTTTAGCAACTTTTAATAGGGATCTGGATGGCGAGCTTTTAACAGGGGATATGGCTTCGGTTAAGCACTATCCAAGATTTGTAGATGATGCTTAGAGAGACAAACAACGACAGAGAGAGAGGAGGGTTATCCTGGATTGTTTGAGTAAAGGACGACGCTGGAGAGAAACTGCTGAGCAGTATAGATGGCAAGTGCGAGAGAGAGGCTGAGGGGTTTCTTGCATGATTTTTTGGCGACAAAACACAAAGGCTGGACGGCGAGAGAAAGGTCTTTCTCAAAGCTCTTCGCATAAAGAACATTGCCGGTGAGAACCCAAATAAACCCCAACCCATTCAAGTCAATTCTACAGAAACCCGGAAGCGGCCGCAGGAGATGAAAAGCTCGAGGAAGTAGTTAAGGACGACTATTGAGATAGAAATGGGGAGTGGGAAAAGAGACAGAAAAACTCCCGCCAATTGAATTTCTTGCAAGAGTTTTCGGTGACAAAATTAAATTCCGGTAGGGATTGGAAGACTGAGTGTTTGGGTAGACTCGAGGAGCTCTGGGCGACAAAATATACAGGCTGGCTTGAGAGGAAGGTCTTTAATTCCGATAGGGATTGGGACAATGAATGTATTGGAATGGCTGCAAGAGCTATGGACGAAGAAACACAAAGGCGGCGAGATGAATGTCTTCGGTTCCGGTAGGGATTGGAAAACGGAATATCTCGGGACGACGACAGAGAAGGGTTCGATTTCCTGTGGGAGATTGGAAGTTACAAATGCGGAAAAGAAAAGGCTTAGTGAGTTGACGGAAAACACCCTCCGCAATGTGCGGTGGTTACGGTAGAGGCTGACGTGGCAAAACCTCTATTTTGACATTGCCTTATAGTATTTTGTAGATAAATACCATTTATATGTGTAACTGATAAAATTCTATTTATACAAAACCCCCTTCCTTACCTTCTTTCTTCTTCTTCTTCTTCTTCAATTTTTCCTTGAAGGGGTTTCTCGATCTTTGATTGTTTATATATAAAGCCTCTGCGTTTTTCATTGCAGTGGATTGTCTCTTTGCTTTCTCCAGAGGCACGAGGAAGAAAGAGAGGGCGAGGGATAGAGAAGGAAGGAGACAGAGTTAAAAGGGAAAAGCTACAAAAGGAATTCTAATGGATGCTTCGATCCATGCCTTCTTCAGTCTCAAAGAAATCTCCTTGGAAACCTGATACCCATGTAAGAAAACTTGCAAACAAACAAATAAGAAAACAGAAATGAAGTTTCTTTCTTTCTTTCTTCCCCATTTGGAATTTCCACACCTGCTTATTGAATTGAATTGAATTCCTGACTCGGTGTTCCAATCTGTTTTCCTTTTCCTGTTCTTGGGTTCGATTCTCTGGTTGTTCTTTGAACAGGTTTCTGGAAATGCAATAATGTGATCTCTCAAAATTCTCGTTAATGGGGGAAGGGGAAGGGCTTTATTGGGGTTTGGATATTGGCATTGTTTATGGAAAAGAATAATGGAAACGTTTTTTGTGGAATTGGAAGGAAGATAGGTTCAATGGGCTGGAGAAGGAAGAAGATATGGTGGGATTCATGTTGGATCTCGTGATGTTTATTTTATTAGTCATTGTGTCTCTTGGATGTTCTTTTAATTTTTAAGAAACCCCCTCTCTGTTTTGCTGCAAAAAAATACCACCCTTGAGTTCTGTGTTGTTCTTCACATCTCTCTTTCACCTTGTTTTCCTAATGGTGTTTTGTTCTCATTTCTCCTCTTCTCAGCTCATTGGGATTGCTTCTTCTGGTGTGGATTTCGATGGTGGTGGCAGGCTAACTGGGACCTTAAAAGCTGTCTTCTTTTATGGGTTGAACTCACACAGGGTAGCAATGGGCAGCTTGAGCGAGGAAGAATTCCGGTTCTTCGATGCTGGTGATGACATTGCATCGAGAATCTCCGATGTAAGTAGTGACATCTCTGATTGCCGGCAGAGTTTGGCTGATAGCAATTCAGCTGCCCCTAGCCCTCGTTATGAATTGTGGGCCGATGCCCCCAAAAGTGTGGAGGAACGGCGAAATATGTTCTTGAAATGGATGGATGTGGAGGGTTCATGCCCATATGGAGATTTTCCCAGTCCAGCGGGAAGCGGGATTGATAGAATGATTGCAAGCAGTGGAGCTGTGTTGAGGAACTCTTGTTACGAAGGCGAGTTTTGCTCGACAAGGTCTTCGAGGCTGAGTTGGTCCTGTGATAGTTCCAGGCTTCTGGAGGAGTTGGGCTCAGCTCACGAGTTTGTAGGTAGAGATGGAAATTCGGGTGGAGGGGTGGCTTCCAATGTAGATGAAAGTCATGAACTTTACTCGCCATATTCAGCAAGTGCTAGGGAATGTAGTAGCAATGCTTCTGGCGCATCATCACCTTCACTTCGACGGCATCAGCCAGGCTGCGGGGGATCTAAGGATAGTAGCACAAGCAGCAACACTACTTCCAAGACAATTAAGAAACGGTGGTTGAGCAGGTTGAGGTCAATGGCATGTGCTGTGGATGGAAGAACACAAGCCGAGAGGTTGAGCCATTCTGCTGATGATTTACTTTTGTATAAGGTACGAAGGGTGAAAGTTAGGCAATCTGGGAAGCAATTGAAGGAGCTCTCTGCACTCTACAGTGGGCAAGATATCCAGGCTCACAGGGGCTCAATCTTGGCGATGAGATTTAGTCCAGATGGGCAGTACCTGGCAAGTGCTGGCGAAGATGGGATTGTGAGAGTATGGCAAGTTCTTGAAGATGATAGATTGAATGAACGTGATATTCCAGAAATAGATCCTTCATGCATCTATTTCACTGTGGATCATTTGTCCGAGTTGAAACCCCTTACTGGTAATCGAGAGAAGATGGCTAAAGTGAGGAGTTTGAGGAAGACATCGGATTCAGCTTGCATCATTTTGCCTCCTAAAGTTTTTAGAATATTGGAGGACCCATTGCACGAGTTTGTTGGTCACAGTGGTGATATCTTGGACTTGTCATGGTCAAATGATAATGTAAGTCCATATTTTTCAAAGTAACAGCATTTCTATGTTTGTCTTTGTTCCGCCAGAATTTGTTATGCAGAATCTCTAAATGAATTAATAGTCTGTTTGTGTTTTGTTGAGCTATGCAGCATTTACTATCAGCTTCAGTTGACAAAACTGTTCGTCTATGGCAAGTAGGATGCAATCGATGCCTCGGTATCTACTCACATAGCAACTATGGTAATGTTTCTTTGCTATCTGTTACTTTCTTTTTCTATATACATTGTCATCATCATCACTTATTTATTGCTTTTTTTTGTTCCAAACTCTTTGTGGTGCAGTTACTTGTGTTCAGTTTAATCCTGGGGATGATAATTACTTCATGAGTGGTTCCATAGATGGGAAAGTTCGGATTTGGGCAATTTCTGGTTGCCAAGTTGTTGACTGGATTGACATTAAAGAAATAGTTACAGCAGCTTGTTATCGTCCAGATGGGCAGGTTCCTTGATTTTCTTTTTCTTGCCCTTTCTGACAATGTAGCCTTTGGCAGAACAGTTTTCTGATTTAAGTTTTTTCATTACGCAGGGATTGATTGTTGGCTCAATGACAGGCACTTGCCGCTTTTATAATAGGACCAGTATGTTCTCAAATCTAATCTGTAATTCCTCCAGAATTTTAGATTCAACTTCTCATGGCTGTATAGAAGTAAGCTATACGTGCATAATTTTTGACCAAGGTTTCTGCTTTTGGATGCCACAGACAATCACTTGCAATTGGATGCACAAGTATGCTTAAACAACAAAAAAAAGCCGCCTGGAAAAAGAATAACTGCCTTCCAGGTAATCATTAGCCATCTTACCAAGTGTATTCTTCGAGCTTAATCTATGTGCATATCCTTCACTAACCATTTACTTGGAATGTATTCTTTCACCCTCAGTATTGCCCACGAGACTCGGACAAAGTAATGGTGACCTGTGCTGATTCACAAGTCAGGATACTGAAAGGGCTCAATGTAATTGCCAAATACAAAGGTATATAGATTTCCATTCCTTACCCAACTCTTCAATCAAATTTTTGATGCCACATATAAAATTTTCCTCCTTTTATCTCTTTTTATAGGCTTGAGGAACACTGCAAATCATGTATCTGCACGGTTTACTTCAGACGGAAAACATATAATATCAGCTTGTGAGGATGCCAATGTTTACATGTGGGATAGTTTTGGCTTAGAGAACTCATTCTGCCCAAATGGTAAAAACATAAAGTCTTTTGAGCGATTCTCTGCTGATGCATCGGTTGCACTGCCTTGGTCTGGTTTAAAGAAGTACTGTAACTCAGAAAATGGGAAACCTCTGCCTTTTTCTTCGCCTGCAAGTTTCAATCTCAATCAAGAGTACTACCTCGAGCCATATCCCAAAGGTTCAGCAACGTGGCCAGAGGAAAAGCTTCCGAGATCAAGCCCTTCTCCAGCCACGCCATTAGCATCGATGCATAAATCACAATACAAGTTTCTGAAAGCTTCATGCCAGAGCGCTGCTGGCTCTCATGCGTGGGCTCTTGTCATTGTGACTGCAGGGTGGGATGGCAAGATTCGATCTTACCACAGTTACGGCCTGCCAGTTCCAACCTGAGATTGTTCTTGGTTTTCATGAGGATCAACCTGATGTTCACTATCTCAGGTGTGAATACCTTATGCTCGACACTCCACTGGGCCCACGTCTGATAAAGGCTGAGGCATGACATGTGGTGGGGGATGGTTGGCTGCAAACATATTCATGCTTGGGAAATGAGCAAGTGTGGCTGTGATAGGCTTGTTTTTGCTTTTGGATGGATACGCAGGTGAAGACTGAAGATTTTTCTCACTTGTCAACTAATGGAAAGATATGCAGGGGCCATGTCTTGAGAAGAGGAGAGGCCAGTATTAGATAGATTCTTCTTCTTTATCCACAATGGAGGCATGTCATGGCCAGCCACTTCCAAAAAAAGGATGAAGGGAATCAAAAACCTGGTGGCTGGAGTTCATTTTAGTGGGGATGGAAATGGTGAGGGGTAGGGAACTTCACACCATTACAACATATATTGGCGGTTCTGCAATGAATGATTGAATTGCTCTTGTCTGCCATTTCCTCCACTCAAGGTAGGGTATATATGCTTCACCTGACCCATGGGGGCATCAATATTGAGACGTCAGCATCTAGTTGTCTGCTCATCCATCCATCCATCCATGGAACTCCAGTAGCAACCTAACCAAGTACCGAGTTTTTGAAGAGTTGATGATCTATGTGTGTGTATATTTTCCTGTTCCCTTTTCTGTTCTTCCTGCTCTTGCTCACAGGATTTTTGTACATGTATTTTTGTCTTCTTAAGCTTATTCTAAAGGATCCCCCTTTCATCATCCTCTTGGATTAGGATTAGCGATATCGATGTCCATCCCGTTTTCTGGAGAAAGTATGAAGAGATGGAATTTACCCTCATGCCTGAACATGTAGTTCTTGTCAGCAGCAGAGGCTTTAAATTGTAAAAGGTTTATCCTTTGGTGTAAATTGTAAATGATTTGGGAAAGGGAAAAAAAGAAAAGAGTTGTGATCACCATTTTGGCTATGTACACTCTTCTCTGTTTGTGGTTGGAGTTTTTTTAACTTGTAAACTACCCTGGGAAAATATCCAGAAACTGGGGCATCAAGTTTCCAGCTTTCTAGTTACTGCTGTAATGTGTAGTTTTGTCATTTACACCAGAATCAGATACTTCATTTTTTTCTCTCCAGAAATGACCTCCTGCAATTTTCTGCTGACAGAGAGTGTCACTAAATTTGCTGTCCCAGATTCCTTTCCAGAAAATAATTAGAGGATGGGCGGTTGTCAGTAAGTATTACTGTTTTTATGACGAATGAGGGTGACTCTCTGTCTAGTGCATACTTTCAACACTATCTCAATTCCCGGAATCTATCAATCCTTCCTCGAGACTCACAGCTGATATGAAAGCAGCGGACTATTAATCCCTATATTTTAATTCTTCATATACTCGAGTAGAATTGTGTTTTAAAGATCTTCTTGCTAAGCTTAGCCAGCTTAGCTCTGCCCATGCGTTTAATCTCTGTCCCTTTTGTTCACCAACATAAACGTAGGTATCGTTTCGCACTTGATTTTCGTGAGGCAGATCCTGTTGTATTTCCCTCATGAATTTCGGGTGCCAACGTTTATGCTGCTGTAAAAAAAGGGATGGAGATTGATGGATGGTCGGAGCTAAGCTGGATGAGCTTAGCAAGAAGGTCTGTAAACACAGGTCTCCTCGAGTATGAAGAGTTTAAAAATATAGGATTGATAATCCGTCGTTTTTCGTATCAGCTGCGACTCTTGAGGAAGGATGATAAATTTATCGTGAAGAGGAATTTGATTAGATGATATGCCCGACGACGACGAGAAGATAACAAATAAGTCATTGGGTTGTATTACTGTAGAATAAAGCCCTTGTACTATGCTAGATAAGAAATGAGACATTTCATTTGAAATTCTCGTCAATTGTCCTTCCACGTTGCAAAATAATGCCGAGTCAGCTAGGGTTGGCACACAATAATGTCCCGCTTACACTTCTTTGTTGCCTCTTCTGAATTTCCTTCATGACCTCATATCAAATTAATTATAAAAAAAAAGAAGACAGTGCCTTTCTCTTCAAAACCAAACTGGACATCGAATCGGATTAACAAGAGGTGCAAAGTTTATCGAATAATTGATTGTTAACTGATATTAAAAGCCGATCATAAATCGGTGCTGCTGGCCTACTTGATGGAGCAAGGAGTGCAATGCTCAATCCGACTTATTGTTTATTGTTTTGCATAATATTCATCTACACATACTATAATACACGAAAGGGAAAAACGGGAGCCCCATTTCAAATTTCCTGCAACGAGAGTGAAAGTAGGAAGGACATTTTGGTCTTCACAATTACATTTTTTTATTCATTAAAAAGACACGTACTGGAATTCGAACCGTGACCATTTTAAAGAAAAACAACGATCATAACCAATCACACTAAGTATATTTGTTGTATCTTTTTAAATTAAAAAATATATAATAGCTGGGAGGAAAAAACTCTTCCCCCATTTCAAATTCCCTGCTCCATGAGCGTTTGTAGGAAGGGTAGAATAAGGAAGTCAATTTTTTTCCTTTTCCTCCGTGGAACGGTCCAACTTACCATACACATGCGGATTTAAACGGGTCCAGGAGTGTCAATTTTTTTCTTTAAGCTCTTTTATTTCTCCATGGTGATAAAATATATATGAAAAGGCAAAAACAATACTCCTTTTTATTGCTAAAAATAAAAAAATTTAACAATAAACTAAGGCATGGTATCTAATGGGCTAACTGCTAACCATAAAATAAAAGAGTTGAATTGGTCTGACCTACACGGGATTTGGCAATCAAGTAAAACAAATGAACATCATTGGTTTGCCATTCTAAAAGCGTTTGTAGGAAGGGTAGAATATGAAGTGTCAATTTTTTCTCTTTCCACTGTGGAACGGGCCACCTTACCGTACACATGCGGATTTAAACGGGTCCAGGAGTGTCAATTTTTTTTCTTTAAGCCCTTTTATTTCTCCATGGTGATAAAATATATATGAAAAGGCAAAAACAATACTTCTTTTTATTGCTAAAAATATAAAATTTAACAATAAACTAATGCATGGTATCTAATGGGCTAACCGCTAACCATAAAATAAAAGAGTTGAATGGGCCTGACCTACACGGGATTTGGCCATCAAGTAAAACAAATGAACATCATTGGCTAAAATATAATGTATTTTAAAGTTATTCAATGGTTCAACCTCGACCAACCCAATTAGTCCAATTTTTATCATTTCAAATATATATTATATAATTATTTGATATCATAATGATCAAATTATAGTGTATTTTACAGGAAATCGTTTGGTATTTGTTAGTAAAAAACTAAACAGAAAGATCTATTTGGTTATTTTAAACATTAAAACGATCATAAACATTTTCAGTTCCTTTTGAATTTCTATGGTTTTATTCCCGAATAAGTGATGTGCAAATGGCGAATTGCAGTCATCTCTTTTCTTTCACTATTTTTTATTTTCAAATAGAAAGTTTACAAGTTAAGAATAATTAGAATTTTGCATGGGTCGATCAAACAGGCTTAATTTCAAGTTTTGACCCGTTTTGATCAAGTCTAATTTATAATCACATGGTTCCCTGATACTCGATAAAAATCTCAATCCAAACCAGTTTGGCAGGTGAGTCCGTGTTACCACCATTTTCTAGGGATACGACAACGGTGGTTCCTATCCCAAATCGTGTTGTTCGTTCTTGATTTTCTTAGATTTTATCATGGCCTGACAAAAACCAGAAAGCACAATGACGACAAGATGAAAGTTTTATAAAGCAAATTAATCGGCCAACGGGACGGGTAAAAGCTAGCAACGATTGTGAGATGCTAATTTTCCGAAAACCTACGTACGAGATAGGCGATTTTTTATTCGATTTTCTGGAATCCGGTTTCTATAAAACTTACTCCACCTCATCATATTACCAGAAACAATATTGTTTCACAAGGTAACAGATACTTGATTTTGGTTCATAAGACCGATTTTTGATTCATTGCATCATTCATGTCTCTTTTCTGCTTAAATTCATTATTTTTATCACGAGTTTTCATAAAAAACTATACAACAATAAGCTATACACCCCATTACATTATCAAATTTCATATCTCACCTTCCTCCGGCCAACTGGCCGGGGCCACGCTAGTTGTTATAAGGACCGATAAAAACAATGTTCAGAATCCTTGATAAAAACAACTCACAGTCACAGGTGAAATAGGAAAAAGAACAATGTTCAGAATCCACAGAATTTGGGTTTTAGGCTTAACAGACAAGACAAGACATGAGTTGAATGAATGATGCCTAACTTGGAACTCATGCGTAATATTATTACTATTTTGGTTGACATTTGGTTACTTAGGATATTCGTGTGTTAATTAATTGTAGAGTCAATTTTAGTTATCGTTTAATAAATTGTATTTAATTATGAAAGTATTAAAGATAGTTTGGTTTTGGTGATAGTTAAATTGATGGATTGTCATCAATGTATGAATACTAATATGCATGTATATAAGAAAATTGGTGTATTATAGTTTACATCGTTTGGTTTTTGTGATAGTTATTATAGTATTTAGACAAGTTATATTACTTTTTGGATGAAATGTCCCTTTTACACTTTGCTTTTAATATAAAAAAGTAACCCACATGAAAAAGGTAGGGACATAGTTAAAAGAAAAAATGACCCAACAATCTCAAGTCTCAACAAAACAATCTCACAAAAAACTTGAGATTTAACTATCATTTATTCATTTATTTTGAGTGATAGTTTGTGTCAAATCAAACAAACAATTCATGTGCAAAAAATTCAAAAAAACAATGCATTGTGAACAATACGTAACTATTCCCACCAAACAATCATCAAAACTAAGGGGTCGTTTGGAAGTTGTGATTGTTAAATTTATGTATTGTTGAGAATGCATGTATAATATTATACATGTAGGGGTCGTTTGGAAGTTGCGATAGTTTTATTGAGATTGTCATTATGCATGTATTGTTTACAATGCATCGTTTTTTTGTTTTTTTAGCAGAAACAATACATGAATTGTTTTTGTGATGTGGCAGAAACTATCACTCATTTTGAGTGATTGTTATATCTCAACTTTTAGTTGTGATTGTTGAGATAGTTGAGTTGAGATTGTTTTGTCTCAGCTTTTAGCTCATGCGACATACACAATCACACATACGAAACGTTGTATTCTACAATGCATCAAATTCGATATTACTGTATTGTTGAGAATGCATGTATAATATTATACATGTATTGTCAAATTTGATGCATTGTAGAATACAACGTTTGGTATGTGTGATTGTGTATGTCCCATAAGCTAAAAGCTGAGACAAAACAATCTCAACTCAACTATCTCAACAATCACAACTAAAAGTTGAGATATAACAATCACTCAAAATGAGTGATAGTTTCTGCCACATCACAAAAACAATTCATGTATTGTTTCTGCTAAAAAAACAAAAAAACGATGCATTGTAAACAATACATGCATAATGACAATCTCAACAAAACTATCGCAACTTCCAAATGACCCCTAAGAGTAAGTTACTATAACTCCTTGTGATTGATACCATCACATAAAATCTCCCTCCATAATAATAACTCCTTCCTTCCCCAAACTTGATTTTTTCCGGTGCATTCTTAGCTTCTCCTTTCTCCAGACTCTTCTTCCTCCTTCCAGCTAGGGCTGGGCATGCGGGCGGATCATCCGCGGGTTTGGGCCGACCCACCCGCATTTGACCCGAATTTCGTTAAGTGGGTGGGTCTGTGGGTGGGTGACGGGTTGCGCTGGGAGCCATCCGTCGGGTGGTGGGTGGGTTGTGGGTGAGTGTGCGGGTGACCCGCTCAACCCAACAGCAAAAAAATCAAAGTCGTTGGCGCTAGAGAGAGGAGAGTGGAGACGTTAGATATAAACTCGGACTGCTCCTGGAGTTTGAACCTCAAAGCCAACCTTCCAAATAGAGATCCCCTCTTCTTCCCTTTACTTTTTCCTCTAATTCTTGTGTCTAGATCACCGTTCTTTCCTTTGTGGAATTATTTTTCTTAGTTCCTTGCACCTAATAATCGTCTCAATCTGTAGAAAACTCTTTCATAATAGAATTTTTGTCCAATTTAATAACTAATTCGACATTTTTCGCCCTATTTCAACTTCTGGTTTCCCTCGATGATTCTCTTCACCTATTATCATGTCAAGTTGACTCCTTTATATTATATGCATTGTGATGTGGGTGAACCCACAAACCCACCCGCATCATCCACCATCCGCCCGACCCAACCCGAGACTAAATGTGGGTGGGTGGTGGGTTAAAAATTATCAATCCGTTTAAGCGCGGGTGGGTGCATTTTATGGTCAAAATCCACCCGACCCACCCAATGCCCACCCCTACTTCCAGCTATCTCTCCTCCTTTCTCATTTCCAGATTTTCCCATTCTCATTGCATTGTTGTTCAAACTCATTCGGCTAAATTACACGTTTGGTCACTCAAATTATACAAATCTTTCACGTTTGCCACCCGAATTACTTTTTTTCTTATTCGCCACTAACTTTACGAATCATTTCACGGTTGGTCACCGGCCGTTACACTCCGTTAAGTTTGTCCTACGTGGCAGTCAACTATAAAGTTTGACTGTTAACTAGATGACGTGGAAATTAAAAAAAATAAAAATAAAATAATTTTTTCTTTCCACCTCATCATTGCACTTATTTTGTCTATATAATTTATCATATTAATAATTTAATAAAATGGCCAATTCAAACCCAAAAACACCCAATTCAGAATTTAACGAGAATGTCGCCGACGGTGAAGTTGTGCTTGTCGGTCCAGGCGCCGTAGTTGACCTGCATCGTCCATCCGTTCTCGTCTCCGACGGTGAAGATCTCAGCAGCTGTTGCGACGATGAAAGCGTTGAGGAGGAAGAAGAAGGAAAGGGTGAGCAAGAGGCAGCTCGGAAATCCGATCAACGCCGTCATGTTCGCCGGCCGGAGATTGACAGCAGGGAAACGAAGAAGGAGGAGGAGGAGGAGAAATTAATTCACTAATGAGATAGATTGTGCGTGTTGGTTGTTGAAGTCAGCATCGCAATCGCCGCACAAAACCAGTCTGGTGATTGATTTGGTCCATTTGCAAGAATGGTAAGTGTATTTGCAGCGGAGGTAAAGAAGGCAAGTCCAAACGTTCGATTCAAACGACTACAAAGGGAGCGGTGTATTTAAAGGTTTCGGAATGGAGATTGAAGGCAGACTTTTAGCGAGCAAGGTTTGAGCGATATAATTGAGAGAAGAATTGTAAAGCTCTTAGCGAGTAAAAGTCAGCACAGAGCTGTGATAGGAGGTTCTGGGTAAGGATTGGGGTTTCGGGGAAACCAGTAATCGATCGGCTGGGTAGCTGATAGGAAAGAACTGTCGATCAAGCGGGGAGCTGATCGATTGGGTTGAATCTTCATTGTAATTGCCGAGCTTCATCGAAAATATTCTAGTGAAACGTCTGAGAACACAAGAAGTGATTCTCAGACCGTGGAATAGTCGACGTTGGGATCGTTAATCTCCCGACGTCGGAAACCACGTAAAAACTGGTGTGTTTTGAGTTGTGCTATTCACTCTGTTCTTATCGTGTTCTTGGTTCTGGGTTTCTGGCCTTGAAGTCAAACAGCAGGGTGCTGTGCTGAATCGAAAACGAAAGGAAAAGGACGGGTGAGACGTGTTATCAAAACGGTGAGCTTCAGGTAAGCGAAATCAAGTTTTGGTTTAAGCTAATTTCAATTACTTAGGCGTGCAGGTGAAAGTTTAAGTTAAGTAGAAGCAATAGTGGGCTTTGAGCCCAATTCCTTGTATACGCAAGTCTGCCTAGCCAAAACGCAAACCAGAGAGTGATTCTCTTGTACATCGATTGAACTCCTCTTCTGGCCAAGCTTTTGTCCTCTGTTCGCGACGATTGAGATAACGAGAGGTCTCCTCAGTCTGAATCAGCAAAACAAAAGAAAAAGTGTCCATTGATCTCGCGCTCGACGTCTTCTACATTGGCTAGAAATATATACGCGCAACAAGATTAAGAGCCGGAATTGGTCACTAAATGGATGATAGCTAGATGGGTTAAAGGAAAGATGACGATGAACAGAAGGACGACGAGGCGGAGAGGACCGAGTCCTTCCATGGACAGCGGAAGGCTGGGGACGGCTTTGAGTTCCAATTGTATTGTTAGTTGTTTGTTACCAATGAGGCGATATTTCTAGCCAACACGCACAATCAATCTCATTAGTGAATTAATTTCTCCTCCTCCTCCTTCTTCTTCGTTTCCCTGCTGTCAATCTCCGGCCGGCGAACATGACGGCGTTGATCGGATTTCCGAGCTGCCTCTTGCTCACCCTTTCCTTCTTCTTCCTCCTCAACGCTTTCATCGTCGCAACAGCTGCTGAGATCTTCACCGTCGGAGACGAGAACGGATGGACGATGCAGGTCAACTACGGCGCCTGGACCGACAAGCACAACTTCACCGTCGGCGACATTCTCGGTAACTTAATTCATATTAATAATTAAATATTAATAATTTTATTAAATTATTAATATGATAAATTATATAGACAAAATAAGTGCAATGATGAGGTGGAAAGAAAAATTTATTTTTTTTTTATTTTTTTTAATTTCCACGTCATCTAGTTAACAGTCAAACTTTATAGTTGACTGCCACGTAGGACAAACTTAACGGAGTGTAACGGCCGGTGACCAACCGTGAAACGATTCGTAAAGTTAGTGGCGAATAAGAAAGAAAAGTAATTCGGGTGGCAAACGTGAAAGATTTGTATAATTTGAGTGACTAAACGTGTAATTTAGCCAACTCATTCCATAAAGAAGTTGAACAAGGTAAGGATTTGTCCGGCGGTTTGAACGAAAATTTTAAAATGAACACTCCAGTAATTTGTGGATTAAATTTAGAACGATGTTTAGCATTTGCATTGTTGTTTATCCCATCGGCATTGTACGTTTCAACTCGTTACAAATGGAGGGACTATTGGATGTCTTCTAATAACAAGTCTAAACTATCCCTCTATATATCCGAACGGTCGAACCAAGGGAAAAGAAACGAGCCTACGTGGCCAGGAATGCGCGCAGTCACTGGCGTCGCGTAGCATCTTCTGAGTGGATAACGAATCAAACCCAACTGGAAGAAGAATGGACAGCGAGCTATCGGTTGAGCAGCTTTCAGAGATAAGCTCTCACCACACTTTAAAACCTTCTAACAAATGGCGACTCTTTCTCTTTCGCTTCCAATGTCTCGCACAACAGCGGAATCGTCTCTTCGTCTTCAGTTGTTCCCTAAAAGGCAGCTCCTTGCACTTCATCACCACCCTCGCGCCAAATTCACTTGCTGCTCGTCTTCTTCTGGTACGTACGGTCGTACCCAAGAATTCTCACCGTCTCTGACAATCATCGATTTGTGAGAATCAAATTAAAAAAAAAAAGATTTGATCTTTGCAGGGAATAATGGAGTGGGTTCGAGATCGGGAGAAAGCCCAAGGCTTTTTGGGTTGAAACAAGTGAATTGTGTGGCTTGTGGGATTCTTGCTGCTCTGGCTGTCACCGCTGGTGTTGCCTCTCCTGTAATTGCTGCGAATCAGGTTGCTTCTCTAATTCCCAGCTCTGAACCATATATTGGCCCTTGTCCTTGTTAGTCTTGCTGATTTATTTAGCGATTAAGCCCCTAGTTTGTGGTTAAATGTATCAATGAGTTTGGAACCTGGGGTAAAAGCTCTGGTAGACGAATTCAGTGGGTTTACTTACTGCATTTGGAAACTGGATTCAGTTGATGCTGCAGCTCTAGGGTTTTTGTTTGATTGGTGTTGCTGATTTACCGATTTCGCTTTGACGAGAGATGGGTAGAAGAGTAAGGATTGAGTGGTTGTTGAATTGAGGAAAAAGGAATGGTTGGGAACTCCTAAGCTATGATGTTGTCAAAAGGGGATGGATTACAACTTACAACCTTCCCTCCAGTCCTAACGCTTCCCTTAAGTTAATTTCTGCCAGTAGTCCTACAATGTATTTATTTGAATCCTTTTGAGTCTATCTTTATGAGGCCGGGTTTGCTTGTATTGCTAGTGATCCTGCTCTCGTAGTTTCACACCATCACTGCAATGCGTTGTTTGTAATGTGTTATGCAGAGGCTACCTCCACTGTCGACAGAACCCAACAGATGCGAGAAGGCGTACGTTGGGAACACGATTGGTCAAGCAAACGGTGTTTATGACAAGCCGATCGATCTTAGGTTCTGTGATTACAGTAACGACAAGTCCAATCTTAAGGGGAAGTCACTTGCTGCAGCCCTAATGTCGGATGCTAAGTTTGATGGTGCCGACATGACAGAAGTGGTCATGTCCAAGGCTTATGCTGTTGGAGCTAGTTTCCAAGGTAAAAACTTTCTGCATTTTGTTTATGAAGGTGATGTCAAATTTTATTAAGCAGAAAAACACAAGAGTTGCAGAAAAACCAGCAACAAAATGCAAGCAGAACCCTCCAAAAGCGGCAGTTGCAAAAAAAAAAAAAAAAAAAAAAAAGAAGAAAAAAATTCTGCATTTATCCTTTAGAGTTATGGTAGTGTGATCTTGGCAAGTGATTCTGTTGCTGCATTGTAGTGATAAATAGTGAATTATATGTGAGCACAAGGTTGTGACTATGTGAATGTGATTGCTTCATTTTTGCAGGTGTGGACTTCTCGAACGCTGTTCTGGACCGTGTGAACTTTGGTAAGGCCAACCTGAAAGGAGCTGTGTTCAGGAACACGGTGCTATCGGGTTCCACGTTCGAGGAAGCTGAACTGGGCGACGTTGTGTTTGAGGACACCATCATAGGTTACATTGACTTGCAGAAACTCTGTAGGAACACGTCGATTACCCCTGATGGAAGGCTTGAATTGGGATGTCGATGAAACTTGCTCGTTTTCTACACTCTCAACACTGTTTTGTTGTACCTATTTATTCAAGAGTAAATGTGAGTTCCTCAATTCAGGCGGAGGCAACAATAGTACATCTATGGTATATGAAAGTCATTGATTCATTTGAATACAGGGACATGAAACTGGGTTTGTACAGGTTATTTAGCTAGATGCAGACCACATTAACATCAAGGCGCATCTAGTGTAGTGGTATCATAGTACCCTCCCACGGTACTGACCGGGGTTCGATTCCCCGGATGCGCAGTCGATTTTTTATCATTCCAGATGCGATTTTACATTAGTATCGATTTTACATTAAAATTTGTTTGCTTGATTTGTACCGTACTATCAGGAGCGGATGCATGTTATTCAGACTTTTCAAAAACCACTTGGTTCCGAAACAAACAAGGAACTGATCAAGCTTGCTGCAATTCTGCAGTACATCATCGATCTCGGCAGGCAAATGAAGTGTGCCGTTGCCTGTTAGTGTGGTTGCATCATATATAACTCTTTTGTCCTTTGATTGAATCAAAATTATATAGATGGGTATATGTAGTGGCTAAGATGTTAAATTACTATTTACAAAACGAGTAACCACAAAGGAATGAGGGATCATTGAGAAAACCACCATATATGTGGACTTGAGGTGTGAATATAATGTGATTAACAAATGAGACATTCAGAAAGGAAAAGCTTTCGGTCACAGAAAGCTGTAAACAATGTCGAGAACCAGTTGGTCCGTAATGAATCTCATATGTAGACTTTACTAGAGTAAATAATAATAAGGGGCTACTGTGAAGGGTAAATGGTACACTTAGATATTCAGTTTTCCTTCTAAACTATCTACATGGGGTGAAAATGAGATTTCTCAGCAGCAACAATGCAAAACAGGTTGCTATGAGACCAGTAGAATACATTTTGGGGGGAGAAAATAAAACAAGGTACAACAATCAAAGATGAAAGATTCGTCATAAATCCAGCTAATTGTCCAAGTCTTCAAACCACAATAAATCGTCACACACTCCTGAAACAAAAAAAAAAAAAAAAAAGCCAAATTATGCATACAAATAACAAACGTTAACTAATAACCATAGAAGGCATTGAACGTACGATACAGATTTCGAGTCATGAAAATAAATTAGATTTTTCAAATTTTATCATTAATAATAACCATAATTTGAGAAGATATTCATTCGTAATTGGGTAGAAATGATAACTAGCGACTTTAGAATATCTTTGATCAAAAGTGGGAGAGTTTTTGTGATTTTATGGAATTCATAATAGGGAAAATCATATGTATTGAAAAATTGAAAAATCGTATTAATTGTTCGATCATAAAAATCTCCTATCATAAGCTAAATCAGTAGACATATTTAATGGTATTAAATGGCTGAATCGTGATTAAACCATGATTTTAACATAAAATATTTTATCACTGAGTTTTCTAGTACAAACTCCTCTATGGTTTTACAATGTGTAGTAATTAGATTTGTTGGTTTGAGGTTAAATAATTGGATGAATGATGAATCATTTTAAAACTTAAAGAGAAACAAAAAAAAAAAGGAAGAGGATGGTTCAGCTTCAGCACCTGAAGACAGGCCCATTATTCCGCGGGCCCGCGAGGCCCATCCAACCATCAAAATTGACCGCCACGTGGGTAAAATTTACCATTACGCACACCAACCGCCGTCAAAAGAGAAATCGTCATATTCACCATTTCCCGGGATCTCCACCGGGATATTACTCCACTCTTTTCTCCGGCCGCCGCGGCCTTTTTCCCCCTTTCAATCCGAATCTCTGATTCCTCAACCTTTTCCACTTCTCTGTTCTCCCTCCGTCTATTCCTCTAATTTCCCCCCTTTCTCGGCCAATCAATTAGGGTTAGGATTTCTTTCCAACATGGCAGATTGGGAGCCATTACTGCAATCCATCATCCTCGCCCTCATCTTCTCCTACCTCGTCGCGAAGCTCATCTCCATCGTCGTCTCCTTCAGAGACGACAACCTCACGATTACGCGCAACCCCGCTCCGGCTTCATCCAGCCGGCCCTACCAGCAGCTGAAATCACGCGATGGAGCTCATGGCTCTGGGGATTTCCCCGGCGGTGGTTTTAACGAGACCGATTCGATCGCTGCCGAGCTTGGCAGCGTCAGGAACGAGAGCGTGGCGGGAATCGGTGACGACTACGACGGCGTGGATACCGATGACGACGACGACGACGAAGACTGGGAAGGCGTGGAGAGCACCGAGTTGGACGAGACGTTCAGCGCGGCGACGGCGTTCGTTGCGGCGGCGGCCTCGGACCGGCTGTCGCAGAGGGTGTCGACGGATGTGCAGTTGCAGCTTTATGGGCTGTATAAGATCGCCACTGAAGGGCCTTGCACTGTGCCGCCCCCTTCTGCTCTCAAGATGACTGCTCGCGCCAAGTGGTATTCGTCAAGTTCCCGTCTTTGAACTTAAGTTTCCTTTTTTAGTTCCTCTTTCTTTAGTTAAAACTGCTTTGAGTTGACGCTGAAGATCGTTTAGGCTATTGGATTGGGGGGAAATAAGTTCATGGCCTGGCGTAGCTTGAGATGATTGAGTGAAGGGAACTGTTCTTTTGAATGTTGTTGAATGTTTCCTGCTGCAATAAGGAATGATGCTAACCATCTCTGACTAAAATCAGTTGATTAGCAGACATCCTATGCTTGTTTCGGTCTCGTTTTTTAGATGCTCTTAGTGATTGATGTTGGTAATTCTTAACAGGGGAGCATGGCAGAAATTGGGTTCTATGCCGACAGAAGAGGCTATGGAAAAATACATTGACATTGTTTCACAGCTTTATCCTACTTGGTGTTCTGGTTCATCTGGGGTATAAGGAATCAGCCTTCTCTGGTACTTTTTGTTTCTTTGTTTCTATGTACCTGGCTAAATGCTAGTTTGTTTCTCTCTTGAATGCGTTGGTGGCCAGAAAACTAGGGTTGGAGATCGAGATGGACATAGTTCTGATTCCAGAGGACCCATGGGACCAGTTTTCAGTACCTTCGTTTATGAGGAGGAATCTGGGAATGAGCTGTAAGTTTTCTGATTCTTTATATAATTAAGGTCAAGTTTGAATTTCCTGAAACTTCAAATCTTTGTATAACAGTTTCTAAGAGGACCTCTATGGTAGTCTTTGTGACCTTTGATCTAGTTGAAGTATCTAGTTATGTACATTGTTCTGCATAATAAGCTAATAATAAAATTTCCGTAATTCCTTGGAGTAAGCAGAAGTTTGCCAACATTTCATATCTCTAGCTATGCTGTCTTGTTAGCAGACCAGTGTGCGAGAGTAAGACTACTCTTTTTATAATTATGAATATGCAAGATAACTTAGCCATTGCATGTAAGGGCACCATTAGCATTGAAAAAGATATAGTAAAGGAAATTACAGAAGCTGCAAGATATGACATGGTATTGAACAGTTGTGGATGCAAAACATATATTACTTCAGAAGTTTTGACTTCTTTCTCTTGTCTCAGAAAAATGGATGCTGTCCATGCATATGCCAGAGAAGGAGATGCAGATAACTTGTTGAAATCTATTAACGATGACGTTTCTGTCAACTCGAAAGGTTCACTTCTGTCTGTGTTTTCTACTTCATCTTTCGTACAATCAGATGACACCTAGTGTTGTCTATTATGTAAACATGGACATCAAAGTTACATCTATATTGCTGAGAATCTTTAGTCAACTACTAAATGACCATTGAATGAGTTGACAGTATTTCCCACAATGTTGTTGGAGAATCTTACGTTAACTGTGCATGGTGATCGATTCAGATAGCGAGGGGCGGACTCCTTTGCACTGGGCTGTGGATCGCGGTCACCTCAATATTGTGGAACTCCTTGCTGGACGAAATGCTGATATAAATGCAAAGGTAAGTCAATTTCTTGTTCTGACCTCTACACTCTTTCAACTCTTTGATCATATATCCAAGAATTCTGGTGTTCTATCTGAATTATTTGTTCTGCAACAAAAGACAGAGATCATGTTTCTTCTTATGTCGGCAGCTGCTGACTATCGTTATTTTTTGGGTTTGATAGGACAACGAAGGGCAAACTGCACTGCATTACGCTGCTGTCTGCGAGAGGGAAGGTATCGCTGAATTTCTAGTGAAGCAAAATGCCAATATCAATGTGAAGGATAACGACGGCAAGTCTGCTAGGGATTTGTGTGAGTCGAACTGGTCTTGTCTCCAGACAGCCGGAGCACAACAGAACGACTAACTAATGGTAGTTTCATTCTAGCCAATCTTCCGTTATGCATATAGACAGCCTTTGAAACTTTAGCCATGTTGGGGCATCGTTGTGTCCTGGAAAACAGAATGACAGAAATGTTTGTAAGAAAACAAGATCAAGACTGGGGTGGTGGTCTGGTGGAGTGAACCGTTCCATCTTCCTTTCGATTTTGGTTGTGAACTTTTGACTTGTTGATATGAAACGATTTTGTCATTTGGCACGTTCAGCAGCCAAATATAGAAGCGCAAGTTGGGTTGCGACAATGGAGTTGATCGTTTCATTCCGTTTCATGCTTATAGATAGTTGCATTGCAGGTTCTGTTCATGTGCCCTGCTCCAGTGTGTTTGTTGGTTGTACATCTTTGTGGCATTAGTTTGAATCGAAACCCAATATCGCACCGAACCGAATTTGGGGTTTTAGGACCCATTTCAAACAGGGTCCAATTGTCCAAACTTGCAAACCCCTAGAGAGAAATTGTTCTTTTTTGTTGTTGTTGAAAGACGGATGTCAAGCATCCTAATTCATAGAAACAAAACGATCCTGGAATCAAGGTTCATATGAATCGTAGGAGAGCCCATAACATCGTAGGAGAGCCACGAACACAGTTTCGGGTTGCTCACATCGATAGAATGGTTGTAGTCTTATCTTATGACCCGTATACAATTTTCATAGCTCCACAATGAGCGAATACATCTTCACGTGTTCATCGTTTTAAGCCCCCAATAGAAAAACCTTACATATCTTTAATTAACGTACGGTCCATCTTAATCGAGAATCATATCCACCCTCTACTAATCGACCATGACTCCTCCATATTGAAAACCGATGATCCATCGTGTCGAGACCGGTCTCCATCCCAACCAAAATGCAATCTTTACCACCCCATACTAAAAATTCAACTATTTTTTTCCCAAAGGGAAAAAAAATGACCAATAAATATAGAAAACCAAAATCAAGAAAGCTATTTTTGGCTTGTTTCACTTCCAGCCGTTAATACCAAAAAATAACCTCCAATTTTCCCCTGCCTCCCAACCATCTCTCACGAAGGGCACAAAAGCAGAGCAATGGCGGAGGCAATTAGATCCCCTCCTCCCCTTCCTCTCCATTCCCCACATTCCAACATTTCCATCGCCGCCGGTCTCCGATCACCAGGTGCTGGAAAATGGCAAGGGCGGTAGTAATTATCTTCTACGCCCTTCTAATTACTGGCGCCGTCGCTCTCCTCTGTTCCTCCATCCCGCCGCGGCACCCGGCGACGGCGGGGGCAGGGGTCCACCGCCGCCTCGGGTACAAGCTGCCGGCCCTCAATTTCGACCCGCTCGTGGAGAAGATGCAGCGCGCGGCGGAGTCGTCGGACGAGGAGGAGCAGCAGCGGCCGTCGGCGAATCAGGAGTACTTCGGGGAGGAAGGGAGGTTCAACATAACGAAGAGGCTGATGCGGCTGTTCCCGTCGCTGGACAAGTCGCCGGCCGACGGCAAGATCAGCTTCTCGGAGATGGAGAATTGGAACGTGGCGCAGGGCGCCGATCGGCTGGCGTACCGGACGCAGAAGGAGTTGCTGTCCCGTGATCGGGACGACGACGGCGCCGTCAGCTTCCACGAGAACTTCCCCCAATTTTCCACATTGGACCTAGGTACCGTTACTTTCTGACGCGTCGCGACGTGAATAATCACCAAATGACGTGAATTAGCAAAAAAAATGTTTCGCAATTCGTTAATGTGAATTAACGTAAATAATCACCAAATGACGTGAATGTGTTAATGTGTAGCGAAAAATGAGATGGGTCACGGTCAAGCCGGATGGTGGATGGAGTTGTTCAAACTTGCAGATGTGAACGGAAATGGAAACCTCGACTTCCATGAATTTAACAAGTAAGCTAGCTACAAGATTTTTTAATTTTTTTTTCACGACAAAGATGAATTAATTAACATTTCTCGGTGGGAAAAAAAAAGTATTAATGAATGTTTCATCTTATATATACAGCTTCTTGCATCCAGAGGACAGCCATGACAGAAAGATTAAGATATGGTTGATCAAGGACAAGATTAAGTAAGTATATTAATTATTAATCAATTCCGCATTAATTCTATTGGTTTTTTTTTGTGATCTCTTTGATCTAATGATATTTGATTAGATCATGTTGGGTAATTAATTGAATGGAATTTTTCCGGAACAGGCAGATGGATGGTGATGGCGACGAAAGGCTCAATTTCGACGAGTTTGTGAAACATGCTTACGACGTTTACAAGACTTATGTTGATTTTGAGAAGACCAGAGTCCCTACTGCTGAAGAAAAGTTTGCGGACCTTGATGTCGACCATGACAAGTACGTAAAAAAAAAATTATTTCCGAAAAATCATTCACATTTTGATCGTCGTGGTTCGTATTAAATTCGACAAAGGATGTAAAAAATTCGATTTTGTGATCCATTGGATCAGGTTCTTGACTGTGGAGGAACTGCTGCCCATACTTCCCTACCTGAAGCCTGGAGAGCTGACTTATGCCAAATTCTACACCCATTATTTGATCGATGCGGTAATTAATTAAACATTACAATTGAATTAATTGGTTCAATTTATTATTTCAATGTGTATGATAATTATCAAACTAATAATTTATAATTAACCTTTGTTTCTTAATTAATTGTGGGGTTAATTGGCAGGCTGATGAGGATGGAGATGGTCATTTGAGCTTGCAAGAAATGATTGACCATGAAACTATATTTTACACCACCATTTATGATAATGTTTATGAGGGTGATTATCATGATGAACTCTAAAAATTCAAAATTAATTTCGTTCTGTTCAATCTCTCTCTCTCCCCCCCTTTGTGTAAAACTTCTTACTTTGTAACACAGTTTTGGGTTAGAGGGTACATTATTCCTTGTGTATCTTTAGGGTATAATCCAAATTTGTTAAATGCATTGTGTCTTTCCTATCTATCGTCGCGCTTACAGAAGTCAGTAATCCAAACATATATCGTACTTTAGAGATGCGGGAAGTATGAACCTACACATATAAGGATATAAACAAGGGTTACATAAACACGAATAACTTTTCCAATCAATACTTTCAAATGTAGGTTGTACATGGAAAAATCTGTATACAGAAACGATCGATCTCAATCGATCGTAGTGTCATGGACCTCTTGCACATGTTTTTGGTTAATCTCTAAACTATATAATATCCACTGTACAGCCATAGCTAGCTCTGTTGAAGGTTGAATGTGACAGATGCAAGAATGTGATGATGGTGGGAATGAGTGTTTGTGATTAATTAGGTCATTTTCAGTGTGCTTTTCGGCAGTGGATGTTCTTAGACTAGTTGCAGGCTTGCAGCCCACCATAGATGTATAGTGGAGGGGATGAAAGAGTTGAAAATGGAGTTGCAGGTGTTTGTGGATTTGTTATGGTGGTGGCAGCTTCCTGGCCTCTTTTTGTGGGTAGTCAAAAGTGTGCCAAGCATAATAGTGGAAGGGGGAAAAGGGTTTCCAAGTCTTAATGGTAATAGCAATGTCATGATAAACTTGACCCTTATGACTGGTTATCTTCCTCTTGGTTGAGTATGTCTCGATCTGTGTATCGTACTAGCGATCCAACCAGAAAAACTGTGTATTGGAGTCCAAATCGGTAGATGGTTTTTACCGATATGAAACGGTTGTACCACTGTTCAAACACAAAATATACTAGGGCTGGACAATTGGTTAACGGTTAACCGGCCGGTTAAAACCAAAATCGGTTGGTTATCCACTAACCAAAACCCGGGGGGGGGAAAAAAATGAAAGTCGGTCGGTGTTCGGAGCTGCTGGACGAGATAGTTTTGTTCTTCGGAGGCGGTTCGGTTAACCGAAAACCGGGATAACCGAAGGCTTAAACCCTCTTTCGGTCGGTGGTCGGTAGATCTGGGAGTTGGTTGGGTTAATCGATAACCAACCTTTCGATTTTCGGTTATAACTGAACCGACTGCCCTCCAACCCCCTACTAAATACCCTATTATTACTTATTTGGCTTCGATGCATGGTTCTTAATCAATGTAGCAAAGTAATTAGCATTCATGCATGTACCTAATTCCCTCGATGAACAGTATTCATCATCATCATCATGGTCATTTGATGATTGGTAAAAATAGCTTTTCACGACCAATAAAAAGTAGTATGTGAATCATGAAGAGATACATTAACTAATATAATTAATCATATATATATAACATAATAATGTGACCAGCTGCTTCCCTTATTCTTTAATCTCATAGTACAAAAGTAATTAAACTAAACCAGCGGTATAGTCAATGAAGCAGCATGTTTAATACATCTCTCTCAAATCTGGAGCTATCCGAAACTGGTAAATAATTAGTAATTACTTAATAATGATCATGATCATGGGTTTAACGATGCTAAACATAAATAAATATTACTATAAGGTGGGATATTATATAATAATATAATGTTCTTAATAATATGATTAAGGGTGCCTGCCCTTCCGAGGGTCATGTTTAGAGTTAGCCCCAGTTTCATCATAATCGGCCACATCCATCATAAGCATCTTCCTTGTCTTCATCATCATCATCATCACCTCCACCTTCTTCTTCACTTCTTCTTGCCCTTGGTGGTATCCATCATCCTACATATTCATCATTAATCCACACCACATTAGGAAAATAAAAAAATACGTTTCGATTACGATAATTCTTAACGATTGAGTCAGTTGGTCGTTCAAATGTACTTTACAAAGTGGGATCGACTTTGTCATCAGGTATAAGTTGGGAATTCATGTTTCACTCCTCCTCTCAAACTCGACTCTCTAGTCAGATGACACGTCTACTATCGTGTTTACTTGCACATCTATCGTTGTGGAGTTTGATTGAGGTATGAGTGAGGCGGGAAATCAAGGAAGGGTTCTTGATGTATGTGGTATTTTGTAAGATGAGGATTATGAGTGATTGAATGGCATAATTTTCCTATGAGGGTAATATAATTAAGTTTGTTTTATAGTTAGGTGCTACTTAAAAAATTCGAACTTGAGACATAATAGTACCCCTGCACCAAGCTCTTGTTTGCGATTGAACGACAAAATTTGATGCATGGACTTATTAGCTAAACAGAACAATCAATAAAATGTCATGCTTATAGTACTTCTTTGATGTAATTGGGTTAATGTACCTTGTAATATAGAGGGAGATCATTTGGATTCACCATGATGCCTTGCTTGGAGCCCTCAATTACCATTCCTGCAGCACAAAACAATCATAATTGCATGCCTTCTTTCCATTAGATAACTCCTCCTACAGTTAGGACAATCAGAACCCTAATTGTAGATGATGAACATATACTGCACTGACCTCCTCCTGAAGTTGAAGATGAGCAGCTTCTTGGAGCAGTGAAGAGACAAAGATAGAGCAGAAGACAGGCAGTGAGCATTCTTGTAGTACTAGTTGCTATAGCCATGGATGGCTATGTTGGTGTCTTAACTTTCTCCAACTTGGTAATATTTTATTGCAGTAGAAGTTACTGTGGGGGATAGAAGCAGAGTATTGCTATTGGAGGGATTGCAATGAATGGTGAAGAAGAGAGGGAGATGGAGGGGAGAAGCCTTATTCTATTTATATTGAACCTTTGATAGTGGACAAGGAAAAGGAAATGGGCTCTCAAGTCTCTCACCAGTCACCACCACAGACAAATTGAGAAGCTTTACAGGGGAAACAGGGTTTAAAACGGGTACCAGAGGTTGTACCAAAAAAGTTAGCGGTAGGGTAGTTTATGTTGAAACTGTAGTTCACTTATTACATATCGTTAAATATCTTCGATCAGTTTAGCCCTCGATAGGAGATTTTTTTTTATTGAAACGCTCGTAGAGAACGGTTTTTTCAATCCATGGTTTGCTGAGTGCACCCACTCAGCTACAGAGAATGATGATGGAATGGCATTATGACTCTGTTTTCTTCTTCTCCCTAAGGGCCACTTTAGGCCAAGAAATGTTTATATATCCCCCAAAGTCAACTATATATACACACCCATTGTTTTCAGATATGTGTAACATAGATCCAAAACAAGCAAGAAGTGAACACAATGATATCCCATGATTTGCATGGCTTCAACTTTGGAGGGTGGGCAGCTGTTTTCTCTCTTTGTAGTTGTTGCTGTTTTGCCCTCCTCTCCATCCACTTATATTCTTCACCTTTTTGGGTGCCACTGTTGCTGCTATAGTTGTTGTTTGCTTGACAAATGACAATAGCCTACTTGATGTATCATGCATTCATCCTCTCTTTTCTTTTCCCACATCATATCACTCCATCTTATCTCTTTTCTATGGCATTTCACGAGTATGAGAACTTTATAAAGACGTCACTTATCTTATTACGCGGTTTTCATAAAACGAGATTGATCAAAAGAGTGGCGTGTTTAACAACCTCATTCAGCTCATCATACAATCCCCATTTATATAACATGGTGAGTCGGTGGGACCAACCTACTACATATACTCGTACCAGTCTTTATTTATCGCATTTTCAAAGCAATTCTCGGTTCAAGAGAATGAAAATTCGTTATTAAGTACGTTTCTCAAGAGAATTTTTTTTGACGGCTCATTATCAAATTGTTTCATAACAATTTAGTTTGATCATCAATTTCAACCTTAAACAGATACATTTTCCCAATCAACCTTTATTACAAGACGATCAACCTAGCAAGTGTGTCAACATCTAGGTGAAATAACACACTATATACAGGGATCGTGATATAGCCATACAGGCCGACCTATATGATTAGGTCGATCTATGAGTAATGAGTTATAACATATTTCTTATGAATAGATCTACCCCCATTGTGTACTGGTTGTTCTAACTAACATTACGAGCATATCAACCACTTCACGAACACAAACGACAAATAGTTCTAATAAAATCTAAAGTGCAATCGCAACAGGACTAATGCATCGGATCCCACCGGAACCACTCCGAACTCAGAGAGATGAGCGTCACGAGTTAACATTGTTGACCCTAGAGAAATTGCAGCTCTAGTAGTGCAACTTTATCCTTCATTTATAGACTGTAGCTGACATGATATGATCAGTGGGAGAATAGCAAATGCACTATACACCTAAATGGCCTTGAGTTCGTTACTTTCCAACCCATGGAATTCAGAAGTGACGAAGAAGCACTCAAAGGAGGGAAGGCAATTTAACAAAGGAGAACTCGAATGGGAAATTGACCATACAAACACGATACGTGTTATGCCGTCGATCATTCAGCATATCATGGTTATACAGAAAGTGGGGGGGTCCTGATTTTCCCACCCATATTTTCTCGAGAAAGTGCACATTTTCTCTCCCTTTCTTTCTTTCTTTTCATCCGTGGTACCAAACAGCACTTGAGAGCAGAGCAAACTATCAATAAAGCCTTTGGATGCTCGATCGTGTCCAAGTATTTCAAGGTCAGATTTGGATAGAGATGGCCATTAATGGGTTGCAAGGATGCATGCAAGTGGCCTGCACAAAGAAATCTCAAAGTTGGACCAAGAAAGATTGATTATTATGAGAGCAAATCCATGATAGTATATTGTAAATGAAGATGTATGGAGACACCAATGTATGTGTTGGATTCATTTGTTTAATATTTCCATTCATTGCCATGAACTCGACAAAATATCCTTTTAGGAAAGTAAGGCAATAGTTAGTAATAATTATGTATGTTGGGCGTTCATAGAACATTAACTAAATAGGTGCACTTATTATATTTGGGGTTTGTTTAAAGTTGCTGATAATGTTGGGACGAACAAGCATTGTTAGGGTAAGTTATCGTTAAGAGAAAGAAGACGATCGTTCAAGTGCTGATAAGAGCCTAGCTTAGAAGACGCCAATGGTCCCTCGAAAGTGATCCATGTGATGATTCTGCTCTATGGAAAAGGTGGAGGGACATCCTGCAACACAACTCTTGCCTTCTCGAAGAATATCTAGAGTGTATTTACGTTGGTTCAAGACAATAACCCTTCTGATTTTTTTGAGAGTTTGATCCATCGAAAATACATGAAATTACAAAAAAAAAAATTCATGTTGCAACGTGCAGTCGTTTAAAGTTACATAGCTTACGAAACAATGCAGTTTCTTGCTAACGTACTAAAACGAGTCATAAACAACTACTCAAGTTGGATACGAGGTAACCCAGATAGAAGTTCAAAAACACGGAAACTGGTAATCAACATCATTGATCAACTCTTGTTCTTGCAAGTTCTCACAATAGTCATGGGCCTGGACAATCTATTTACAAGCCAGAATCCCTTGTTAAGGTTGTAAACCCACGGTTGACCTGGACCCGGTCGAGCTAGTGGATCAAGGGTTAATGGGTCACCCGTTTTAGCCCAAAAATATGAAAAAATTATTATATTGTACTTATTTTGAATCCAAAATAAAAAAAAAACAACCGTACTTAAACTACAACCCACTTAAATAACATCAACTTAAATTGGGTTAATACCTTATTTTGGCCCGAACTATGACCATATAATCAACTTTGGCCCGTGGTTTCAGAAATTAACATCTTGACCTCAACTATGCAGCATATAGACTCAATTGGCCCGACACATAGTTTGACCGTCAATTTGGACGGTCAACTCCGTTGACCGTTAGTCAACACGCCATGTCATTGCCTAGTCAGCCTAAAAATCATTAAAAAATACAAATGCAAATTATTTTTCAAATTTTTCTTATTTATTATCAAATTAACCAAAAATAAATTATAAAAAACATAAAATAAATTTGATTTTTTTATTTTTTTGGATAATTTGAAAAATGATAAATTTTATAAGTTAACCAAAAATTATGAAATTATTTTATATTTTTAAAAATCCCCACAAAACTATAATTTATATCATAATTTTTAAATTTATAAAATTTAATTTGATATTTTTTGGTTAATTTATAAAATTTATTATTTTCAGATATCATAAAAAAATTATTTATATTTTTAGAATTTTATTTTTTGGTCAATTGGAAAATGATAAATAATAGAAATTAGGAAAATAATTTGAATTTAAATTTTTTTAATGATTTTTAGGCTGACTAGGCAATGACATAGCATGTTGACTAACGGTCAATGGAGTTGACCGTCCAAATTGACGGTCAAACTATGTGTCCGGCCAATTGAACCTATATGCTGCATAGTTGAGACCAGGATGTTAATTTATGAAACCACGGGCCAAAGTTGATTATATGGTCATAGTTCAGGCTAAAATAAGGTATTAACTCACTTAAATTCAACATAGTAAAAATCCAACAACACTTTGAAACGAGCAGCCTGCTGACCCACTCGGACGGGCCAACCACCCGGGTTTGACCGGGTTTGCTCGAGTTTGATCATTTCTGAACTAATTCTCAAATGGGCTATTTTAACCCGTTTTCAAGGCCGGGTCCGGGTCAACCCTCGAGTTGACAACCTTGCTTGTTACACATTCGGACATTCAATCCACCAAGATTCTTTCACCCACTTTGCTGCAGCAACAAGCCAACAACTCAGCAAACACTGACAACGCCACCTGCATTTTGAGGTATAAAGAAGATACATACAGCTCTCCTTTCCTTTGAAGGCTTCTTTTCTTTGCCCGGAAAGGAGGATTTAGCAACAACTAGTGCTTCTGTACTGTAACAGTTGCTATCTTTCAAACAAAGTATGTAAACTCAAGATGAAGGTAATTTGGACACCAACACTTTGTATCATTCAACGAATGCAAAGGACATGTGTAATCATTTTTTCACTTTCAGACCTGTAACAAAGACAACAAACAAACAAAAATGAATAATGCAATGCAAGATGCAATTTCCCCCTCAATAATAACCGTTGAGGACAAGAAGACCTCCTCCCAACCTCAAAAAAAGAAGAGAAAAATAGTGCCAAGTCTTCTTCTAAGTACAACCTGACCATGACAACAGTAATAGACATAAATGATGACAGATACAGGAAATGGGGATACGAAACAGAAAGAGGAATGAAAAATGTGAATCCCCCAAGAAAAGAAGGAAAAAAGAAAAATGAAACTGAGCAACAGAATCTGGATCTTCTGCATGCATGTTTGGCCCACGGAGGTCTTCAAGTAGCCACAAAACTTTGAACAACCCCAATGCAGCCAGCCATCGACCTGACCTAAGGGGGGTGACCTTACAGGTAGTAATACAGTGACCAACGGCTCTAGCACCTTGTAAGGACTGACCTGACCGACCGACCTACACCCGCCAATTAACCGACAATTCGGCTGCCTGACTTGACTTGTGTCTCTATCAACCAACTCCTGACTTGTGTACCCGACTCGATGCATTATGATGAAGACACTTTTTGACACCCGCTTTCAACTGATTACGACGACTTTGACCCCCCATCTTCATAGCGACTGACAATCCAATCCAAAGCCCCCTCCGAGACCTCAAGAGACTCAATCAACCCCATGGTGCTGATTCAAGAGTTAGTGACTGACTGAAGACCCTCTGTTATCAGAAAATTGCAGATGATGACCTGACGCGAAATGCAACCCCGGACCTGACTCTCAAGATGCATGCAGGACTCTAAAACCAAAAAAACAACGTGCCAAAGCAGCAAAATAACCTCAAGCAGAAATCGCACGGGTGATGGCCAACTTGGTCCATTCGGCAGATTCCTTAATTGAACCGTCTTCTGAAGACAAACATTCATTTAAAAAATCTCTACTAGAAAGAGAATTCTGTATCATAGTTCCTGCATTACTTCCCAATGTGTCTGCCAAGTCTCCGAGTACACCAATAGCTGTTCTCATAACCAAATCATCCCTGCAATACAAAAACGAAAAGGAAGATAAGTGATAAAACTATCACCAGCGCAAAAATGAGAATGAATATGAAGGAAGGTTAGCCACTCACATATCCTTTTCCATGTAAATACTATCCAAGAACTGGAGGATGTGTGGTGCATAAGGAATCAACAGTTGGATCTTAGTCGAGTTCTTAAATCCTTGAAGAATTCCAGAATAAGCCTCCAAGATTCCGTTTCTAAGAGAGTTTGTGTAATCAATCATCTCATCATCAGCACCAGCAGTGTGGGCAGACAATTCTGCAGCACTTTGGAGCATTGGCATGGCATACATCAGATACTTTTCAAAATCTTGGCCTGTTGCTAGTGCAATGTCACCAAGGCAGGAGAATATAGGTGGCTTAACAGATCGATGCAACTGATTGCTCGATAAATCCTTCAGAAGCTGTGTCATGATCCCATCACAGTAAGGTAGAACTTTGTTTTCCAATGCCCTGCAGATATCGCCCACCACTCCAACTGTGACAGAGCACACCTGGTACTCTTCAAAGTTCTGAAGACCCATCTCCAAATACTTGTAAAATTCGGGCATGTACTTTGCAAATTCTGGACCACATGCATAGGCAAGGGATCCAATAGCAAGCATGGCCTCCTCGTGCACTGTCGCACTTTTGCAAGCAAACACCCTAAGGAAGAGACCCATTATTTGGTCAGCAAACTGCATAAACCCATACTTGGTCTGTTCGGAAGCGCCTAGCTTTTGGATGATGACCTGCAAACATCCACAAAGAAGACCTTGCAATTCACCTTGCTTCTCCCTCTCATCAGATGAGAGCTTCTGACCCTCGAGTGTATTGTGAAGCTCCAGCATTATCACAGGAACTAGTTGCAACACCAGAGTTGCCGTTTCGTCTGTTGAACACCTAACCACCTCGTTCAGTGTTTCATAGGCAGCAGTCCTTAACCGACACTCGCCTGCATCTTCACGGTGAGTGACCGTGAGAAGGGCCTGAACAATTTCCTGAAAGTAGGGAGTCAAAGGAGATGATGGACCCACGTCCTCATAACCCTGAGCTAAGAAGTAGAGTGCCCCACAGGCCTTCCCGGCTACATTTGGCACGTCTGTCATACTTTGAAGTAGAACAGTCACAATTTGCTGGCAATTTTCCGGCGTAATGATAGGCGCATCCATTGTTGAACCATGGAGAAACTCAAAAATACGACCAAGCGTCCAAGCAGTGGTATCTTTCACATGAGTATTTGGATCCTTCGTCAGCGCTGATAACATGAAGTTCAAAGCAACATTGACAATAGGTGTCAACTTGTCAGGAGAAGGACCCTCCAAAATTGAGCCAAAAGCATAAGTAGCTGCCTCTCTCTGTCTCCAGTCAGGTTTTGTTATATTCTCTTCAATGAATGGCATAACAAGAGGTACAATATCATCTCCAACAGCGCGGGCAACAAGCCCAAGGCATGTTCCACCAGCCATTGCAATATTCCAAGCCCCTTCATCCTGATCCTGATCCTCCTCTTGCTTTAATAGTGTCTCCAGCAAAATTGGTACAAGAACATTGAGTGCCTGCTTGACAAAATAGGAGCATTGTACATCTGAGTCCCCAGTAAAATCACCGCCATACTCTTCTAGGATGTCTATCTCCTCATCACAAATTGAACTCCAGAATTCAATTGCTTGAAGAGCTACAGACTCTACATCTTCCCTCACAGCTTTTGCTGTGATGGTGAAAATGTCATTCATATACGGAGTTAACTTCTCATAGTACATTGACGCAATTGAGACCAGGCATTCAAAGGCTGCCTGACGGTTCTTCTCTTCTTTCGATAGAGCAGCCTCACAGACAACTCTCATGATATAATCACGCTCCATGTCATTGCTAAAATTCGCTTGAGCAAAGCCTAGGGCGTTGTATAATGCGCGGATGGCAGCTAGTCTCACATCATTGTTTCCTTCTGAAGAGCTCATACCTTGAACTACAACAGTCAAGATTTTGTTCACATGATCCTGCTCAACAGCATCAGGAGAGACTTCCTCGCACAAGTAACCAAGAGTCTCCAGTGTAGATTGTTTGACATGAGGAGGTAGCTGATGAACATTGGACAAAAGTGATCCAATTAGCTCCGACCACTGCTTCTGGGGGAGCTCAATTCCAGCAACTTTGGCAATTACTTGGGCCGCAGTTGAACGAGCGTCAGGTACAGGAGAAGAAAGCGTCTTTAACAAGCCTGCTTTTATCTGACTCTTTACTGTAGCATCCAGCATCAACCATCTCTGAACAAGCTCAAACTTCCTATGTTGCTCCTTAGCATCCAGGGCATTTTTTAGTATCAACCCAGCTAACTTCCGGCTATCAGCAGGTTTATCTTCATTGGCCAGCTCACCAGAAAGAGAAAACAAGAAGGCGGGGAGATTGTGTTCTTGGAACTGCTTCAAGCTGTCTTCAGCTTGCTTCCGCACACTACCATCTATAGATTGTGCGTTCAAAAGTAGCTGTGTCACCTCCATAGCCATGATGTATCTCTACAAAAAAAAAAAAAAAAAATTCAAAACTGATGACTCAATACTGTGTATAACCTCAAGGCAGAAGTGCAGGTTAATAGCACAAAGCGCCATATAGAGAAGAAAAGTAGCACAGGAAAGAAGTTTCCATGACATTATTATTCTTTCCATGCTCTACGGCTCACCCCATCATCTTTTAGTAAGCATATGTAACATCAAATGGAGGGGCAAATGACCGAATGGTTGACAATAATACAGAAGTTGACATGGAAGATCAATTACATCTACACACACGGTAAAGGAAACTGGAGGAGAAAACATCAAATTTACTTTATCCAACGTATGTCCAAAGAGCCGTATCATAAATGAAGAACACAACACAGACATCCCCTTTTTTACTCAAAAGCTCTACTTTGACTTGGCAATGATTCAGAACACCTGGAAGAGAATATATCTCCTAGTGGGCAAAGCTATATCTCAAACCACTAAAAATCACCTTACACAGTCCAACATCGCAAAGTCAAACTCCACACACACACCAAATATCGAAATTTCAAAAACCCTGCCTCGCTGTCGTATTCCTGCCCAGCAGAGCTAACGAGAACTAGATTGTAACTCGAAAAAAATCACCACTTTACCCGACTAATTCATCTCCAGTGCAAAATTATCACAGCAGGTAAAAACCCAAAAGCTAATCTTCCCACACAAAGCATTTCAGATTGCGGAATGGGGACAAGAGAAAGGGACTCGGAAGCAGGATGAAATTCGATCAAGCTTGGGAACAATTAAAACGAGAGGAACATCCCAATGGGCAGTCCAACAAAAAAACTGAGCACTCTACTGCCGCATCGGATAGCAGGACAAACCCAAAAGGGCCAAGCACTCGAGATCAAGCTGCCCCACTCCCCTAAAACAAACCTAGTGAATCGGAAACCATGGTGACAATCGAGACTAGCAGACTGTTACTTACAGAATCGGGGAAGACTGGAGACTGGTGTCGCGGCAGATCGGCGGGGCGCGACGGCGACCACTGAACCCTAGCAGAAGCGCTGGGGCTGTAGAGAGGAAAGGGAAAAGGAGGGACGGAAACGCGAGGAAAGAGAGGCGGACGCGAAATGAAACCTGAATTATGATAATTTTTACAACAAATTACAAATCAAAATGGCTTATGAAGCAAGGGAATTATTGCCTGCTACACGCTCCACAGTACAGCAAAGCAAGTGCTTGTGTGGATCCCGCCCGCTATTTTTTTTTTCCCCTCCTTTTTTTTTGTTCGCAATTTTTAAGGTAAAATGATAAAACCTTAATTTGAAAAATCTTAGATGTGTTAAAAACATGGATATTTTTCAAAATTACTAAATCCCACAATTGAGATTAGCCATCAGTTAGAAAAATAGCATTAGCCAAGTCCAATCTAGTGAGGGTGTGTAGGATAGTACTTTGCTTCTTTCATTTATGGCTTATTTTCCCTATGGTTGAAGAAATTATCCAAATAATGTATAAGAATGGATTGGCATGCCCCGACTCTTACGTGAGTGAATATTATCTGATCTGGCCAAAGCTTGGTGCGGGACGGGTATGGGTATTAAGTGTGGCAAACTAAAAAATACGTGACATTTAGGATGGTGATTTGTAAATGGGTTGTAAGTGCAGGCTACAGGCTTCTCGACCAGGACAATGAGGCGGGTTTGGAGTTTGGTTTGTCTAAATCATTCCAATCCCCACTTTCAAATATTCAAACACATACCCCCCCTATACCCATGCGGAGAAGGTTTTGCAAACCCATCCCCATACCTGTGGTTTTCGGGTACCCATGGGTAATACCCGCCCCATACATCCAACATTATAATACCTATAATTTTACATGTAAATTCAAAATTATAACGTTAAATGCACTTATTATATCATGAAGTCGATAAAGAGACAATCATTCTTAATACGGTTCAAAGCATTTTATCATCAAACATCCATTAATCCATAAAAGAGAGTACAATGTAATCCATATTGTTGTTCTCTGACTCTAATACATCTACTAAGTAATAACTATCTAACACAATCTTGTTAATACGAGGGAAAAAAGTGAAGGAGTGAAGGGAGAGTTGAGGAAAATGAATTAGGTTTTGATTTGGGTGGCCACTCAATTGCATCTCTACTATTTATTTTCCTGAGTTACTTTCACTATTATTAATATGTTACAATTTGATTCATCTATTTTTCATATGAGAATAAAAGCTTTTGGTGAGGCGGATATGGATATGGGTATGAGGCGGGGAGGCTAAAACCATACTCGTTCCATACCAATCAAACATTTCGCGAGTTTACACATACCTGCCCCATACCCTCGTTAATGCAGGATTTTCTTAGATCGGGGGCGGTTGGATACCCACGACCATACATTTAATTTGCATTGCTATTCTTGACAAACCAACTATCAAGATTGGAACAATGATCTTATATCATATGCAAATTCTAACTCAACATCGAAGGAGGTCCTTATGGAGAAAAATTGGCAAGCTCATCTTTTTAGTCCAAGGGCTTGTATGTCTATTATTGAAATATATTATCCATCATCACAAATTCATATAATAATTATTTAATTGGCCGACCTATTTTCTATAAACTTATCCAATGACAAAAAAAAGATAATAATTATTATTATTATGTTCAATTTAAAAATAAAAGGAAAATGACTCATATTTCGCCAGCTTCACCGCCAGTCCGCCACGGCGCCACGGCAGTCTCCAAGCACTTCAGACCTCTCTTTTCTCTCGGCGCCGAGGAAACAGCGCACGCATAGCGGGAGTAGACCCGGCCAGTCAGGGGCGACGAGCGCCGGCGGCTGGAAAATAGAACGTGAACCTACGCTTGAACAGCAGCAGCAGGGGCGAACAGCGAAGAGTCCGGTGGCTTCAGTTCTGTTCCGTTCAACTTAGGCTCTGGCGGTTCTCTGAGATGTCTGGCCGACATCCCGATCACCCGTAGCCGTCCTACACGACCGACTGCTTTCCCTGAACGTCGTCGCAGCAGCTTCCCGCTGGAACTTCCGTCGTACCGAAAACGGTAACTAGTTTCAGAAATCAATTCTTGCAATCGCCGCTGCTTTTGCAACTCTATCAGTTCCGAATTTTAGGGTTCCATTGAATTTGCGTTTGTTTGATCTTCCTTGGTGCTGTGATTGCTTGAATTCAGTAGGTAGAGTTGCTAGTGCGAGGAAGCCTTCTGTCGCTGTCGTTCTTGAGATTTTACTATTAGTAGTAGTCAGCTTGTTTGTGTAAGCTTTTTGAACCTTCATGCCTCTCACAATTTGGGAAGCCAGGTTTGCTTCAAGCCGTTCCTTAGTCATTGGCCTTCTCCCACTATTATTTTTGTTGCTTGAACTGTGCTTGATCAGTGATCATCATGAGGACAATTTCTGATTAAAATGTGCCAAGGAACAAACGCAAAATTCATGTCCTATTATGTGGTTTCGTTTGTTCTGATGTGGCAGTTGTGAGCAAGGTTGACATTCACAAGGTGTAATCTAACACTTCGTTAGAAGCATCGTCTTCAAATGGAAGAAAATCAAACAACCTCTGTGAAAGTCAAAGACGCTGTCCACAGATTACAGCTTTCTTTACTTGACGGTATCCAGAATGAAGACCAGCTATTTGCAGCTGGATCATTGATGTCTCGGGGTGACTATCAAGATGTCGTGGTTGAACGGTCTATTGCAAAGCTCTGTGGTTATCCTCTTTGCAACAATGCTCTGCCTTCTGATCAGTCTAGAAAGGGCCGGTACCGCATTTCTCTGAAGGAACACAAAGTTTACGACCAACAAGAGACGTACATGTACTGCTCATCCAGTTGTCTTGTTAATAGTCGAGCTTTTGGTGGGAGCTTGCAGGAAGAGCGATCCATGGTTCAGAATCCAGCGAAACTCGCCGAGATTTTAAGGCTATTTGACAAACTGAGCTTGGATTCTGAGGGAATGGGTAAGAATGGCGATTTGGGAATGTCGAATTTGATGATCCAGGAGAAAGCTGAAGCCAAAGTCGGCGAGGTGTCTTTGGAAGATTGGGTTGGTCCATCAAATGCAATTGAAGGTTATGTTCCTCAAAGAGATCGCAACTCCAAGACTTCATCCCCAGTCAAAGGTGATAGCTAGCTTTAGCACTGAGCTTTGGTTGGTTTAGCTTTTGTGCTTATTACTGCATCTACCACCATTCTGTTGTGCTGCTATTATTGGCGAGTAGAGAAATAAGTGTATGCTATTCATGATGATTCAGCTATGAAGACCTCTCCACTTGATTCCAGATTTGTGGTCACCATCGCCATTTATAATTTACCTTGTACCTTTTCATTGTTCTTTTTCCTGAGGGTGAATCCTTGCTCACCAATAATATTGTTCTGAGTCACATTACTGACCAAGCTTTTGAATGTGAATGGTAGGCCACAGAACTGATGTAGTCAAATCGAGTTCAGAGAAGTATTCATTTGTCAACGACTTGGACTTCACAAGCACCATCATCATCAGTGATGAATATAGCATCTCTAAGACTCCTTCAAGCTTGGCAACATCTAGTGCGGCAGTGAAGGATATAGAAGGGAAGGGATCTAGTGGAAAGTTCAAGGCTCAATCATCTGGTTCAACAAAGCTGAATTTGGGTAAAATCTCAAGAACTTCCAACACAGGCAAGTCTAAAGCGGTCAGGATAGATGGGATGGACAATGAAGACGTGGCTTCACCATCAAATCCTCAAAGCACTTCCGGTTTGATTAATACTGGAGCTAAAGAGACGAATGAAGTTGGCGTACGATCTGGGTTTTGTCAATCCAGGTTGAAACCCTCGCTTAAGTCTCCTGGTGCAAAGAAACTTGGCCGATCTGTTACTTGGGCTGATGAGGAAGCTGGTAGTTCCAAATGTGGTGGTCTTTGTGAGGATACGGAGATGAAAGATACCTTGACTGTGACTTCGGTTTCTTCTGATGTTACAGACAAAGGAGATGATGAGAACAATTTGTTGCTTGAATCGGCCGAAGCCTGTGCAATGGCTCTCAGCCAAGCAGCAGAAGCTGCTGCATCTGGAGAGGTTGACATTGCTGATGCCAGTAAGTATAAGAAATGCAATTGCAGCTAAGAGATGGAGTACCTATTGCAGATTTATTTATGACAAATCACTAATTTTTAGCACTATGCATCTTTGTGCAGTCTCTGAAGCTGGGATAATCATATTACCTCAAGCAGACATTATGGATCAGAACAACCTAATGGAAGATGATAACATGGAAGGACAAGAGTCTGTAGATACCAAGTGGCCCAGCAAGCCTGGTATTCCTCGAACTGATATGTTCGACCCTGAGGAATCCTGGTACGATGGTCCTCCAGAAGGATTCACCTTGGAGGTAGGTTTGTTTGATTGAAAGCAGTCATGTTGTTACCTTGACAACTTAATACGAAAAAATTTCATGATAATCCCTGTATCTTCTGTCACAGTTGTCCCCATTTGCAACAATGTGGATGGCACTCTTTGGATGGGTAACCTCATCAAGCTTGGCTTACATATACGGGAAAGATGAAAGCTCCCATGAAGATTATCTGTCTGTTAATGGGAGGGAGTACCCTCATAAAATTGTCTTAGGAGACGGTCGCTCTTCCGAGATCAAACGAACTGTCGAGGGTTGTCTATCTCGGGCTTTACCTGCTGTGGTCACCGAACTGAGGCTACCAATACCAAATTCTACCTTGGAGCAAGGAGTCGTATGAACTATGAAGTTCTTTATGCCATGATTTTTCTGCAATACGTTATACAAAAGGTCCCTTTTTCAACGTGGTCTCTGATTCCTTTGCAGGGACGCCTGTTGAACACGATGGGATTCGCTGATGCAATTCCAGCACTCAGAATGAAACAATGGCAAGTGATAGCTATTCTGTTCCTGGAAGCTCTCTCTGTATGTCGGATTCCGGCTCTTACCCCTCTCATCAGCAATAGGAGGGGGGTAATTCACCAGGTGAGGAGGAACCAACCAAGCCAACTGCATCATCATTCATTCATCACTGTTTCTCTCTATATATTTGTTCATTTGGTTACCAGTTCATTCAATTCTCTTCTATTGGGGGAAAAAAAAGCAGGTGTTGGAGGGTGCTCGTATTGGTGCAGAGGAGTATGCAGTGATGAAAGATCTAATGATGCCTCTGGGGCGTCTTCCTGGTTTTGCATCACAGAGTGGCGCCTAGTTGTCGTCTTACGAGTATTAACTATACAGCTTATGACGATCCTTCGAAAATTCGGTCGTACTTGTGTCTATCACGAGATCTGGAGAGTTAACTGAGCGTTTTTGTTTCCAGGTTGTTGATTGATTTAACTTGTTAGTTTTGAGCTTGTGTCCTTCCACTAGAACACCACCACCTATTTCGAAGTAGAAACCAAACCATGGAGGGAGCTTTGAACTCTTTGTATGGAAATTTTCGATTCGTCGGACTGAAATGGGATTTCAAATACACAGTTAACTGGATTGAATGAGTAAAATTGAGAATAGCGATAAAATTGTGACGTGCTCGTACGAACACTCCTCAACAATCAATAAGCAACGATGTTGATTTGGGCCTGTCAAGTCATAGCCCATCAATTTTATCCATGAGGTGACTGTGCCCAAAGCCCATCTCATCTGGGCCCAGTAAGGTCCTAAGTCCAAGAGGGAAGAGGCCGATGCCATCCCTGTGAGATGTGAAAACAAGCTTCCCTGTCTCCGTATTTCTCGCACCTTGCTCCGGCCTCTGCACTGTCTGTTTGTCAGATTGTCCGACGGTTTCCAGAAATGTCCGTCGACGGACAACATGCCGGCCGCCCCCAGGCGCCGTCGTCACAGCAGGCTTCCTTCGGAAAACGCGCGCGGACCGAAGACGGTATTTTAGCTTCCTGAATCCGATCCTTTCTGTCGCTGCTGATTTTGCTGCTCTATTTACATTCTTAATGTTAGGGTTTATTTCCTGCCCAATGGAAGCAATCCCGGTTCCTGCTCTTTGATAGGAACTTAAGTGGATTCTACTCTTTCAAAGCTTCGTTTCTGTTTCAATCGGTCTCTTTGTTTGGTTGTCTTGGCATTGTTAATCGCTGAATTACGTTGGGAAAGCTGATTGCTAACTCTCGCTTTCCAATTAGTTATCTTTTCTTCGACTGAATTTAAGAAGTTGGGTTAATACTTACTAAAGGGATCTGGAGAGCTGCTTTTCACTAGCTTGACAGACCCTTATGATATTCCAAGCTTCGGGTAATTTAGCTAAGTGGGTTCTTGTGTTGGTATTTGGTAACTCTCTCGATAGTTATCTTATCAAGGAAATATGGAATGAGCTACTAGTGTAATGAATTTTAATATTTTAGTACTGTTCTCCTAGTTTGTAATAAAATTGTTTGATTTTGCTTGCAATCTCATGGTTGTGTGAGGCGAAAAGGCGAATTATGTGCTGTAGCAGTTTTGTTAGCTCTTATAATTCTCTGAAGTTTGAATGGATGAGTAGCATGCTAATCTTGCCGGCTACATTTGATTCTTTCTTATGTTGTTTCGTGATGAGTTTTTGGTAAATAGTTGGTATGATATACATATTTCTTCTTGTACACAGGTGTATCGAGTTGTTACATTTTCAAGAGTCGTCTACAAGAGTATGCGCAAAAGGCTGGACTTCCTACACCTGTATACGAGACAACCAAAGAAGGACTATCTCATGAACCTTTCTTCAGGTCAACGGTGATAGTGAATGAAGTGAGATATGACTCTCTTCTTGGATTTATGAATCGTAAAGCAGCAGAGCAGTCTGCTGCAGAGGTGGCCCTCTTGGAGTTAGCTAAATCTGGTCATGTCAATGGTCGCATTTCTCAACCAGTTGTAAGTGTGTCGTTAAATTCCAAGTAGTGAAATCTTACCTTTTCTTTTAGTTCCTATTCCATCCTATTTAAAGGCAGCAGAAGGATAAGGTTGCTATTGTTATGATGAATGAACATTCTCTCGGTTTAGTTGTTACTTCATCTTCGCTCAGTCTCCTGACTGTTATTGGTATTTTCCTTACCTTTCAGCATGAAACTGGGCTCTGTAAGAACCTGCTTCAGGAATATGCTCAGAAGATGAGTTATGCAATTCCTTTGTACCAGCATGAAAAGCATGAAACACGAAACCATGGAAGTTGTTACCAATGTTCTGTAATGATTGGAGGGACAAAGTATATTGGAGCAGTGGCAACATCCAAAAAAGAAGCCGAGATAAAAGCTGCAAGAACAGCCTGGTTTGCTATTAAGGAAAGTAGTACAGAGTTATCTGGAAGATCAACTGAGAACCCTATGCTGACAGTAATTCCTAGCAGGAAGAGGGTGCTGGAGGCCCCAAGTGTCCCAAATGAGACAACCAACACCGCCCACAGGGCCAAGAAGGCGCGATTCAATAAGAAACGCCAGGGGAAGAAGCCCAAGAGTCAAGTACCAGAAATGGGAACAACTGAACCTATTAGTAATGCTTCTCAATCTGCAGATGGTCAACCTGGAGCACAGTTTCAGCACATGGTTGTCAGTGGACAGGCATGGTGCCAATATCCAAGTGGGATGGAAGGCGCCGTAGGAGAAAGCATCAACAACAGCAATCCTACTCTGTACAATCCACCAAGTGTCCCAAAGAAGACAACCGACACCAACCCCAAGGCCATGAAGGCACGATTCAATAAGAAAACGCCAAAAAAGAAACGCCGTGGGAAGAAGAAGCCCAAGAGTCAAATACCTGAAAGTGGAATAACTGAACCTATTAGTAATGCTTGTCATTTTGCATATGGTCAACCTGGGGCACAGTTTCATCAAATGGCTTTCAGTGGACAGGCATGGTGCCAATATCCAAGAGTGATGGAAGGCCCCCTAGGAGAAAGCATCAACAACAGCTATCCTACTCTAGACAATCCACCTATGTTGCAACAAATGGGCGGGCATGGCGCAAATATCCACGAGGGAGGCATCAGTGGCAAGTCGAGCCACACAGGATGGCTTACCCTCTGCTGTGGAAACTCTGGTGAAAACTCCAAGGGGAATGCATCTGTGGCAACTGGAGCCCCAGAGAGCAGCACACCATCTGCTGTGGGAAGTTCGACACCTGCTATCGTTGGTGACAAAGGCTGCCAGACTGCCAATGTCAATCACACCTTTGGTCAAGATTCTACTGGAGTAATTGAAAACTCCATGGGAGATACTACAATGTCAAATGGAGAAGTAGCAGAAGATGGCAAACTGTCTGTTGTGGGAACTCAGGCTGCTGATGTTGGTGGTCATGGAGCCAATATCCATCACACAAATGGTGAAGATTTCGCTGCCATTTTACAGGAGTCCAAGGTTGATACAACAATGGCAAGTGGAGTCACGGAAGATGCCAAACTGTCTGCTGTGACAACTCAGGCAGCTGATGTTGGTCATGAAGCCAATATCCATCACACAGAAGATTCCACTTACATTTTACAAGAGTCCAACACAACAACGGCAAGTGGAATCACGGAGGATGCCAAACTGTCTGCTGTGGAAACTCAGGAAGCTGATGTTGGTAGTAACGGAGCCAATATCCATCACACAAATGGTGAAGATTCCACCGAAAATTTGCAGGACTCGAAGGAAGATACAGCTATGGCATGTGGAGCCACAGAGGACGGCAGATCGTCTACCACAGGAACTCATGCACCTGCTGTTTGTGGTCAGGAAGGCAGCCGTGGTACGAATACCCATCACATGAGTGGTTCGGATTCCACTGTAATGATTGAAGATTCCAAGGGGATACCGGATACATCAATGGCAAATGGAGCCACAGAGAACGGCGCACCATCTCCTGCCACACAGGATATTGTATTGCCTGCTGCTGAAACTCAGGCACCTGCTGGTGGTCAGGAAGGTAGCCATGGAACCAATATCCATCACACGAATGGTCCGGACTCCACCGGAATGGTTGAAGCTTCCGATGCGGATACATCCATGGCAAGTGCAGCCCCAGAGGACGACGTGCCATCTACTGTCGCAACTACGACACCTGATGTTGTTCACGAATAAGGCGACCAGGTTGGCGACTTGCACAACTCCAATAGTGACGATCCTGCTCGAGCAAGCGAAGGAAGACTCGACTATTGCGGGTGGAGTCAATGAGGAGGTAGCCTCACTGGTAAACAGTTCAGCAGCTGATCAGTGCTAGATGTTTCCCAAGGTCGTTATAGGCCCCCGATTACCTTCAGCCTGTACCAATGATTCTTCATCTAAAATGTAATCACCAATAATTACTTCATAATGTAACCGGTTTCTGGATGTATTGGGGATTTGAGGTGGTAATATACCTCATTTCTTGGGTTAAAAACTTTAGATTGAACCAATTTCATATCCCATTTCCAGGGTTTATAAACAGTAACCGGCACGCAATTGAACCGGTTCAACCGATCAAATTGGTACCGAGTACCGACCAACCCGAGATTTAAGTAACGGTAGGGAAGGAAGTTGCAATAATAGTTGTATGAATCTGGTTGCATCAGAACTCCGCCCTGAGTTAGCTTTCGCTCCACTTTCTTTCTTTCCTCCACTGACATCTTCTTCTTCGGCTTCAACTCCGAACCCTCTCTTTCGCAGCTCTCTCCGTCCACAAAATCCGCCAGAACTCTCCACTTTCTCGGCAAACAAACACATCCGGCTTTGAATCGGAACGGAAGATTCGTCTACGACGATACAGCACTGGTTCCGGCGATCGACGGACACACCGTCGGCTTCCCCTTTCTTTACATAAATTCTTACAAACCCTAATACGTCTCCAACCCGAGTTGAATCGCGGGACCTTGACAGCATTCTCGCGGGACCGATTTGTGTTTATCTTGCCATTTCCGGTGGCTTGACTTGTTTGAAACCATCTATGGAGAGATCTAGATCTAAGCGGAACTACTACTACGACCACCAGGACTACGACAATGACGGAGCCTCCACCGCTATGGGCGGTGGCGGCGGTAGAACCAAACCTCGGTACAACAACCACAACCACCACTACTCCCCTGCACCCTCCGCCGCCGCCGCTGCGAACTCCCACCACCATCACCGCCACCGACCGAGTAACCCTAATGTGGCTCGCCAGTCATCCAAGCCTCAGCCGGACACTTCGCTGATGGTTACCACTACGTACCGGATACTGTGTCACGATGTGAAAGCCGGCGGAGTGATTGGCAAGTCCGGGAGTATTATCAAGTCCATTAGGCAGCACACGGGAGCTTGGATCAATGTCCACGAGCTTGTCGCCGGTGATGAGGAGCGAATCATTGAGATTTCGGATACCAGGCGGAGGGACCCGGAAGGGAGAATGCCCTCGTTCTCTCCCGCCCAGGAGGCCCTTTTCCTGATACACGAGAGGATTCTGGAGAGCGAGTCTGAGTTCGTTGGCGCCGGTGGGGGAGGTGGGTATAGTAACGTGGATGATGATTACGGTGGAAGAGGAGGAGGAGGCGGTGGTGGTGGCGGGAATAACAGAGTGGCGACGAGATTGGTGGTTTCCAGAATGCATGTTGGGTGTTTGTTGGGGAAAGGAGGGAAGATTATTGAGCAAATGAGGATGGAGACAAAGACCCAGATTAGAGTTTTGCCTAGAGATCATACCTTGCCGCGATGTGTTTCCATGTCTGAAGAGATTGTTCAGGTTTTGCGCAAGACTTCTTTATACCTGCTGCTGCTGCTATTCATAATCCCGGACTTGGCTTTTAAACTGAAAAAATTGGAACTTTGAGGATTTTTCTTACATCAACGGGCCCTTAATCTTTGGAGTTAATGTCTTTGAATGCCCGTGAGTTACTTCCCAGTGTTTGGCAGTTTTGAAACGGAACTATCTCCTATGACCATAGAACTGAGACACTGGTTTAATCCCCACAGGGGAGAGTATATGACTCTTATCACTACTGGATTTTGCCACCCTCATTATCTCTTGCTGTGAGGATGATCATCTCAATACCATTTTGTTTGCAGCTCGATAACATAAACTGGTTCTGCTCAATGTTTGTCCGTTTTAAAATCCTGTGACCTTGGAACTGAGACACAGTGGACTTTTTACCCTTTGAATCTCTTGGCTCTGATGCTGGAATCTGAACCTTTTTGTTTGTAGCTCAATAACTGAACCCCTTCTGTTGGAGAGAAGTGGATGTTTTCACTAGGAACTGCAAATGTTCACAATAATACTATCACATTTGCTATTCCCGTTTTTAAGGACAGTGTCAAAGGAAGCAGTTCAGAGCTGACTCCTGTTTCTGTTACCTCTTCTCTCATTTCATTAGGGTTAATACTGTGTGAGGTTTTTTCTGACGAAAAGTTATTTCCAAAATGGCCTTCCACGTCCCCTAAAAGTGATCCTGGACTTAGTTTGGAAGCTATGTTTCTAGAGAGCCTTTGAGCTCTACATCCTCTGGTCTTCTTTCGGCAAGATGGGGATTGCGCCATAATGAAATTTCTGCTGAAGTTGATTGAAGGACTAGTATTGCTGTCACAATCTGATTTGAGTTTCAAATGTTTTCCACTCGATATGATTCTGTTATGCTATCTGCAATTTGAATTCTTATCAAATGTACTGCGTAATTTACATAAAGTTAGAATTTTCTGATTTCCTCTCTTAACCATGTTGTGTATCTGAGAAAATATATACTTCTGAACTTTTATAGCTCCTGACTCCTGAGCATAGAATTGATTTTGATTGACAGTATGTTGCTGGAACATAGAAATCTTTTTAGTTGGAGCCTCATGTTGAGTGTGGCGTGCATTTTGTATTTCTGGCAGGTAGTTGGAGATGCAAATGCTGTAAAAAATGCTGTTGCAGTAATTTCCTCTCGCCTGAGGGAGAGTCAACACCGTGACCGCAATAATTTCCATGGGAGAGCACATTCGCCTGAACGGTTTTTCCCAGATGAAGATTATGTTCCTCACATGAATAATGCCCCACGGCGATCATCTGGTGATGGACAGTCTTTTGGATCACGTAGTTCTGGCACTAATTATAGGGGCAACAATTATCCTGGACGGATGCCCGGATTTGGTATCGACTCTAGCTCTCTACCTGATGGCACTCAGTCAAGTGAAGGGAACGAACTCGTCTTTCGGATACTTTGCCCTACGGATAAGATCAATAGAGTAGTTGGAGATGCAGATGGGATCTTGGAACTTCTTCAAAATGAAATTGGTGTAGATGTTAAGATTGCTGATCCTTCATCTGGGTCAGACGAACAGATAATCACTATTTTGTCAGAAGAGGTACACAATTTCACTTTTGTCTCGCTGAACTCACTGTGTCGATAATCTAGTTTCTTCATTAGCTGATATTTCTCCCCTTTCATTTATCGTTTTATACACAAGTTCTGTTGCCAGACTAATATACTTTCTTCCATCTGATGAGATGGCAACTATTGTTCTTTCTCCAAGGTGAAAAGCTTGTTGGCTTACAAGTCTTCTTGGTTTTTCATCATACTTAGGGACCCGACGACGACATGTTCCCTGCTCAAGAAGCATTATTACATATTCAGACTCGCATCGTCGACCTTGTCCTAGATCAAGACTCTGTTGTAAAAACCAGGCTACTTATACCAAATAGTGAAGTTGGATGTCTGGAGGGAAGAGAATCTTTGTCAGAGATGGAAAGACTCACTGGTGCGAAAGTTCAGATCCTGGCAAAGGAAAGAAATCCTGCCTTTATATCAGGGACAGATGAGCTTGTTCAGGTTGGGGTAATTTATAGTCTTAATGATCCTGTTATAGACTAGTCTACCTTGTTACTGTACTTCTTCCTCATAATATATCCCACCTAAAATAACTGCTCACCTAGATTGAAGGGGAAATAAAAGCAGCTCGTGATGCTCTTATGGAAGTGACATCAAGATTGCGAAGTTACCTGTACAAGGACTTCTTCCCGAAAGATACACCATCTCTTTCTGCTGGTGTACCAGTGGAAGCAGCTTCATCAAATAATGTGACTCCTTCCCGTGACACTTTCAGTCCTGCTGAACCACCATTGTCTAAGGTTAATGAGAATTCTTTGTTTGCTTCCCATCTCTTGTCATTTGTTACCTTTGATGCACACATAGGCAGTTGCATAATTAGGAAAAGGAAAATGGAAGTTTGATAGCAAACTATTTTTACATGTCTTTTTTTACTGCTGATTCCTTGAAATTTGACATAACCATTTCCTATAGGATTCTGGTGGATCAGTTGTTGAGACAGCAAGACCAAATGAAAGTGAACGACGTGAAGATGTGCCAGCTACCATAAACAGGTACCATAGGTTATCTGTTTTTCCAGGGTAGTTCCTTTCTTGGAATGCCAGTTCTGTACTTCTTTTGCCTGTTTAACCTTCTCTTGTGCTGTTCAGAAGACCTATGACACTTGTGACTAGGAGCATCCTGGAAGTTGTTATACCTGACCATGCAGTTCCCAAGCTAGTGACCAAGTCAAAAAATAAACTTGCTCAGATAAGTGAGGTATTGGGCAACTAAATATTGTTTTAGTTATGGCTCTTAATTAAGTAATTCCTTATAATCTAATGAGGTCACTGTGGAAACAGCTGTCTGGAGCGAATGTGAAACTCGTAGAAGACAGGCCAGATGTGAGTGAAAATATTATCCAAATTTCGGGTACTCCCGAGCAGGCAGAAAGAGCCCAGAGCTTACTTCAAGGCTTCATCTTGAGTAGTGAGTGTCCCTACTCTCTGTATCACGCTTCTCCTTTCGTTTCTGACTTACCAAAGTCGACTCTTGTTCAACTGTTTACGTTTCGTTTTCCCCCACAGCGCAAGAAGATGGACCTTAAGCAGGAGGGCTGTTTGCATTTCAGTTGGTTAACAGAAATTGGGTATAGAGTTATACAACATGGTAGCTGGAGCTGTTTGTACCTAATCGACTAATCCATTCAGTGACGACTTGATTTCTGTAATCCAGCGTGAGAGACGAGTATTGTGCATTGCACGGCTGAACTCGCAACTTGTTCCTTTTCGTTTTAATTTGGATGCTTAAACTTGTCATGGATGCCTGGCATTGCCAGTTTTGGATGGGAGGAAGCAACAGTTCTCTTGTAGTTGTAGATGTGAACATGAGATCTGTTGTACTAGTTTATGGAATGTTCCCAATTTTGCTCGTCATGACTCTTGACATGAATGTACAGAAATAAAACTTCTGATTTTGAGTGCATAAAATGGAACCTCACGAATGTATGAAGGTAGAACTCCAAATTTATTAAAATGGAATGCTCATTGACAGAAATCATGCCTTGAATATGTGGAATAATTTGGAAGGATTGCGTGCATAACAGGTAACAGGGTCGAGTGATATGCCAATATGTTATGTTTAGTACGTGACATTGTCGATGTAATAAGTCTGGCTTGATTCGTGCCATTGCCGATATATTTAGCAGACATATTTCGCTGAAGTGCTGAAACCATAACCAGAAAGGAACCTAAACCCAGCTCAGATCTACTATAGCATAATATCCCTCAGTCTCAGACAAGCAGGGTAAGCTATTAAAGGAAATGTGTGTTAAACTTAAACACATAGGAGCTGCAAAATTTTGCCATTGCAGATAACGGCAGCATTATCTTTCACCTAATACCATAGTAGTTCTCACTTCTAAGAGTAACTTGCCCTCGATAGACTTGCTACATAAGCTTCACATCATCTATAACCCTAACTCATCCCATGTTCCATCCACCCACCCAAGCATTCATCCTCGTCGCTCATACTCCGGGAATGGGGAACTGGGTCGTCAGCCCTTCAACACGTTTCCTAAGATCCGACAGTTTATCTTGTAGAGGGAACTCTGGCGATGCAACAAATTTCAAGAAGTCCTGCAGCTTTGGCCCTGAAGCTAATGACTTAGCTTCCAGTGCTACTTGCACCCCTTCGTGAATCAACTCAGCTGTTGCCACAAATTCGCTTTCCTTGAACCCTCTGGTAGTCATGGCAGGCGAACCAATGCGAATTCCGCCTGGCACCAAGGCACTTTTATCGCCTGGGACTGAGTTCTTGTTGAGCGTGATGGAAGCCAAGTCCAGGATTTTCTCCACTCGAGCTCCATCAATTCCCTGTTAATGGATGTAAATCTAAGACACTATTTGGGAAATCAAACCTCGAGCATCAAGAGTAGACCAATTTACAGGAAGCAAGAAACTTACCATTGGCCTCACATCTACAAGAACAAGGTGATTATCACTCCCTCCAGAAACAAGCTTATATCCCAATTCGCCTAGTCGTTGTGCTAGTGCCCTGCAATTGGCAATGACCTACAGGCAACACATAAATGAATGAGAGATGATAACGGCATTCTTGATTCTTCAAATGCAAAGGTTGATCACAACTTTGTACTACCTGCTTCTGGTAAGTTTTAAATGCAGGAGATTGAGCATGCTTCAAGCATACAGCTAGTCCTCCAATTGTATGATTATGGGGACCTCCCTGCAACAAGTACCACAACCCAGTGAGCGAATGCCGTAGAAACCCTGAAGAGAACATAACTGAATCTTGGGTTTTTGCTTAAACCTGTAATCCGGGGAACACAGCATTGTTGATGGCAGTTTCTAGATCAACACCGAGAACAGGTTCCTTTCTAAAGAAGATCATCCCACCTCTTGGACCTCGTAGAGACTGAAGGAAAAAAAGTTCAGGGTTGTTAGGCACTTACATTCACATTGCATAATAGAGCTTACTAACAGATAAAATGGAGTTATAGATGAAGTTCAATTGAGCTACTTCAAAAATAAACAAGAGAACTAGCAAGATTCAATTGAAGTGTACAAACTATAAACTTATATTATTGAGATTGTCAAGAGAGTTTACCTTGTGTGTTGTTGTTGTCACAACATCACAGTACTCAAACGGATCACCAACCACAGAGGCTGCAACTAGTCCACTTATGTGAGCCATATCCATCATGAGAAAAGCACCAACAGAATCCGCTATCTTTTGGCATTACAAAGATAACATTTATCACAACCTTATTGCCAACTAAAGGAAAAGGGAAAATAGTTGCAGAAAGAAAAGAAAGAAACTTACTTTCCTCATGCGAGGATAATCAAAATCGCGAGGGTAGGCACTAGCACCAGCAATGATAAGTTTTGGTCGAAACAGAATAGCAGTCTTTTCAAGCATGTCATAATCAACCAGACCTAGATCATATGTCACGAAGAGTTAGATAAATAAGACAGTATATGGATCAATATCTTAAGGTTCAAAGATAGTGTTTTGAGATGCCTTGCCTGTGGACTCATCAAGCCGGTAGGGCATAGACTCGAAATATATTGAAGTGCCAGACACCCGTCTTTTAGGAGTCATGAATCCATGAGACAAATGTCCTCCATGTGGCAAATCCAAACCCTAAATGTAAACAACATGAGTTTGTGCAACCCGAAAGACCAAAAGCTTAACACTAACAGCATAGCATTCAAACAATATAGCCACTAGACAGCTTACCATGATACGGTCGTGTGGTTTAAGAATCGCAGTGTAAACCTCAAAATTGGCAGGGGAACCAGACAATGGTTGCACGTTAACACCCCACTTGTTTCCATCCAAGTGAAAAGCGGCCAAAGCTCTTTCTTGACATAGTGTTTCAAGCTCATCAATATGTTCATTTCCACCATAGTATCTGAAACACATTCAGCAGAGCAAGTGCTTCAATCACCACAAAAGAACATGAAAATAATGGGGAGATGTAGAACCACGAAACGAAACCATGATATACCTTTTACCAGGTAGTCCTTCAGAATACTTGTTAGTCAGACAAGAACCAACAGCCTCCATAACCGCCCGAGAAGTAAAATTCTCGGAGGCAATGAGCTCCAGGCTCTTGAACTGCCTTTCCTTTTCCTTTCTGATAATATCATGAACCTCTGGATCAGCATTGTTAAGCGCATGGTCCTGGAAGCCACTTGTATCACCTACGTAAACCAAAATTGCAACAAGGCTAAATCATTCCTCTTCTAGTTCGCGTAGACATAAAGCAGTGTTAAAAGAGAGACAGAGAGAGTGCGTGTTTGAGATAAAATTTCGAACCTTCAGCTTCTGGAATCGGCACAGAGATGGATGAGGGAGGCCTGCCAGTCACCAAGCTGCCTTCGAGAGACGCTTTACAGGGTTTCAAGGACTGGAGCTTAACCTGGCGCGGGAAGAGAACAAAAGTAGACTTCTTGGGAGTGAAAGCTGTTCCCTTGCTCCAAAGGGGCTGTTGCAGAGAACCCATAACTGCAGTTCCGGTGCAAGCCTCCATTTCTGGTTATCGGATTGAAAAGTTCCTGCCTTTTAACTGAACACGAAAAAATTACGGGAAATTACGATGGGGAATAAAGGAAGAGGGAGAAAAACAGCCTTAAGAATAACTACAGAGTCCCGAAGATAGCGTACCAAAGACCGAGTAAAACAAATGACAGGGGGAAAAGGGAAAACAGAGAGAGGATAAACCCTTCTTCGCCTATGGAGCGAGCGGCGGCAAAAGAAGATGGTTCGGGCAAGAGCCGAAAGCAGAGGGTTTTTTCCTGGCTTAGCTGGGGCAGGGGAGGCGCACGAACAAATGGAGCAAAACCCTGAAAACGAAGGGAGAGAGTAAAGCAGTACGGCAAAGGACTGGAAAAGGAAGCAGTTGGGTTGGATAAATGCAGAGGGTTTTCGGTTCGGCCCGAGACCCTATTGCCGAAATTGTTTTAAAATTTGTGGACCAAACTAGAATGCACCATTAAGTTCAAATCGTAAATCACTAATAATAGTTTGGGTCTGTATTTTGGAATGCGTTGATCTCTTGGTTTGGTTCATAAATAGTTTATTGATCCAACTCACTTCTCTATATATGTTAGTAACTCGCTCGATTATCGCTGAACTTTACAACGAAATTCAAGTCTCAATTTTAATTTTGTGAATCTCATTTTCTTCTTCATATACAAACCACACTTTGTGAGATAGCATACAAGATCGCGCCTGCATATGTCATTATGTTAATATGTTATGACGTAATGGTAGAAGTTTGATTGTTCTGATTGTGTGTCTTTGTTATTGATTTGTGTTTAATGTATCAAAATTATGCATGCGTATTAGAATTTAGGTTTAAGGCTTGTTGGTATTTGTTCTCAATCATTGTTTTGATTTTGTATGGTGGACCAAGCAAACTGTTTCATTTTTGCTCAAAGTGATGAGTCTAGTCGTGATCATTAGGTCGCACATGTGTGGCCTAATTGGACCGTATAGTGTTTGGTCTAATCATTACTAGGTGCTCTAACTCTTCGGTCTTGACCATAAATCGTATACATGATCCAACATAGATTGCACCACACCGTTTCTCAATCCTAATAATTACAATTGCCATTTAGAGATCCGAGGGTTTAAAATTGGTGTCCAACAACACTATCGGTTCTCCATTGACGTGTAGCTTCAACTCATAGTTAGTCACTTTGTTGAATAACATATGACAACCATAATAAGTGAAACCTATAAACAACAACCAAACGAAAGTTTGGTCTATCTTCTCACACGAGAAACGAGTAACACTTGTCAAAACTCCAACACGCACTAAACCTCTCTTACATTACAAAATCAAACTCCATACAAATTCATAATACGTTAATTTCCCGTCGACTACTGATCTTTACAAGCAGTTATTACATTGTTTGTTTTCAGTAATGAGATATACCGAAAGAAACTCAATGATTTAAATCAAAATCCCAAAGGTATCAACTATCAAGTATTGTATGAAAGATGAGTATAGTGTTATGACTTGATCAAAGCATGATTCCAACATTTGTATGATTGTACCACAAACTTAATTTCCCATTTTTTTGGGTTCCTAAAGCCGAAAGCGCCACCGTGTCACCGGCAGCCAGCCTCCATAACCGACCAAGCTTAAAGAGTGGGAAATGAAATGATAAACTACTTGCCCGACCTTTATCCGCCACGCCTTCTTCCCATCAGCTCTCTGGTCCACACTCCCCTGCCCTCACCCTCTCAACTCTTCTTCCTCCTTCCTTCCCTTCTCTCTCTCTGTATTCTCTTCCTATATATAAATACACGCACATAAAACGCCTCCATTAATCCTTCTCCCATTTCCTTGGCCCTCTTCTTCTTCCCCTTTCTCCCGGATTCCCCAATTCCCCCTTTGTTCCCGGGTTTCCGGCCGGCGATTACAGCTCTGTTTAATTCAACACAGTTGGTAAGTTACCCAGATCGTTTCCATCATGCCCTTCTGCGAGATTTCAAAGTATCAACAGGATTCCCCTTCTCCCGCCGGCGCCGACGACAATGGCGTCAAGATTTTTTACCGGACGTACGGTCGGGGACCAACCAAAGTTCTGCTCATCATTGGTGAATCTTTTTGTCATAAATTTGGCCGTCCCCGGATTTTCCTCTTTGTTTTTTGTTCCTCATCGCTGATGGATTTTGGTGGGGTTTGTTCGATTTAGGATTGGCGGGGACGCATGATTCATGGGGTCCTCAGATAAAGAGCCTTGCCGGTACTGTCATCGCCAATAACGAAATGGAGCCGGTTGACCTTGCTACCACCGCCGGCGACGGTATTGAGGTTTGTGCTTTTGATAATCGTGGAATGGGCCAGAGCTCCATCCCCGTTGAACGATCCCAATATACGTGAGTTTCTTCTTCTTCTTCCCGTCCCTAATTTCCCCACCAGAAATTTGTGTTCTGACCTTTCCGTCGTGTCATTTTCATTGCTGATGTCGATATGAAATCACTGGCTCTGGCTCACAACCCTTATGTTCAGCTCGTCGTTTTTTTTTTTTGGCAATTCTTCATTCTAATTATATAATTTGGAGCTTTTAAAGTGGTGGGGTTGTGGCCAAATTTTTAATATGATGGGTTGAAAGAGTGTTGTATATAATATGGGATTTCCATTCCAGTAAAGTTCAAGGAAATGGAAGCGTGCTGTAGGGATTCAGCAAAGTTTGTTGGTTGGATAGTTATTATGACTCAACAGCTCATCATTCAATTGGTTGAGAGTTCAAAGTTCGATTAAGACCCTCGTCTGGTTGCTTTTGTTTTGCTCTTTCTTCACCTCTCCAGGACGACAATCATGGCGAAAGATGCAATTGCGTTAATGGATCATTTAGGCTGGGAAAAAGCTCACGTCTTTGGGCACTCAATGGGTGAGTTTTTGAACTTGTAAACTCTCTCCTTTTAGTATATGGATTTTGATCCATTTCCCATGTAAGGCTGAATGACTACACTGAATTGGGTTTGTTTATCAATTACATTATGAAGATTACACTTTCTTTAGCAGTCCTATAAAGCTGAATGTGAGGAACATGATTAGAATTGGGTTTTAGATGTGACTGCACAACCTTTGATCACAATCTCTCCATACCAAGTGATGCTGAGCCTGCAACAAACTGATGTTAAAATGGAGACTGATTCTTACTGCGACTTTCAGAATGTGGGAATCACTGTTTCTCACCATGATAAACTATTTGAAACAGGGGCTATGATATCTTGCAAATTGGCTGCGTTGGTGCCAAATCGAGTCCTTTCGTTGGCATTGCTTAACGCCACCGGTGGAGGATTTGAATGCTTACCGAAGGTATTATTATGCCACTGTTCCGATTGCTGCACTGTTGATCTACCTTTTAATTGTTGTCTGTATGAACTGCCAAACATGACACGCTAGGTCGGCCTAGAATGCCGCCCGCATCAGCCCTCTCGATTGATCGGTTGACTGCGGAGAATGCAAAACAGAATAGTATTCTTCATTTCATAAAGAGTAGCTAGAATACTTGTGTTGTTTGACAATTCCTATCAGTTGAGAACTTGGATAAAGTACACGTTGAAGGTCAAAGAAGGTTGTTAGAAAATAGCTGGCCTACGAGACTACTCTCGTTGTAGTATAAATGAGATTATATATTGTCACTACGATGAATGCATCAATAAGCATGAAAGGTCAATTTTCACATGCTTGAATACTTGATTCCAACTTTTGCTGGCTACAGTCCTCGGCTCTGGTTATATATGCTTGCCTTTGTCTTTCTGCCTTGTTCACTTTGGAATCTTCAAACGACCGAAAAACAGGGCTTTCGCTTGCTGCTAGAAGAGTTGGTCTGTAGAATTAGGGACGCAGGAATAGAAAAGGGCACATTTTGAGCCTTGAGACAAACGCTGTAGAAGGTCAATGTCCAAATTTTGTGGCTTTGGCATCAGGGTCAGAAGAAGTCAAATTCAATCTAATCTCTTTTGTGTGTGTGCGTCATTGAAGAATGCTCTGTTTCTGTTCCTTTTCGCACAAAAGAAGCCACATGGAGGTGGAACAGATTTTTGGGGTTGTCGATGAGGATGGTGGCGGCGGTGGTGGGGCATCTAACTAATTGGAACTATGCTCTTGTTTTTGAAGCTGTAGAGATGCTTCTTTTTAGTTGTCTACCTTCTTTTTGTTTTATCCTCACATTTTTTAGATGATTTGCATGTCGACAATTCTTTAATGTTTAATCTCTTTTAGTGCATAAAATGTGGATGGAGTTTCTTGTCCGTTCTGAATTGAATGAAAGTGATGTGGTTGACTATGTAGATGCCGTAGCAGCTCAAACCTTTCGATGGTCAGCTCCACTGTTAGAACATGCTTAATTATTATGTTACAAATAGTACACTGAACCAAACAGCAAACAACGTTTGATTGTAAGCATAGGAGGTGAACAGATGTTCTATGTTAGCTTCATGTATGTTATCTATCGTTTAAGTTTGATCAAGGATGTGTGGAAGTTTTAGGGGGTTTAGCAAGGTGTTAACTTTCCTTTCGCTTGGTGTAGCTTGATCGTCGAACAATGTCGGTAGCAATCCGATTCTTGAAGGCAAAGACTCCAGAGCAAAGAGCTGCTGTTGATCTGGACACCCATTACACCAAGGTATTAGAGCATGAAAGAAAACCATGCTGAAACTTTGTAAAACTCGAGTTGAATTCTATGTCTCTGTTGCAATGAGAGATGCTGATTGCTGGATGGCTACCTAGAACCTGAAAATGATTGATGTGTGCAGGAATATCTGGACGAATGTATTGGCTCCAGCACTAGACGGCAGATTCTGTATCAAGTAAGAACAGCGACATTTTCTGCACCCTTTCTTGCCTGAGCTCAGAGGCTCATCTTTTCACGATCCAAAGCTGTTTTACCTGTTAGACATCCATGCACCTAAACCCATAACTGGTCTCAAAGTTACCAATTGCAGTTCTAGGAACAAATGTTACCTTTATATCTAAAAAGTGATGCTGCTTCTCGCAGGAGTATGTGAAAGGTATATCATCTACTGGGATGCAGATGAAGTACGGCTTTGATGGTCAAATCAATGCATGTTGGACACATAGGGTGACGAAATCAGATGTAGAAGCAATTCGGAGTGGTGGTTTCCTTGTGTCGGTCATTCACGGCAGGTAAAACATGGTTCTCTCTATCTTGTCAACCTCTGTTAGCAGTATGTGCTTGTTCCTACTTACTGTTCCGTAACTGTTCCAAGGTTTGACCATCTGTAAATAGTTATTCCTAAACATGTAGCAACTACTAGTACTAAACACAAAATCCAATCTACGAGGACTTCAGACATGCAACAAGAACATCTTATTCTGCATTTACTGCAAGTTCTATTTACTATTGCTTGTGAACTCCAAAGGTTAGGTTTTCATGTGTCAGTCAGCTTTCAGAACTACTTGTCAGTAAGTAATCGGTAATCGTACCTGTGCCTGCTCAAAGACTAACCCATGGACTTTTAAATGATTTAGGTATGACATCATTGCACAAATATATTACGCAAGGAGACTCGCCGAGAAGTTGCAGCCAATTGCTAGGATGGTTGATCTCCATGGTGGCCATCTAGTGAGTCATGAGAGAACCGAAGAGGTATGTTCACATTCCTCGAGTAGATGATTGCATGAGAATGAAGAACTGTAAAGCAAAAAGTATGTTATTATCATATGATTGGCAATATCTTCTTCACAAATAATCGGCCAAAGATAAATCACTGATATCCTATAACATGCATATATGCTTGGTTGTGTAAGTAGCAAATCAGTCTCGCAAACCCCTGCCCAGGGAAATGGAACTTCCTGAAAGAATTTTTCCGAGCCTTATATCTATATATAGTTATTCTAATCCTTGATGTTTTGACTTTTCAGGTAAACCAAGCTCTTGCTGAATTGATCAAGGCTTCGCAGGCAGGAACCAGCCCCGAGGACTGGACGAACCTAGTCCAGGAAAGCTCCGGTAAGTCATTTTTCAACTACTCAAGGGTTTCCTTGTGTCTCAAGATATCTAAGAGGTCTACTTTCCTAAATCAAGAGGCGACAGCATCAAACATTACAATCTGATCTGTTAGTATGGTTGGTTGTGTCAAGCAGGGTGGTTGCTGGGGAAGAAATCAACAGATAGAAAAAAGACCAAAGAAGGTTGGGCGCCCGAATCTCGGTCAACATCATCTGGCATCATTACAACAAGACTATATTCTTCGCTTGTGTATTTACTTAGTCTGTTTGTGTTACTATTTGAATTCATGAGGAAAGGTCATAGAAGCCTAAGACCAGCCAAAGTTGGACCTACCCTCACGTAACAGAGCTTTACCATCCAAAAGAGACCCCTCCTTCCAATGTTTTTTCATCATTGCAGGTAAAGTTCATACCTTTAGCTAGCTTCTCACTTAATTGCTCGGCTAATTAGCAAATGATCACCTTGATCCAACTCGTACATTGATGCCGTGCAGGAGGGGTTACCAGAACCTGTGTTGTTTTTCTTACATAGCTCGTTAACCGGTGGTTAATCCCGAAACAGAGGATGAGAGCAAGGAATGGGAAGAGGTGATGGAAGAGAGCTATGGTCCGACGCCACCAGCGAAGGCAGAGATTATCTTATGTAAAGCTCCGACGCCCTCCACTTGGTGTACATAAACGGAAACACAGAGACGAGAGATGTACAAGATGGGAAACCAGAGGAAGAATATATACATGCAAAGTTGAATTTTTATGAAAGACATTGAACAACACTCACAGTGTAACGTACAGTTGATTGATTGTGTGAGAATTGATGAAGCAAATCAAGCAACTATATGTATCTGATCCATTTTGTGGGGAGCATCAAGCATATGTTTATCTTAATGAATTCTCTTCACTACTTCCTTTCCAACGATAAGCATTAATTAGCGAAAGGACGTTTGTGCAGAGTTTGGTTAATCAGAATGATACCCGCAACCCATCTCTGTGAAATGCTTGTTACACTCGTTTAGCTTAAAAAAGACTGTTCCTTTTTCTTCTCTGGAGATAGAAAACCCTCAAATACTACACCTACTCCGTAAATTATCCGCTGGGAGTCGACGAGACTCGAATACACCATCTTTGAGACGCTGGAGAAGGAAGAACTCTGCTGTTTCTCTGTTTTTATGTTACCCCTGTTTCTTTCTAAGAAAGAGATTTTGTTGGTATGCCCACAATTCACTTCAATTCAATCACATGAGCAAGATTGACAATAGAAGAGGAGAAAAGAGGGAGAGAGAGAGAAGACGTGCCTGAAGTTGTAATTCGTCGGCGGACGGTTGCTGCTGTCTCTGTACAATCTACTTTGCAGTGACCATTGGGTAAGCTGTGAATTGCTTTGCACTCAGAGAGAGCGAAGCTGATAGCTGGAGAAGGAACAGCAGCAATCATGAATTGGGTGGGAGAAGAAGGGCATTTATCTTGAGTAAGTTGTCAGACTTTTAGTTGAAGGAAAATCGTTTTTTTTTTTTTTTTTTTTCCAAGTAATGACAAGAGAAAAAAAGTTAGAAACCTCTACCCAAAACCCCACCCAAAGCAACACTTAGTGAAGCCACCCTACAAAAACAAAGTACGCTACCTCTAAAGAGGACAGCAACAGAGCTTTAGGTGCCACTCTATGGGCAGCTCAGTTGGCAGTCCGCAGAACCACACTAAAAACTATAAAAAGAGAGCATGAAACTAGGAGCCGATGACACTCTTGGAGTAGTGAGCCGCCTATCGAATCTTCCACTGTTCTACGGTCCAGATGCCGAATCACCACTTCAGGATCACCTAGCAGCAAGGTGCTTTGCTAGATAGGGATCGAAAACTCCTTGGTGCTAAGATCCCAGGCCAGTAGAACTTGCCCGTCTGTCCCGTATATATTCTGTTTCTCCTGCTTTGCCGCCAGCGAAGATAAGAACGAGCGAGTGTTGTTGTTGGCTGCCTCTGAAGAATATTCCTACACTTATTCTTTCTCCTCATGTTTGTTTGTGTTGTCAGGATGTGAGTGTTTTTGAATTAGAAACGAGGGTTCAAGTTCAACCATGGAAGCAAAGCAAGTTGCAGAAACAGGCTGATTCTATATTACATTAGGGAAAGAAAGAAAAAAGCTATAAGATGTAAAATAGGCATTGACACTGTAATTACTTGAAGCTGGAGAGAAGGAAAAAAAAAATCATGTTGCAGGGTTGGATTCATTCGTTTGATCATCAACGGTATTTTCTTTGTATTCCCATCAATATTCATCCAAGTATGTATAAAGCATCTCGTCTTTCTTCGATTTCCGCCGGCTAAGCAAAGCCTTGAGGATGCGTTTGCTTTTGCTTGGGTATTGTTCAATGTCTTTAGAGTTCTCCTTCTCGGCTGGGACTCGCATCGACAATGATTTCCGTGGCTCTGATGGGTACTGTGCAGAGGATCAAGAACAGAAATGAAACAGAGAGTCAGTTCCAAGCAACTGGTTCTGTTGATCATTAGAATTACGCAGAGAAGCATAGTCAGTGTACTAACCCGTCGTCTTGCTGCGGAAGCAGCACTTGGTGTAGTAGGTCTACTTGCTCCTGGTGTCGTTGGTCTACTTGACACAGACCCAGAACGCAGAAGGGGGAACCGGTGTGGTGAAACAGTTCGCTTATCTGATTCAATGGCAACAAGAATTATTTCAGTTCAGAAAATCAAGTAGTAGGTAAATGGTGTGTTTGCTTTGGCAAAAAAAATAAGTACAGTTGGCTTAAAAGCTAAAACAAACACACTTAAACTATTTTTCAATCTGAAAGGAAGAAAAGTGGTCTCTAACCTAGTTCTTTCTTCGACGCCGTGCCAGTAAAGGAAAAGGTTGAAGATCGCTGAGGAATTCGAGGAGATGGCGATGGTGTGCTAGCTTTGCTGCAAGTATGAATGAATAACTTCATTATTACTAGCCTGAAACTATTGCAGTTTTGTGTATTCCATAAGGCTGAGGGTATGTCATACCTTACTGAAGCTGGTGGTGTTTCCTTAATGGTAGCTCGAACAGCTTTGGAAAGCAGAAAAGAAGTGTACAAGCAAATTAGACTATGAAATAGTGTCTGCCAAAGTAACAACAAACGGAAGAAAAGCAAAATACTCATAGTACCACTTCTAAATTGGCGCCAATCATCTTCATCATCAAGACTGCATCCTTGGTATTTTGCTTTGGTGCGGATGGAACCTTGCATTGTCTCCCCAACTTAAGACATAAAATTGAGAGATTGGGTATGAGTCTAAATGTCAAAATCATTGAAATCCGTAAGGATAGAACAGAAACTTGTTTTCAGAAGACAAGAACAAAGATTAGAATTATTACCGGGCAGAATGTACCGCTTGTGGTACTTTGGCGTATTTATCACCAGTGACTGTTGAGAAATGCCTTCATGATCAATATACTCTTGGCAAGTCCTTAATCTCTAACACACCACAACAGGAAAGGAGCAAGCCAATGTCAAGGCCATCATAATCAATGTACAATGGAAAATGAACTCATCATGAACAATGAACAACTGATTCAAAGCTTATTCTACATTTCCAGACTAGCGAAAGCAGATACGTGACATTGCATTTATGATCTCAAAGAAAGTGTCCACCGTACCATAGCAAACCATGTATCAAAGGAACCAGTTAGCAATACCTGTTCAAGACAGGACACTCTAAACTCTGTTCCAGTAACTTCATCTACTTTTTCATCCAAGAGATCATTAACCTTATACGTCACTGAACCCAAATGATCCACTGTATTCACAAGAGCTTTGATTGCATAATCCTTTAACGTTTCCACCACTCTGCAAAATCAACACTCTGAGATTTTGTAAATGAACCCAAAGATGCAAACAAAACAAAACAAAAAACAAAAAAAACTGAACTGGGCTGCTTCATCTTACATTTGCTTCTGGTCATCATTCGTATAGGATAGCTCAAAGTACTCTGCAGCTGAGTACAACTGTGTTCTTAAATTCTTCAAATCCTGAAGTTCAGAGACAGCAAGAACTCAACACTCTGGCTTACCTAGATTCAGGTAAAAGCACCAAAAGCATGTGCTAGTAACATTTCAATGTGATTAGAAGGGGAGCTAGTAACAAAAGGGCACCCTACTAAGACTAGAATGTGGTATAAAGCCTATGAGCATGGGAACCATTGTGCTATCACATTAAATCTAACATCACGTATACGCAATATCTCCATCCAAAAATAGCAATTTTGCCATAGTTTTTTACGAAGTATGAGCTAATGTTTTATGTAAATGCTTCAACAAGTAGAAGTACCTTGAGACTATCTGCGAAGAGCAAGCTCTGCTGCATAGAGACCTCATCATAATTTGAAGCCTCTCTAGAGACCGAGGATGCGGTCATGGTAACCATGGAAGAGAAGTACTTCTTCAAACAAGCCCTTTCTCTCTCTGCTAGAGCCGCAATGAACAGTCTCACTGCAGAAGTAAGACCAAGCCAAAAACATGATTCAACATTGAATCATAAGCTACAAACTAAGCTGAGCCATAGTTGCTGCAGAATGATGGAGCCCCAGTAGCTTCAAATGGATAGGAAGCTGAGGAGTATAATAGCTAATATAATAAATAGAAACACTCCACTAGAGCTGCATCATGTATCTACTGCAAACGTTCAAACTCGAAAAAAAGCATGAAAGAATTAAATGCCAGGAGACAGAAACAACCTTTAACAACAAGATAACAAGAGAAAAGAGACAAAAGCAACAACCTTGAGCTCAAGATTTCCTACAGAATACAGATTCCTTTCTAAAATTTGAATTCTATAATCCATACCCTACTTTCAGCCATTAGACAAGCTTCTGAAACTGCTCAGAGAATGGAGAAATATAAACATTTAGAGGGGAAAGAGAGAGAATCACACCAAACACTCCCAACAACTGCATTATGCTCCTCCTCAAGAGACCTAAATTAGTAAATTCCATCTGCATTCTTCAACTATACTCCTCCATCCCAAACAAAGTAATAATATAAATTCACAGCCCATAAAAGTAATCGACACCCAATTCTTTAAGTACATCCAAAAAGGGGAAAAGATTATCATTTCCCGTGAATTCCCCTTGTTTGGTTCCCGGATGAAACGCATCAAGCAGAAACTAAGGAAAAACTACTATTTTAATCTCCCCACAGATTCACCTCGGCCAAAAGGGATTCCTTTCACCTAAAACCCTCCCCTGATTCCCAAACCCAACAAGCAGAACCAGAAAACAGAGCCAATTGGGGGGTTCTAGACTTCTGGGCAGTAAAGAATCAAAGAGACTAACCTGATTCTCTCTATCTCCCAAGCGAGAAACCCTTCTACGCTTCAAAACCCAGCTGCCCCATCGACAAACGAGCAGAAGACGTAAAGGCAGGACGCGTTCAGAGTGGCTGCCCCTCTTGCTTCCTAATGCTAGCACAACGACGGCGTTGTCTGACTAAGCAGTCAAGTGAGGACAATTGCTCCGAGTCCCAATGGCTTAAATTGTTTGTAGAAGAAGAAGAAGGAGGTGAGCTGGTGAGGTATATAAAGCCAAGAGGGAAGGGGGAAATGAAACGGTACTGTAGCCAGGGAGGGAAAGAGACAGAGTGATAAGAAAGAGAGAGTGGTATGAAGAAATCGTGCCAGGAAGCAGAAGGAGAAGAAGAAAGGGGAAAAGGGAAAGAAGCGCTGCGTTGAGGGGAGCACGTAGTGCGGGAGAGGCTGCGTGATTGAAGGGGAAAAAAGCCGGAGTGGGAATTTGGAATTTGGGGAAGAAAGAGATTTTCTTATTGGTGTTAAGGAAGGATTAGATGGTCAAAGGTTGGTGGGAGAAGAAGCAAGTCGCACTCAGTGGGGGGAATTAGCACCTGTTTTGTTTTTGTTCTAATTAGTAATTGGGCTTTATTTTGGGCCCAACTTTGATGTGGATCCCCACCATTCATGAGAGGCTTTTTCTTCTGTGGGCTAATCACTGCAGTGGGCCATCAGTTTTTTTTTTTTTTTTATAATGGACAGTGGGCCATCAGTTGACAAGCAAATTATAGTGTGTGTCGATCAAAGACCAAAATGAATGCGTGATATTGGATAGCAAGGCAAGGATGAGAATTCTAGTGAGGATAAATATGGATTTGATTTGTTTTATCGGGTTGTGTGTGGATAGTCATCCATTTTGCAAGAGATGGTTGTTATTGTTGTGTTCGTTTTGTGGTGTTCTTAAGCGGTTATATTTAGTATTGTAGCTGAGAATCTGAAGGGTGGGAGAAGAAGTTCGAAAGACTTGAACTTTGTTCATCAAAAAGGGAGTCAAAATTCTATAAATTATTTTGTTTGTTGGTTTGGTATATCCTTAAATCTAGTGGGGATTAGAACTCCGAGTGCGAGTATTGCTTATATTAAGTTTTGTGAACTAAAAAAGAAGTGAGAATACGTGGCTATAATTTTGGATCAGAACTCCCCAATTCTAGAACCGCTTTCTCATTATAATCACTGACAGGTTTAAGATAGGAGCTATCGTCCCTTGTGGGTTTAACGAAATTTAAATTAGCTGACAACATTGAAATATCATATAACACATAAAGACCGAGTCTAGAAGGAGTGAACATAAGCGAACTGTGTTAAACAATGGAAAATTTTGTGCAGGTCAACTCGAACCACAAGAGAAGGCAAGAAACTATCAAGCACAAATGGAGGAGGCGAGATAAAGAATAGAACTATCATTGGGTATAATCAGCACGGATCACCATAAGTTAACAATTTTGGAGATCATAATAAATGGACTTAGTTGTTTACAAGTTCATGTTACAGCCATTAATCAAACAAAACAAAAATAGAACTATCATCACCGCCGCATCATACAGATTCATGTTCACACGCCAAAATTGGATCTGATTTGAATCTCATGGGGAATCTTCTTCTTCTTCTATATCAAAGCTTTTGTTTAACAACTACAAATCCCGATTCCTCAAACTACACAAATCGAGATTCAATTATAACGCAGCAGTAGTATGAATTAGTTTGGTGGACGTGCCCTAGAATTCCAGATCAAAAGTTATACAGGATACGTGTATGGATAAGATTATTTAGCTGATTTTTCTGATATCGAACAACTAAGACGACAACGATGGAGTGATATATGCGATACATGTAAAATTTCGAACACTGTCTACTCGTCAAGTCAGTAGTAGTGTTGTAACTCTACTTATGGTTTGCATCGTAGAAACTAAATTCGTGTAACAAAATGGCGACTACAATCACGTGATCTTGTAGTAACAAGATAATAATTTTCATGTAACAAAAACCACAGAGATCGCATGCCATTAGAGATACCAATTCAAATCCAATTCATACATCTAACAAACACAATTCACTCATCAATTTCGATCCACCCCATAAATCCATCCGTCCATCAATCAAATTCACAGTTTTTCAACAAATTCACTGAAACGCGCACACGAGTACTTTTATCTCTCTCTCTTCTTTCTATATCCGTTTGCATGTACGGGAAATGGGATAAATGAAAAGTATGGATCGAACCAAAATGTAGAGTGAATGCAATTAAAAAGATATTTAGATTAGATAGGCTATTAATTAGTAATTATTAGCAGCCCCACCAATGCCGGCCATGGTTAATTAACAAGTGATGATCGTGTTTTTGGGTATTCGCTAATCGTAATTAATTACTGTACATACGTTCATTTCCCCCCACCCCTACACTCATTGCATTAAATCCTCAACTTAATTTCCCAATAACCACGCCACATAATAATTACACATATAACCACTCCACTTATCCCACTAATTATTAATTACTGCGCCTTCCTTTGTTATTATTTTTCACCGTAACTCTCACATCATTAATTCTGATCTTTTTACACCCCACGATTAACCACTCTCCCACACACACTCACTTTAGACCTATAAATAACCTTGAACCACAATTTCACCCCTTTAGACTTTAGAGCCACAAACAAGGAATACATATCATGAACATGAACATGAACATGAACATGAACAGTAATTATTACAGTGCTTATGAAATGCTTGCATTGGAGCAGAAGCAGCACTATGATCATCACAATCAGGAGCAGCAGCAGCTAGTCCTCGACGACGACTGGTCTTTCGTGGAAGACTGTTACGACAAGTAAGTCCTTTTCTATAACGTCTTCTTCTGTCGATACATCGACTATCAATTTTCTCGTTTATTACTATTGTTTATCTATGTTTTCTTAGTAACGCAATCGCGCTACTACTTCTCAATTAAAATGATTTCATCTCATAATATGACAATTTTTTTTTTTTTTTACTGCATGCAGACTACGTCTACACGAGCCCCAACTGCCGGCGCCGGCGCCGGCTCTGTACACTGAAAGCAGCGGGAGCACTAGCTGCGTCAGCAATATGGACGGACTCTCGGGCCCGAATTTGTACGAACTGGGCGACATAGATCAACTATGGGCCCAGTGGCCCAATGACTATTCCAATATCCCGTTGCCCAGCCCAATAATCGAATTTAGTGAAACGGCGCCGCAGGCGCCAAATATCGATAATTTCCTCACCGGTCCCGAAACATTCGACGTTGCGTCGCCGAAGGCCGTTACAGTGAAGCGGCGGAGGAGCGGCGGCAGCGGCGGCGGAAGGGATCACCGGCGGGGAGGTTTGGAGCTGGAGGACATACAGAAGTACTTCCACGTCCCGATCACCAGAGCCGCCAAGGAAATGAAAGTGGGTTTAACGGTGCTGAAGCGGCGGTGCAGGGAATTGAACATAATGCGGTGGCCGCACCGGAAAATCAAGAGCCTGAACTCGCTCATCGACAACGTGAAAGAAATGGGGATGGGAGAGGAGACGGCGATGCTGGAGGAGCACCGGAGGATGATTGAGAGGGCGCCGGACATGGAGCTTACGGACAGGACGAAGAGGCTGCGGCAGGCCTGCTTCAAGGCCAACTACAAGAAGCGGCGGCTCTACAACCATATCGCTCCGCTGCCGTTTTAATTTTCCGGTGGCCGGAGTGTTATTAATTAGTTTATGACGGCTGTTGTTTTTTTTTTTGGTCTCGTGTGTTTTACCTTTTAGTGTCCAGCAATGGTTCTTTTATTATATCCTGATGAAGGGGTAGAATCCAAAAACTTGAATTGTATTCGAGTTTTTTTTTAGTTTTTTGGTGGTTGGAAGTGTTTGATTCCCAATGGCCAATACTGCTCCATTGTACTTTTGTTTTGGATAGGATTCTCCAACAACGGCAAGATTACGGTGCTAAGTACAATTCTCGTACAGAAGAAGTCAACAGAACAGAAGTAGGCAGATCGGTTTGGCTTGGGAATGACATTTGACGGGGCGGAGCGAGTGTTAGAAACCGAACAGAAAAATTAGGGTTACCGATTTGGCTGAGTTGCGGACTAGGTTGCTCTCTTTAAGCCGTTCGCGGCACTGCCTCGTATTGCGCACAACAGACTATCAGCCGGTCGCCTCCAGGATAAAACAGTCATTCTAATTTTATTGCTCATCGATTTTGTGTGAAAACTGGAGCTCTATGAATTCACTCTCTCTCGTATTTCTGCTCTTCTGATGTGTGTTTAGAGGGTCTGGGGCGTCTCCTATTTATAGGAGCAGAAAACCCAGAATATTCCCTCTTTCTTTGGGAATAAGTCACATTTTAATTAGGGAGATAATTACTCCCATAATTAAAATATAATCTATTAAGATAATTATTCCTAATTATCTCCATAATATTCATTTTATTAATTATCCATCTTAATTTTGTATTATGGAAAAATACTGGATAATTAATTAGGAATTTCATTATAGCTTTTCAAAACTATTCATCCCAACAATATCTGCCTCGTGTTTAACTTAACGCAGATCGTCGTCCGTCATCAAATTCGTGACGAGACACTCTTATAATCTTATCTAGATTCATTTGTCGAACAACATGATATACATATGAACATAATTTACTCACACACAACAACCGTAATTACACAGAAAATTAATAGACTTGTCGTCGGGATATTTCCATATATGTAATCCATCAATTTATACCCCAAAGCTAGACCCAAACACCCTCACCCCCAAAGAGTTCATGGTCTAGATATACCCTACCTAGCTACTAACTTCATCAATTCTTCCACCATACTTCAACATTATCGGCTATATTACACAAAAACATATGGTTTCCATACTTACGACGACAGTCACATATATGTCTGTCGTCGTCATCAATCATCATATTTATAATTGCATTATTATTGACTACTGTTAACCAACAACTCCATTAATACTCCTCCACTCACCCCTCGGCCGACGACTTCACTCCCCAGCCAGCTAGCTAGCTCCTTCTGGCTGGAACCATCACCATCTTCTTAAAGCTCCTGTAAATGCTGTTCTGCAGATCCATCAAAACTATGGTTAAGTTATGTAATTGTTTCACCAATGCAGTAAAGATCGTGAATCTACGTATAGTCGTACACAAACGATATTTGGTGATCTAGAACTAGAAGTATAAAAGTATAAGTTTTTAAACCTGTGAAAGTGAAAAGAACAATTCTACATACAAGTCGTTGAAAAGTTTTAAAACGCAACTTTAACTTTGTTAATAAGGAATTACCAAGCATGCCTGTGGCCGGCCTGCCGCCGACAAGTTGAACAAGCTCCGCCGCCTCCTGATCCTCGAGATCTTCACATTCCGTTGATCGCCATCCTCCTCCTCCACGTAACTGCTGCTGCTGATGATCTCCGCGGAGTCAAAGTTGGCCACTTGTTGACCTTTCTTGTTCCTCATCGTCGACGATGACGTCATCTTCGTCACCAGATTCCCCCACCTGCCCGACCCGGACCCGAACCCGGCCCGGCCGCTCGTAAACGACATCGACCGCTTCGGCGGCGCCTCCTCTTCCTGCCGGAAGCTCCTACACGCCGCCGGCGACGGCATGTTAGACACTCGATCTCTCCTGGTGCTGCCGCTCACAACCAGCCGCGGAGGCAGCTCCAAGCACCGCGCTGCGATGGGTTCGGTCTGATCGTCGACGCCGGCGGCGGCGTCGTCGTGGCGGTGGTCGAGGCGGCGGCGGGGAGGCCTGGGCTTGCCGGGAGCCTCCTCCCACTTGAACGGCACGGAGGCGAGGCGGTTGATCGGCGGCGTGGGCGGCGGCGGGCCGGCGGGAGAGTACTGGCGGGCGCCCTTCACTCCGGCGGGCAGCGAGAACAGGGAGAGCTTCGGCGGTGGAGTGGCGCCGCCGCCGCCTCCGCCGGGCTCGTTCCAGACTGCCGCCGCGGCTTGGTGGAAACGCATCGTAAAGATGTGATCTTTTTTACCTATAACCCAATTAACTAGCCGATTTGATGGTATCGATTTGGAAGAAACAGTTTGGATTTTACGGAAATCTAAAGGGGATGGAGAGAGAGAGAGAGAGAGAGAGAGAGAGAGAGAGGAGTTCTTAGTTCTATATATGGACGGAATTGAATGGGGGAATGTGAAAATGGTGAAGGGAAGAGAGGGAAGTTGTGTGTGAGAAGAGAAAATGCTAACGCTCCACCAGCTGCGCGCTTCTTCTTCTTCCTTCTTATCTCACAGTTTTCACGAGATGTTGGCCGGTTTTTACTTTCAACCGTCTTAGTTTGAAACTCATAAGATGTCTCAATATTAAGATTCGCGCTAGTAAGAGCCAGCGCGATTGTCGAATTTGAAACTTTAAGATAAATGCGAGAATAGTTGGATATATCATTCTTTCACTTCATATGGTGTTTAAGATTTTGAGTATGCGCGAGCATTTATGTTTCATTTATAATTTAGGAGATAAATTATGTATCGCTGATTGCTTAAATACTAGTTACTGTGAAATTACATGATACGAACCAGGTGAAATTTATCACGAACTATCGTACAAGAAAAATATGAAGTGAATAGCATTGATACCGATTTAGTATATAAATATGAAATCAGTTGATCATCTATATCATACATGACATATAAAAAAATATATTATATAATATTTAATGTATAAATGATCTGAGAGTTTAGTTTAACGGTTCAACTATTTAGAATAAACGAGCTCGTAGCTGAACCCAAATAAAACAAGACTCTCTACTCATTAGCCGCCCTAATCCTATACCAATGGCGTGATCCATATATGTATCACGATTATCAGACGGTCCGTTTGTCACTTGTTCGTTACTTATGTGAGGGATAATTAATTGATTAATTAAGAATACTAATGACCGAAAGAGCGGTTTTGATTCTCGTTAAGAAGAAGCCTCCACCCTCCCCCAATTTCCAGCCGTTGTTCGTTGGATGCCTGCGTTTGGAATTTGGATATTAGTAGATCGAAGAGAATTTTGGATGGGTCAAAAAACAGATTTGGGATTAAGCTAAATTCGATAGAGTGTAATTATTCTGAAAATGTGATCTCATTTGGAAGATAATATATCCACGTGGCAAATGGACTAGGTGAATGGTGGCGAGATGTGAGATGTTAGAAGGGTTTTGATATAAACTACGGTTACATATTAGGTTTATTCGACTATATAGAGTAACTATTGCATTAGTTCGGTTTATCAGTCAAATTAATAAATAAAAATGTTTTTCAAACACTTTACATCGTGCTCTCCTTACGAGTTATAAGCAAAACTCTTGAACCATGAGTAACGTTCATCATACCTGATAATCTTACAAAGTAGTTTTGTCTAATATAACTAGGGGTGACTATACGGTCCGGTCTTGTTAAATTGGCCAAATTGATCCGGTCCAGTCCGGTCTTTTTGAAAATATGAGGACCAAAGATTGGATTGGATACAGTCCGGTCATGATCCGGTCCGGTCCCAATTCGGTCTTGATTTTATATTAAGTTTGTGGGGATTTGAGTGGCCTAAGGCCTGAAAGGGTGAGGAGTTGGTTAAGTTTTGTACTAAGTGCAAAGATTTGTGTCCGTTTATGCAAATTACTCTTAAGTTTTGGGTGTTGAGCTCTCTTATCCGGTCTTTATCCAGTTTTCGATCCGATCCCAAACGGGTTTTTACCTCAAATGTAAGCCCAAAGGCCAAAGATTGGATTGGATTGTTTACTATCCGGTCCCGGTCCAGTCTCGATCCGGGTTATACGGTCCGGTTTCGGGTAAAACCAAAAAACCGGACCAAATAGCCAGCCCTAAATATAACTCCCAGACTATACACAAAGAACAAACTATGAACATCTGCAAACTTGCTAACCACGCCACAACTTTCCTTCTTATTACAGTGAGATAATGCAATTTTTCATGGCTATCTCTGCTATATACGTAGGCTGTACATCACATTGAGTATACATACATATATAAAAATTACCGCCTCAAGCGTATCATCCCTTGGCAAGCCAAGGTCCCTTCGAGATCCCCAATGATTCGCGCGATTCGAACCTCGAGACCTCTCTGAACTTCCTGCAACAACGCCTTCACGTTGTCTGCAAACATTTTTATGTTGATGTGCCTTCCTGACTTGTTCAGCTCTTCGGGCACCTCCACGAACCCTGAACCGATCTTCGTCTGCACATCCATCAGCTTCTGCCCTGTTGCCACCATGTACCTCTGCACCTGAAACGTCTCCTCCAAGTAATGCTCCAGTCTCTTCATTTCTCCCTTGCTTCTCTCCTCCCTCTTCCCAGATGAACAAGTCTCCACATTGTCATGCTGCAAACATCATTCATTTCCAGAAAAGAGTTATGCAAATGTAATGTGAGTGTGAAATCTTGATCCTTACTTCTACTGCAACTAGAACAAGTTACTTTCTTTTGAAAGTTACTGACCATGCGCTTGCAGAGTTCGTCGGTCTTTGCTTGGAGGGTCTGGTACCTATTGATTTGCCTGTTGAGCAGTGATATCAGCATTAAGAAGCCCTTTACCCCATTCTCTTGATCACCTGAATCTTCTTCACCACTCTCTTGCTTTCCTGTCAACCTCTCCAGCATCAGGAGCTGCTGCTTCAGCCTCTTGATCTTGTAAGAGACTCCAAGGGCTTGGAGATCCATTCTCCATGGGTTATTACTGCTGCCATTAGTGTTGATCACCAACGCCTTGCTGCTTGTTGCTATGCTCTTCACACTCTCAATCTCTGCCATGGAGCTTGGGCTTCCCTCGTTAATCGTAGGACCCTGTTCGGTTACATGCTTCTCTTCTTCAAACTCCTTCTCAGGAGACTCGACGGCCATAATTATCTCATTCTTGGGTTGGTGGGAAATGGTAACTAGAGGCTGTTGTGCTGATTGAGACATTATTGCTTGCTGTTGAAGACAACTTACTTCCTCCTTAATCTGCAGTAGTGAAGCTTCGAGTTTCATATTCTCGTGCCTTACTCGGGATAACTCTTGGTTCAGTGATTCGAGGTGAGATTGCAGTCTATTGGATTCTATCTGAGTGCTCAAGAACTTCCTTCGAAAAGCTTCGAGCTTTTCGTCTTTGAGCCTCAACTGCTCCACAAAAGCATCAATCTCAACATGATGCCTCTTCTCAATTGCTGCTGCATACCTTTCTGCTTCCGTTCTAATCCATCCTTCCAATCTCCTAACATCAGCTGCCATAAAAAAACACAGTTTTTCTTTTTAAACATGAAGAACATCAACAGAAAGTTATATCACCATTTCATCAATTCACTTTATTATCTTTGATACTTTCCTATATGATTATAAGTGCACACAGACTTCAGATTCACAATCCTATCACAAAAACTCCATTAACCTAACAATGTCCTATATCCATCTTATGTTTCAAAATCCATCAACTTTGAATACCATCTGCCAAACTATGATAATCAGCAACTTAAGGACTTACCTAGCTCAGCAGCCCTTCCATCTGGTGAGTAGTCATAAGGGAAAGAAGCCATATCCGAGTCGTTCAAGAACTCGGGATTCTCATACTCAAACACATAATTATCACTAGAATGTGATGATCTACCTTTCGTGAGACCGTCATCATCTTGCCTCGCGTTTGCAAACATGCTTCTCAAAGAATGCTGCTTCTTCTCATGCCTAGTCTCTGATGCATGAGCAGCAGCCCTCCATCTTTCTGTCTCCAGTTCAGCCTGCTTCCTTCTAGCCTTGGAAACCTTCACTTCCTTGACCAGCATTTGCTTCTCGCTCACATCCGCCTTCGTTCTCCTCAAAACTGCAGACAAGATCTTCTCTTTCTGCTCCAAATCCGTTCTCAGCTTCACAACTTCTGCAGCTGATTCCTCCTTCTGCTCCACAGCAGAATTCAACTCCTGCCTTTTAACCTCAAGCTGCTTCACCAACCTACCCATCTCAGCTTCAACCTGTCTCTGGTTCGAAACAAGCTCGAGAAACGCAGTCTTGTGCTTCCACAGATCCGCAGAATGCTCCTGAGCTTCCCTTCTCATGGATTCCCTCAACTCTTCGACCGAATTCGCGGCCCTCGTCAGCTTCTCGTCCAATTCCTTCCTCTTGTTCTCCTCTTCCTCTAATGCCTTATCCTTCGCCTGCAACAAACCTTCCATTCCCCCAATTTTGTAATGGAATTCCGAGATGACTTGTTCTTTCTCCTTCTGGAAAAATTCCAATTGGTTCATTAGGGTTCCAATGTGCAGCCTGAGCTTCTTCCTCTCTATAAACCAGGTCTGCTCCTGAGAAGCGAAAATCCCCACGACTTTCTCGTTGGCCTTCCCGTCCTCTTTCCTCATTTGCTTCAACTCTTCGATCTCCATCTCGGCAGTCTTCAGCTTGCTGAGAAGAAGATGGTGGTGGCATTCATTACTTTCTACCGCCTCCCTCTCGCCCTCATCGGAGTTCACTACATCTCCCATTGCAGACAGAAGAGCAGGAATAAACTGGAAAATAACTGGAATTGAGTAGCTCTAAACAGTAGGTCAATGCGAACCCATTACGCAAAATCCTCAATTTAACACAAATCAAGTGGAAAGATTGCAACTTAACGAGGAAAATTAACGGAGACTGGGCTCAAATTGGGAAGCTGAAGCAGAAACCAACCGCCCTCGAAGAAGAAGCTCTGAACGTGAAGGAAGAGAATGGGAAAAGCATGCTTTCTCTGGCTGGCTTCAGTAAGAAGGAAAGTGGGAAAAGGGACAGCCAAGCTGCCAAAAAGATTGAATTGTTGGGGGTGGGAGTAAGGAAAGCAAGCTGCTGGTGAGCTGAAGCCACAGTAACCAAAACTGGAAACAGAGGTTGACAGGGAAAACGATGAAGGAGAAGAGGAAGAGCTGGGGGAAAAAAGGGATCTTTTCCTTCCTTTTCCCTCTTTTCGGGTGGCCTGGTTTTCAGTGAAAGACAGAGTCTGACCCGCCTCCTATAGACTTTTCCAATTTTCCACTCCTCTACAGTTTTCCTATTTTTGTTTTTCTTTTAAACAGGGCATCAATATGGACTTGAAAGGCCTAACAACGTCACATTATGAGTTGATAGGCTAAATTAGGGTATGGAGTAATGGTAAACATGTAATCCAAAGAAGCATGGTAAGTTAGAAAATGAACTACTTTCCGGAAATCATGAACTATATGAGTGTCTCGGTTTAATGAACTACAAGACGAACACATGAGTTGAACAAATGGATATGATGAATGGTTGTACACCATAAATGTAGCATGAAATGTTAGTGATCTGACTTCTTAATCTCATGTGATCCGTGCAAGAGAATCGTCATCTATAAAACAACATTTCTGAACTCAACTTAACGAGTTCAAATAGCGCCCAATTTTTTACCAACTTCTTGCTCGATTAATGATATTTCTACCTCTGAGATCGACATTAAACCCGTGTAGTCTGAATGATATGATTGGATGGATGGTTTGCACTTTGCATTCTGTTATGGGGAACAAGAGCACCAAGATTCCTGGTGCCTTTTGTTTGTGTGGGGTTTGTGTTTGTCACCAAAAGCAGAGAGTGGCTTCCCTGTCCAATCAATTCAACCACATCAACATAATAATTTTGCTTTCAAGTGTTTGTAAAATATCTTTGTTCAAAATCCTTTCTTTCTGGTTCTTGTTTCATGATTAACATAAAAAATGGGAGAAGGGGAGGGAAATTGAATGAACTTTCTGGCACAAAAAAGGGGTGGATTCACTGGATTGTGATGTATTGGGCTTTATGGAATCAATAAAAAAGATTCAGCATTGTTTTGTAATTGTGGTTCTTCTAGAACTTTTGCTAGTGTGCATATTTGTAGAGTTTCAGGACCAATCAGTAATAAAACCATAATATGGGTAGTAAAATGAAAAACTTTTGGTGGGCGCGCGTCGACTAGTAATAACAGAATAGTTCGTTCGCTCGTTTTCTGGATTCTCCTCTCTCTACTCTGTCTTCTTCTTCCTCTATATCTCACCGGGAAGATCTCCGGCGAACTCACTTGACATCCCGCTTTCCTTCCTGAAGCACCTTTACTCTGCTTCCTCGTTCTGTTCTCGATCAAGAAAACCTAGAATTTCCGCATAGGGTGCTAGGTTCTCCATGGGGGAATTGAAAATGGAGGATGTTACGCTCCCGGCGCTCTTCGAGCAAGCTCGGAAGATCCATTCGTCTGCCACGGAGTCCAGTGCTGATCAGGTAAAATCGATCACCAGCTGAATTTTTTGACTGATTGATTGAGCGGTTCCTTCTCTTTCGGTTTTGAAGTGATTTCGTTCCGTTTGCGAGACCTAATTTTCGGTTTTTTCGGTCCGAGAACGTGTTATAGGAGGAGCTGAGAAGAGGGTGCGAGGCACTGGAGAAGTGCGAGGAGATGGCCGGCAAGCTGGGGTTGTTCTCCGCTAATGAGACCAAAGAAGATATCAGCACCACCAATCTGAAATATATTCTGGTAATTTGATCCTTTTCCCCCCCTTTTGTTTCATTGATCTAGTTGGCTTCGTCTTATAGTTCCTGCAAATATGGAAGCTGTAACAATTCTGGAATTCTAGTATTGTTGGGTAATGGATGGCACTTGTAGGAGCTTTGGTTGTAGCTAGAGTATGTTGCAGTAACTTGTATCATTAGTTGCTGGAAAAGAACTGTTGATGTAGGCAGCTTGTGTTGCCATTTTCACTGTGGCCTGTGGTTAGAAGAGACGTAGGCTTTGGTTGTTTGATCTGTCTGGAGCACTCAGAAATTTTGTTGAGGAAGAAATGTTGAATCTGTGCATTTTACTTCTCCTTTTCTTTTAGAAGTACTATGACTGTAATTAAGATAAGTTGGCAAGCTGTAGATGTATGAGTCACTGAATGTGGGAAATTGTTAAATTTTCTGGCTTTCTGGTAAGAAATAGACTACGTGGTCTGCAGTAATGGACTGTGTGGCAAAATGTAACAATGCTGCCGGTCTTCATGCTGCTACTTCATGTTCGTAAATGCTTTCTTGTTTATATCCATAATTCACATAGCTGTTTGTTTCGCAGGTGCCATTTTACCTTGCTGAGCTGACTGAGAAAATTGCTCAGGATGATAGGATTCCAATACTGAGAGCCTCCCAAGCAAAGTTAAAGGTAAATTATGTTCATCAGCAGTAATCTTTTATTTCTGAATTGAACGTTGGCCTTTTATGTGCGTAGGAATGTGCATTGTTGTTGAAAGGATTCATTTTTAATAGTTGATGGAAAAAGATACTGGTTTTGGTTTTTGATCAGAAAAGGGAACTTAAAATTGCTTGGGGAGCAATATATATACCTGGCCAATTGAGTTGGATCTCATTGGCACAAACTTCTAGTGCTAAAAGATAGAACCCTGCAGGAATTCATTGCGTTCTGTGAGGTAATGGAACTTGCACCCGTGGAGGAGCTGCAGGCATCATTGCAAGGAGGTCCAAATTCAGTTGTGGATCGTAGGGCTCAAAAGGTGCTTTGATTTCCTGTGAAAGTTTCTTGAAATTTCGACCAACATATTAATTTTTCCATATTTCTACAATTGATGTATGAATTTGTTCAGATTGCTAGGTTCAAGCGCCAAAAAGCTGCTGAGGCGAAGTTGCTGGAAATAATGGAGCGGAAAGAGAGACGTGGTCGTTCAACTAAGGCTTCTGCATTGTCGACACCTGTTGAAGCTGGAGAAGAAGACCTGCTGGATGATGATGGAGAAGAAGAAAGGGAGGTATGCTGTCATGGCTATAATTGTTATATATCCCTTGAGGATATTAAAGATTTTGAAGTTACTTGTCTGACTCTCTATCCCTGTGTGATGCAATCTGCTATGGACTTAACATTTCTCTGCTGGTGCTAGATTGTGTGGACCAATTCTCTATGTTTTACACTTTGTACCCCCTGTATTACAACTAGGAGACAGCCATGTCCTCCTAAGGCTGCAATAATACTTGATGTGATGCCTTTCTTTATCTTTACTCTAGACGTTAGTATATATTCTTCGACTTGAGGGGTTTTTGTTTTCTTTTGAATAGATTGAACGATTCTAAACTCATTCAACATTGCGGTGGGGGCTTTGGTTGTTTAGTAATACTCATGTTTTGATCACCTTGTGCAGGCTTGGCTTACAACCATATCGCTGGCTATCTGCAAGGTTGGTGTTTCATCCCATTTGATCTGCTTGAAATGGTAAAGTAGACAGGTAGTATTGAGAGCTTCAAGTCACCATATGACCGTGTCATGTAACCACAGGCTCTTGATCTATTTGAAATGTTGAAGAAAGAAGACGAGATGCTTTCTGCTGTTAGAGAAAGACAATTGAAGGTAACATATACTTAGATTCACAGCTTGAATGGTGTTTCAACTACTTGCCAAAGATTGATTTTATTTGATATTGCAGGAAGGAGATACTGAGTTTTCTCAGGCAGTGCTTAATGAACGAGCGAAGAAAGCAGAGTCATGGCATCGTGGTGCTGCCACTCGAGTGCAGTTTACAAAACCTTCCCCTCCAATCACATGTGCTACCTTTGCTCAAGATGTACTAGAAGGACGAGCAACTGTTTCCCAGGCACACGATCACAAGCACCAGCCCATGATATTTGGGCCAGCAAGCCTCATTAACTCGCGCCCAACAAACGAGAGAGAAAGGATCGCTGCGCAGGTCTTCCAACCTGGTCACAGGTACATCTATCTCGACATATTTATCCTGTCCTTACTGAGGTCTTTAGCTTACTTAATGAGTCTTCTTTTCTGATATTGGGAAACTTTACCTTATGTGTAATAAGGTTGCCGACAATGAGCATAGAAGATGCTGGGTTGGCAGAGATGGAGATCATGAACAAATGGCAAGAGAGAAATGTTAAGATGATGGAAGAAGCCAACTCCGCCTGGTACAAGGACAACAACATCGGGAAGCCGAGATCAGGTGAAGAGGAAGAAGATGAAGACGACGATGATGCAGTTGCACGGGCTAGAGCGTTTGACGATTGGAAAGATGAGAACCCTCGTGGTGCGGGCAACAAGAAGCTGACCCCTTGCGGCTGATGTCGCTCACTCTCAAGTGTTCTTTTCTGTTCGCTGAAGAGAACAACGATCCATAAGCCTGGCTTAGATGATGTAATGTATCTTATGAAATTTTGATGTGGCACCATTGATACCAAGTATTCATGTTTTAGAAACAAAGTTTTAATCTCAGTACTCTTTACTTATGTGTAATCCTCCAAAACAGTTTAATCTTATCATAATAACTTTCTCAGTATCACAACTTCGGGTGTCGCATTTGAGTCTCCATTAAATTCTCTGCATCTCTGTTCTTTAATGCAGAGTTTGAAAGACCAGTATGCATGTAAGCAATAAACTATATACACTAAAATTCCACAGAAGAAGAATAGTTCAGAAGGATGAATGAAGGAATCCATTTTATGGAGAAAAAAACTATGCATTTGCAGCAACCCCCTAAAGAGGGAGAAAAATCCCCTCCATGAAACTGAAAAAAACCAGCTTCTTTTGTTCTTCCTTCTGGGAGATCAAACAGTCCCTGTTTTCATGTATATGCATCTCTTCTTCCAATGTATACAAAGCTCATGTGTACAGAAAATGATAAAAACATTGAATCAGGATCCTTCCTCCTTTCTTCTTCTTCTTCTTCTTCTTCTTCTTCTTCATTTTGATTCAATCTTTGATCATCTATCCATCAATACAGGTGAACCCTCTGCAAACCCACAACCAGACGAAGAACAGAACAGCACAGATCACCAAATCCAACGTCAAAACCACCCACACATGCTTCCTCCACATCTGCTTCGCCTTCTGCCTGCTCTCCAGCATGTAAAGCCCGCCGCTTTTCGGCGACATCGCCACCGAGAACTCTCTAGCATGGTTTCGCCCACCACCATCAACACTCCTATTCTCACCCATCAACACGCCGCCACCACCATTCATCATCATCTTGCCGCCATGATCGCTCATCCCTCCGCAGCTCAAGCCGCTCCCGTCTTTCCCCCTGCGATGGCCGCCGCCGCTGCTGCTCTTATCCTCCATTCCCCCAATAGAGCAAACCCCAGACGACCTTTTCTTTTTCTTCTTCAGCAACGGCACCGTCTTCTCCTTCGTCGAGTCCATGCTAGGGTTCCGGCTGTCTTTCGACGTGGTCTCCGTCAGGGAATCCATTCCCAGGTCCAAATCCAGAGCCAGGATTTCCCGGAACTGGGGGGAGAACTCCGCCTGGAAGCAGAGGGAGGTTAGATTCTCCAAATCCCTAACGGAATTCGACGCGATGAGCTCCAAGAAGGAGATTTTAACCCGGTCGATGAACCAGGAGGACTCCAGCTTCGCGAGATCGTGGTGGTAGACGGCGAAGTAGACGAAAGGGTCGTCGATGAGGAAGGTGTAGGTCTTCTTCTTGGCGGTTTGTGAGAAGGTCGTGTGGTGCGGCGGCGGCGCGATCCCGATGCATTTGTGGGCGATCTCCTCGATCCCCGGCTCCGCCGTCGGGGAGGCGAACTCGGCGAGGATTGTGGATCCTTTGGCAATGCAAGCGTAGAGGATCAGATCTGGGTTCGAAATCATTTGAACCCCTGTTTTTCTTCCGATTCCCTGATAGAACTGAATTCGATCAAGATATTACCCGCCAAAATTGGCGGCGGCGGCGGCGGTGGGGATAGAGGAAGGGATTGAATTTGAAACGGACGGGAAGCGATCAGGCATTTGAAGCAGAGGGATGGGAGGGAGAAGGGAAAGGAAGGGATTGATTAGGGAACCAGATATTGATCGAAGAAGTTTTCGGGTTCCCGGGAAAAATGGATTCTTTTCTCAACCATGAATTTCTGTTTGAACTGTGCAGATAAGCATTTTGATTCCTTTTTTCTTCTTCCTCTGTTTTATCTGTTTCTTCTTCTTCTTCTTTTCCCCCTCTTTCCTTCTCTCTCTCTCTAGAAATGGAGTCGAGAGGAAGAAAGGGAGAGGGACAGGGGGAAAGGGAAATGGGGGTTTGGGTTTTGATCAAACCAACTGTTTAACGGCTTCCCATTTTGTTAGCTCAAACAAATAAATCATTTTGTTAAACAAATCATTTTGTTAAACAAATTCTCATTCCTCTCTCTTCAAAGATATAACCTTTTAACCGAATTGGAATCGAGACATTACAACGTGAACCCTCGAATGAATATCAAATATAAGTACAAATCGATTTTTCAAAACAAATATATCGTTTATAATAAGTACATAAATGAGATTTAGGGGTCGTTTGGAAGTTGCGATAGTTTTGTTGAGATTGTCATTATGCATGTATTGTTTACAATGCATCGTTTTTTTTGTTTTTTTAGCAGAAACAATACATGGATTGTTTCTGTGATGTGACAGAAACTATCACTCGTTTTGAGTGATTGTTATATCTCAACTGTTAGTTGTGATTGTTGAGATTGTTGAGTTGAGATTGTTTTGTCTCAGTTTTTAGCTTATGCGACATACACAATCTCACATACCAAACGTTGTATTCTACATTGCATCAAATTCGACAATACATGTATAATATTATACATGCATTCTCAACAATACATCTATTTAACAATCGCAACTTCCAAACGACCCCTTACTCTATCTGAAGGGACAAAACTTTCTAGTTCTTACTTCAGTTCTTTTGACATTTTATTCCGTGTATGAGAAGGTTTTGACGTTCATTTAGAGATCTCCGGAGGATGAAAATTAGATTGTTTAACGATTTATGCCGGCTACTGAAAGCTTATTGGCCTACTTGATTGGCCTCTTCTTTGGATGGTTCATCAAAGGAAAGGGTGGAAATATAAAGAAACTGGCATGTGGAAGTGGTGGAATGATAGAGAGCACAAAGAAAATGGCAAAGACCACCAAACAATCTGTCAATCTTTCTATCTAGTAAAATCAATCAAATCAAATGTGTACAGCTTGAAGCTAACAACCCACGTACAAAAATTTGATTAAAATAGAATCACCTGGTAATGGAACCCACAATCACATCAGATTGTGCTGCTAAAACCAGGTCCTACCATCTAACAAACGATATAAGAACTATAGCAATAACACTAGGGAGTGCTGAGTAATGGAAGCCTGCTAGGCCAGCAAAAGAGGATTTTGTGAAGGTTCTTCTGTCTGATGAAAGCTAGCTTGATGTAGTTGCTGTTGTTGTGGTGGTTGAAGTAGCAGTCCTCTGGTTTTCTAACAGTAAGGGGGATCGATGAAGGCCCATTCGAAGACCTGCTCGTATTGGACAGCAGCATTCTCCCATGAGTAGTCCTTCTCCATGCCTCTCTTCATCATCCCTTCCCACGACTCTTTGTGATCTCTGTATGTCGATATCGCAGTTCTCAATGCCTGCAAGCGCACCAATTACCATTCACAGATAATGGTTAGAGTGGGACCAACCGGGTTCAGGAGGGCTGTAGGCGAAGGTGCTTGCTTTAGAAGCAGTTTCCATGAATGGTAAGAAACACCAACTTACCCATAACATGCTGTCTACTGCTAATGGAGAAAATGTCCACCTGTCAATACATCGGACTAGTCAGGATAATCGTCGAACAACATTAGGAGCTGAAAGATCAGCCAGGACACAGGGCCTAAAAGGGAAAACACGTACCCTGTGCCATCACCTTGACCGTCGTTAGCATATGGATCGAACGTCTGCACAGTGTCCTGAGACAACAATGAACACATTATTTAGTACAGCATATAACAGTCATAGAGACCATTTCTGTTCTTTCTTTTACTTTCTTTATATGAACACGACTCACTCGAAGTCCTCCGGTGCCATGAACAACTGGAATAGTTCCATATCTCATTGCATACAACTGATTTAGTCCGCAGGGTTCAAATCTCGAGGGCATCAGCAGTATGTCACAACTGTAACAATTCCACACGAGCTCCATGATTAGTCTAACTAGCATTTCTAGTAACTAATTTGTCTATGAAACACGGAGATAAGCTTCGATTATTACCCTGCAGTTATTCTGTGGGAAATCGGAACATTGAATCCAACCCAACCCCGGAATTTGTCTTTATGAGCTGCCTCTGCTTCTCTCATCCAGTCTTCATACATTTTAGCTCCAGACCCAAGCATAACCTGATGCAAAATGGAGATTATTTTTTTCAGTTGCTTCAAAGGACATCATCATTCAACTAGTACTCATAAAGTAGAATAAACTCAAGAGATGAACTCACTTACGAATTGAACATCATCATTCAGAAGTTCAGGAATTCCCCAACGAATAAGGTCAACACCCTTTTGGTAGTCTAATCTCCCTATGAATCCAATCTACAATGCAAGTGAAAAATTTCAACAAGCAACAGAAGAGAAAACTTCAATTTCCAACAAAAAAGCACAAACTTTATCGATACTTTACCAGGGGACATTCAGGTCTCACAGGAAGACCTAATTCCTTCTGCAAAGCAATCTTATTTTGAACCTGCATATTGGAAAGAAATACTGGTAAGAGGGCATTTTTTCTTGACAACTACTTAACAGAGAAAATGGGAAGATACCACCTTTCCAGAAAGATCATCAGCAGAATAATGGGCTTCTAAATGTTTATCGCTCGATGGATTCCATTCGTTAACATCAATGCCATTCGTGATCCCTAAGAAATAGATTGCAAGGGAGGAATCAAACGAATAAAGTTGGAGGAGGAAAGAAATCAAATGTAACAGATGATTATGAAGTTTGAATGCGCACCATTCAAAACAATCCTTCGACTGCTTAACAACTCATTAAGACCGTATCCACCTTCAACAGTCGTTATTTCCCACGCATACCCCTGAGAGGTTATCATATCACCAGAAAATATGTGAGCATGATATTCTAGGAAATCAAACAGCAAAACTAAGGCATATAATTTAGAAATTATTTCACCTTGCTAACAGTCAATATCCGGTCCGATGTCACAATAGCACCCTTTAGCACATTGATCGCTTCACCTGTGTCAAGAGCATGGGTCCTTGCCCATTCAGGGAAAACCCATCCCAATGCCCCATACCAGTCTGGAGATAACCCTAGATTACCATAAGTTGCTGCTGGCTCTACTCCCTTCGACGCAGAAGAAGAAAAAAAACTTGGTTATGAAGCTATTGGTCACCACATAGGCCTTTTGCAAACATAAAAATGTACAGCTCCTGAAACAAACTTGCTGCAGAAATTTAACTACCAAAATATAGCTGAAGTAAGCCTACCTGATGAGCAAGATTGTGTATCACAAGAATACATCGAGCATCCTTATAAACACCATATGGACGGTATTTACCAGCCAAAAGTCTGAACCAAAGGAATAGCCAAAATGAACATCCACAGTAATTTTCTAGCACCACAGAAACCCTTCTTCTAGGAAGAACACATTCTTCATTCAAATTAATGGCGAGTTGATATTCTAGCGAAACAACAATCTCAAGCAAACTATATATGTGTCTAAGGTGAATAAGGGACGATCACTTACACAGGAACCAAGCCAGCATGCCAGTCATTGACCATGAATAGGCATTTCTGGCCATAGTTGAAACCTCCAAGTGGGAGCACTAGTGGTGCTTCACATGCTGCGTAGCAGAGTAAAGCGAACCGAAACTGCATATAACCAACAAGAAAGCCATTGAAAAATCACGAAATTCAACAAATCGGGATCCAAAACTAGGCAGCATTCTAAAAAACCCCAGCACTAGTGGTGATCACAAAAGTACCTGGTTATCACCAAAAGCACCATTGATGTCTCCATAAGGATTCCCCGGCCTATGGTAAGAAGGATGGTCTACAAATACCTAAACGAAACACGTCCACCGAAACTAAATTACTACCAATTCACAAACTATCGACGAGTTTAGACTATAGAATCAAATGGAAACGGAAAGAAATTCACCCAATCAACTAGGTCTCTGTACTCATGGAAAAAGGCCACTTCTTGCTCTCCTCCAAAGCAAGCAATCTTAATCCTACAGTCAGCATCTAGAGCAGCGGCAAAGGTATCGTCTTCAGGGCTATGTAAATACCTTGGAGAGACAACCATCACACGGTGGCCTCTGGCAGCCAGTGCAATCGGCAATGAGCCACAAACATCTCCAAGCCCACCCGTCTTCGAATACGGCGCCGCTTCAGAGGTGACAAAGACAATACTGTGTGTCACTTTGGTCGGAGCTCCGTCTGCCCCTTCAATGTCGCCATCGGTCTCCTCTACCTTCTCAGAATTGACCTCTGCAGGAGCTTCAGTTGCCACCTCACTGGCATCACCTGAGCAGGATAAATAATCAATTCACATTTAGAATCATTGCAATACAGAAATCAAAACAGATCATTCTAGTTGAACCAAATGAAAATTCGGAGAGTGTGTTACCAGTGAGAGGGTGAGAAGAAGAGGTCAAATTGAAGCCAACAACGGAACCGGAATCATCGGTCTGAGGATCAAGCACGAAACCCTTGTTTTCTTCTTCTTCTTCGTGCAGTTTCTGCTTCTTCCCAATTTCAGTTTCGTTATCAGGCATACTCGATGTGGGCGAAGAAGTGCCCTTGTCAGAAGCAACGGCAACCAGCTGCGGGAAGCCGACATTGCCGCCGCGGCTTCTGCCACCGGAGAAGTGAGCAAAACCCAGTTGGCTGATCGGCTTGCCTTTGATCTTGGCGGGTTCGCCGTTGGGAAAGGATTGAACCCAGTATCTGACTGACAGGGCCTTCATCGGAGCGAAATGGGAAATCTTCTTCCTTTCTAGAACAAAAACAGGGGAAGAGAAGGTTTGAGTGAAGTAGGAGAGAAGGGATCAAGGAAGGAATGGTAATCAGGAAAAGTGGAAGTGGTGGGATGGGAGAAAGGAAAAGAAAAATGGAAGAAAAGAGGAAGGAAGGAATAATGACTGCTACTAATAATGGAAGAAAAGAGAGGGTTTTCCCTCAATCTGTTTGTTTTCTCGGAAATGGGAACCAGACGAGAGGAAGAAAAGGAGGGGAAGTTGGCAGAAAAACCGCGAAAGCCTAACAGCCATTTTAAGCCGTCGATTTTCTTCTTGGTAGGGTTTGGACCTCTTATTTTCGTTGTACCAGAGATGATGCGTAGACGGTCGACCACAGCAAAAATCTCCTGATATCTTGCTAGCTAGTACGAGCCATGTCGGCAACACCAAAAGCATGATCCATGAAATCGTATTGGAGACTATATAGGAGACCGTCAGTGGTAGGGTATTTTACGGCAAAATCGTGGTTCAACCATTATTAATACCGTTAAATACTGCCTATCGATTTAGCTTCTGATACTGGTATTTTGTGGTTGAACCGCCGATACGGTACGGTTTAATGGACCATGCCCCGAATCCAAAAACTACACTAGAGTAGAGAATTACACATCCTTGCCTTTTATTTTTTGGTCATGGAGGACAAAGTTCATTGTATGGGATACACTCAAACTATCCTTTTGAGCAAGGTTTAAGAAACCTATGGTACTATCTGGTCGGACCGAAAATGTTGGAGACCAAATCTATATTGGTAAGTGGTTTTGGACTCGTAGAAAATGGCTGAACTATTGTTGAACTAAATTTTAATACAAAATATTCTACTACTCACTTTTTCCTGTATAACCTCTGGTACTGTTTCATAGTCCTTGTTTTTTAGTGAAATTCAGTGGTTTCACTAATTTCAACTGATTCATGTAATTTTGCCACAACAGTATACACGAGAGCAAAATTATACATGTTTTTCGGTTTTCACTTATAAAAGCAGAAAACAAAAACTACAAAACGATACTGAACATTTTTTTTTTGGGTATAATATCTGATATACAATAATGATTTGTGACTCTTTTGACTTATCTAACTCATTTGTACTCTTGATGGACGACTTAAAATGTTATGCATCAATTTATTTAATTACAAGCCCACTTTCCCTTTTTCCCCCATAATACACATTATAGTAACCATTACAATTAAATAAAAAAATTAAAACACCAAATGTTTCATTACATAGCCCTTCTGGTGGCTTAATGATATCACTAAGCCAAAATAAACGTTAATAAAAACAACATTTAAATTAAATCAAACCCAATACACACACATATTTCATATTTGTATGTATGCATGTGTCATCTTCATTCATCACCCAAAATCATGCCTCCAGGCTCCAACCGTGGCCATCAATCCCCACCGGCAGCCTCCACTCGTCGCCGCCGGCGCTCGAATCCGAGCTGTACCCAGCCGGCAGCCGCCTCGAGAGGAACCGCAACGCCGCGCTCGTCTTCGGGCTATTGGCCACATGGTAGATCGCCGTGCCACCGCCGGAGCTAGAAGAGTCGCAAACTGACGACGACGACCCGACGACATGCCCTCTCTTCGTCGACGAGTTCCACTGCGGGGTGTATGGGCTCACCTGCTTCACCGGGCCCATATTGGCACGGGCCTTGGCCTTAGCGGACTGGGTCGGAGCCATGTAGCTGGGCACGTGGTTGGGCGTGGGTGGGGCCTGCTGTCTTCTGGGCCGGGCCGAGTACAAGTGGCTGCCGCCTGCTGAGTCCATGACGCCTATGCTTATGTTGCCGATCCCGCTGCCGGCGGCCGTGGTCGGCGTGGCGACGTCCATCTCCACCGTCTTCTCTGATAAGTCGTCGGTCGTGGTGGTGGTGGTTGTGGTGGTCAACGTCATGTAGGAGTTGTCGGTTGGGCCGAATCGACCGCCGTGGTATGGTTGGGAAGACATCCAGCGTTCTAGCCAGTTCCAGCCCCACTGGGCTTTTGCTTGCTCTTCGCTGTACAGGCCAAGATCCATTCCGTTTGGGCCGGGCTGCGGTTGCTGCTGCTGCTGCTGCTGCACTCAGTTTGATTAACGTCATTTTCAAGTGGGAAACCATACAATATTAGATGAGCAAGTACAAATGGTAGATGAAACCGAAATAGAGATGTGCAACGGTTGGGTCTGTGGTCATATCGAATTGCGAACGATCGAAATGATTTTTATTGATTTTAAAAACAAATATAAAAGTGCTTGAATTTCAATTTAATTGTATTCCACATTTGTTATTGTTTTTTTTTAGTTTTTTTACATCTGGTTTTTAACATGGTGTTATAATAAGTTAGATTAGACACGACGAGTAAAAATTCCTATGCAAAACTGGAACTTTAGAAGCATCAATTTTTAAAATAAAGAGAAAAAGTGTATTAAATCATGCTAGTTGTTTGAACAGATAATTCTCATGTATCATGCTAGCTGTCGTTCAGATCATGACTACCAAAATGAAGCGAGGTTTTACCTGATAGGAATATGCATAAGCAAGGGCCCTCTCCCTCCGAACGACAGCTTCGTGTTTCCTCACAGCATTCTCCTTCATCTTATCAAAGGTCTGGCGCCGGTTATCCCAGCTCTCCACCACGCAGCTCTTCTTCAACGGACTCCTCGAATTCATCAAGTGATCTTGAAACGACGACATTCCGCGCCCACGATCATCCTCCTCCTCCTCCTCCTCATCCCGTCGCTCCTTCGAGTACAGCTTCTCGCGAGTCAGGTGCATCCGTCGGGCTCGAACCCTCGCCTGAACTCGCACCAGGGCTTGCATGCACCTCATCGTCATCTGCGCCTGCTTCCTCACGTTGTGCCCTCTCACCAGGGCTTGCAGCCTCACCAATCCCTTCAATGCCCGCAACGCACGCCTAGCCTGCACAAAAAAAAAAAGAAGTGTCACATCGTCTCTGTAACAATGGAGGTCTCTAGGAGTTAGGACCATCAACATCTAACCTGAAAGCAGGGGAGGTGGCAAACTAAATGAACAAGGACACAAAACCACACTCCACTAGACCTAATTAAAAGCTATAGTCACGCATTGCTTGGCTCAGAAGGCATCTTTTTTTTTTTTTTACATCTCTTTTCTCTTGTGTCATCGCAGTTAGGATGCCTTGAATGGCACGGCAATATGATGAAAGTAAACATAGAAAGGGACGACATATCAATCTTAATTAAATTTGGTCAGGGGAAGGAGAAGATTTACAAGGTAGCCTCTGTAGTGGGATTGAATGAGGGTAGCGGCTCGGTCTTCTCTGGACTGACGGCCGTACCCGGCGAGCCGGATGACTTTCGCTGCGGCCTGAGCAGCTGCAACGGCGGCTTCCGCCGCAGCAGCTGTGGCCGCAGCGACTGCAATGGCGTGGTTCCTGTCCCCGGAGACAGGGGTCGTCGTGCCGCCGGTGGTGGTGTCGTCCTCGTTCGTGACATGATCAGGGGAGCTCTCTGCCGCAGGGAAATGCTCGAACGAGACTACCTCTGGCGCCTCTTGCTGCTCCCATTTCTCACCACCACCACCACTGTTCTCCTTCTGCAAAAGAGATTACAACGGATTTGACTAAATTAGTCGCTACGCGTAATTCAGGAAGGGTTACAACTTACAACCAGATTAAAATTTGGTCACGACTGTTATGCGGTATGTGTGCAAATATGTTGAGCAAACACAAGAAACCTATAGAATGACACGTTGATTCTAAATTCTCGCTCGAAATCGGAACTTCGTCGGAGATTCGTTAGAGGGTAGGGTTTGTGGGGAGTGGGTTGATGGTGATGAAACAGGGGAAAGGGGGGAAAGTTGCACATGGATGTTAGGAATCCAGCAAGGGAGTGGAGTGACAAGAATGTGTCAAGACAAAAGGGAGTGAGGGGGTCAGGAACAACTTTTTAATGGTGGTGGCCTAGTGGTGAATTGATGGTCTGATTGACACAAAAGGGACCATCAGTACTACTAACTGCATATTGGAAACAGAGCTATGTAGCTTCACAAGTAAAAACAGGCCTAAAAATGCCATCTTTTACCTTGCTTCCTGCTTATTGGGATGTGATTAAACAAACCCAGAAAGAAAGAGACAAGAGAACCAAGAAAGAAAGTCCAAATCAAATCAAGCACACACATAAGAACCAAGAATGTCACCTTTAACCTTGCTTCTTGGTTATTGGGATGTGATTAAACAAACCCAGAAATAAAGAGACAAGAGAACTAACAAAGGAGAGTCCAAATCAAACACACACACATAAGACCCATGAGTTCATTTATGGCGCAAGGCTCTGTTATGGGGTGCATTGTCACGTCCTAATTGGGATTGATGGAGAACGTTAATGAATGATTAATTAACCTCTTCCACAATCTGGAACTAATGGTGGAGAAGATGGCGGTTACCTTTTTCTGGGGCGAATCCTTATTGGATGAAGATTTGAAGACTTTCTTGACGGAATAGAACCATCCACCGCCGCCGCCGCCGCTTTTCTTACCCATTCTCCGCCGCCCGGCGTTCAGATCGACCTTAATCAAAACCTGTCTAAATGGGAATCTGAAAACCAAAGCAAAAAAAAACCCAATTCGATAACGAAGAAGTTAAGTGGGAAGGAGCTTCATAGTCGGCAGTGAACACCAAGGGATTGAGCTAGGATACCTTGAAAGAGGGAGATCCTTAAGACCCAGAAGTGGATTCGGCGCGAGTGAAGCTTTGCTGACCGACTATGCCCTCGCATTTCCTTCTTCTTCTTCTTCTTCTTTGCCTCTTACTCTGTTTCGTATTCCTATGCGTAACTGCTCACCTCATGTTTTTCGAATTCTGTTTTCGTTTTTGTTTTTTATTTCTCCCTCTCCGTGGTGAGAATCAAGCCGGAGACAATGGCTCTGGTTCTCCGGGCTAGCTTCAGAGGCGACTCGAGAACTAGAAGTAGAAAGGAAGGAGGAGAGTGGGGAGTAACTGTCGAGCGGTGGGATCGCCGTTACCGTATTTATCAGAATCACGGTCGCGCCTTTTTGCAAACCTACGCCTTTAATTTCCCTTCCGTCTCTTCTCTCTCACGCGCCAGTCTTACCCAATTGTCTTTCGACATCTGTCCCTCCCGATCTCCTGATATATCCCGATTTTGTTTTTATTTTTCTTTCGCCTTTGTTTTTTAGTGAACAGAGATGGCCAGTGAACTTATGATTACTGACAAGTTAGTCACTGAATTTGTTTTTTTTTGTGTAACTTTGTCAGCCAAAATTGAGTGACCAATTTGTTAGTGGTCCCAAGTTTAGTGGGTATTAAACTATTAATATAACGACCCACCATTTTTATGCTAAAACAAAACGATGATGATGGATTGGAGGAGGAGGTGATATAGCTAAGATTGGTCCAATAATCATGCATGCAAGAAGTGGTCGTCAAGCAGATCCGATAAGACATCATAGAAGACTTGATTGGTGGTCCGGTATTGCGAGAGTGTTGTCAGATCATTAGCTCTTTGTTCATTTGTATAGAGTTTAGGGCGGTTCCTAGAATTGCCAACAGTGTTGCCCATAGAGTGGCGAGTAAAGCACTGCTTTTGTCTCGTCTAGAGCTAGAATCTTTCGATTTTTTGGGGTGGCTTCCTTAGATTATATTGTAAGGGGTCCTGGGTAGATTTGTATGAATAACTCTTGTCTTCTATTGATATCACTCAGAAATAAAAAAAAAAATAATAAAGATCCTGTAAATTCAATCAAGCTAGTTTACTAGTAATCAGTTTTTTATAATAGAAGCCTCCTTTTATAAGGACCGATGACATATACACATTAACATTTGATACGGGTTTGGATTGTACGTTACTTTCAATGTTGTTTCAACGGTAAAAGTATTTTTTTTTAATGTAAGAGGTTCTACATCATATGTGAAATCAAAAAACCAAAACTAATATTGACCGATCACCAACCAACCCACCATCTCTGCAGTGCATCGACACATAAGGTCCTTGTAATTATCTTTTTATTGTGTTCCGAGTGATTTGAATATTGTTTCTTGACTTATCTACGAAGGTATTTAATCCAATACTGACGACCTCGTATTTGGTTGGAATTGGCATAGGTGCCTTAAAAAAGAATTAAAAATTTATGGTACGTAGTAGCAGGTAATTAAGTCAGGTTTAAGGCTAGACTAGAGCCCGATTAGTTGGGCTAACGACGGCATGTATTGCTTGGATTAGAAGTGATGACTCATTACAAGATTTATAGATTAATCAAGTTGTTGAATACGAGTAGTAGTAAAACGAGGAAGCGGGAGGGTCGATATATCGTTAGGTTTGTAATTGCAAACTTTGCTTTTACAAAGCAGGGATCGACGGCGACACGACGACAAAGGTCTTTGACTCTTTGTTCGGATGCGGTTTGGTTGGTGATATGGAGCTTTCACCCGATTTATTGCCTTTTTCACTACGACGAAAGATCGACTTGGATAATCGACACCCATGAGCAGAGAGTCCTTTTGTCTTCAGCTGTGTTGTGTATTATGGTATGGCGAAAGGGCAAAAGTTTGGTGGGTGATATGACACTCTTAACTCTTAAGTTTGGGACCAACACAAAATGGTTTAGGGTTCCGGACCATTTTTTTTATTGCCCTAGTGTTGGGGTTGTTGTGCACGATGTGGGAAGGTGTAGTAGTGTAAGAGACCTTGCATGAGCCGAGCTGCTAGTTGTTCGAGATGTTTTGTTTTCTTGTTGTGTGTCGTGGGGGAGAGTTTTCGAGGCCGACGACTTTGTTGATGCACATTTACGAAGTATACGGAGTGTGTGAGACGATTCGGGAATGACATGTGTGGTGGTATGATGTTGTTGCAGCAGGGGATTGTGCTATGCGGCATGACACGAGTTGCGAGTTGACTTGTCCGTGAAGTGGCATGAGAAAGTCTTATGTTCCTTTTTTTTTCTGATCTAGGTTTGGAGGAGTTTTGTATGACTTTGTTGGGTGTCGCGTGGGTGTTATAAAATGTTGTTACTGTATGCATATGAAATCCATCGTTTTCATCCACACAAAAAAAATCATCGTTCCATATGAAGACATTAGGAGCAACAATATGGTGCCATTTATGGGGTGAGACTTCAGCTCGATTTTCCCACTTTATACCGATATGCCAGACTTTAACGGTTTCGGCTGACCGTAGTTGCGAAGATCCCATAATGGTTCAGTTTTGGTATGAAGGAGCTAAAAATCAAAAGGATTAGTGTGTTGTGTTTCTCAAGATCGTTAATGGGTTTAATTTTCAGCTTTGTATCGGTTTTGAAACGAAACAATAACCAACAACCGCAGAACGTTTGCATACAGTTAACAAAAACAATAAGAGGATCCAAATAGGAATGACAATTTGAATCCGTCCCGCCGGGTATTACCCGACCTGACCCGCAATGGGGCGGGATATGGGTATCAACTTCCGACCTGTCCTGCCCCGCCCCGTCCCATTCTAGGTCAATTTCTACCCCATCCTTTCATATATCTCCTATTTTGGTTTCTCTTCGACTGGTTAGATTTTATATTTCAATTAAATAGACTCAATTACCCATTATATTATCACTATTATTCATTCATAAAGTTTTTTCTTTTTTGTTTTTATCATGAAAAACAAAATTTTATGTGTATTTTTATCAAGGCCAATACTACAGTGCCGCTATTAAAAATGCGGCACCGGTGCCGCACTCTGTGATTCGTCCACCTGTACATGACATGGCGCTGATTTAATTTATTAAATAAGGCCATACCCAATAAACCATATGACCGGCCCAAACCAGCAGCTCAGTCTCCAGAGTGACGGAGAACCTATATGCCGTCTTCCCACTTCCCGACCGTTTGCCGTTATTTTATTTTCATTTATTCAGTTAAAACTCGTTTAAATTTTAAATGCATATATTTCTGATTTCTCCAAGAAGCGAACACAAAAAGCAAATGAAAAGGCAAAAAAAATTGAAACTCCTTCACCGTGTTCCTCCTCCTACATTCATTCTGCAAAACAATTCGATGAATCTCTGATTCCTCTCTGTCTCGGTCGAGCTGCTCTACTGCCACCGTACAAGACGATCTGATCCTTCCCTCTGCGTCGTCCCTTTCGGGCTGCGCGCCCGATCCCACTGTCGGAATCGTGTAAAAACCCAAAGTTGGTTCGTTGTTCATCATGGAGGAATGAGAAGAGCCCATGCTTGAAGGAAAACAGGATATGCAACTTGCAAGGCGTTGTTTGCTCTTTTTTTTTGGGTGAAAGTGTTGTTTGCTCTTTAGAAAGAAAGAAATCATGTCCCATGTGTAATGTGTTGCAATTATAAAGCCTGTAAATTAAACTGAAGGTATATAGTGTGAAAGCAATTGGAGGCAAACTGACAATCTTATTCATTGATCGGAGATCAAGCTTTATACACAGGACTCATAACAGAAAAGGCCTCCAGACTCGGCAATGACACTCACAACTAACTACTGGATCCCTGGAGATTAGCTCCAAGCTAACAACCTTGCTCTGCCAACGTAAACCTTCTGCAACGGCTAGATTAGCCCGAGGGACCCTTACAGACTCAAGACAAACAATAGGGACTAAAACAGAAAGACTCCAAACGACACAGCTTAGCAAACAATTAACTCTTAAAACTCAAACGACACAGTTTTGGCTTCAGCACTTTCCTTCTCCAGAAAGGATTCGGATTCACCAACTCTTCAGCAACTCCATCACGCAGCAACTTCAATCCTTGCTTTAACATCCTCCCCTGAACTGAAACCTCCTCATCACAACTTCAGTTCATAACCTGCTGTTCCTCAAAGCCCTTCAGATCTGCTTCATCAATTATACCAAGCCTGCTCCTGAGAAGTTGAAACGCATCAAGCTTTAATGGCTTGGTCATGATATCTGCTATCTGTTCTGTAGTTCCACAGTGTTGCAACTCAATGGCTCCATCTCTGACCAGTTCCCTCAAGAAATGAAATCTGACATCTATGTGCTTACTTCTCCCATGAAGCACTGGATTCTTGGACAATTTTATGGCTGAACTGTTGTCACAGAGAATACTGGTGCATTCCTTTACTCCTCCTTTCCACCCCATCTGTCCCAGCAACCTTTGAAGCCAAACACACTGTGTAGCACAATAGCTGGCAGCAACAAACTCAGCCTCAGTGGTTGAGAGTGTCACAACTGGCTGCTTCTTGGAACCCCATGAGATTGCTCCTCCTGCAAGGAAAAACACATAGCCACTTGTACTTTTTCGATCATCCATATCACCTGCATAGTCGCTATCCGTGTAACCAATCAGATAGTCTTCTTCCTTCAGCCTTTTGTACCAAATTCCATGTGTTGTGGTACCTTTTAGATACCTCAGAACCCTTTTTACAGCTAACAGATGTTGTTTTGTAGGGGCTTCCATGTACCTGCTGAGTAGACATACAGAGTACATTATATCAGGCCTTGTAGCTGTAACATAGAGTAGGCTTCCAATTAGTTGTCTGTATTCAGAGACATCCACTGCAATTCCATCTCCCCCTTTTGACAGCTTGGTACCTGCAACCATTGGATTGTGCACAAAATTGCATTCACTTAGTTTGAATTTCTCGAGCAGCTCCTTGATGTATTTCTTCTGATTGATGAAGATTCCTGACTCAGATTGAGAGACTTCCACACCCAAGAAATACTTCATCCTCCCCAGATCAGTCATCTCAAATTCTGCTTCCATGGATGCCTTGAAATCTGCAAGCATAGTTGAGCTATTTCCAGCATACATCAAGTCATCGACATAAAGACTTACAAGCAAGAAGTCACTGCCAGACTTTTTAATGAATAGAGTAGGTTCATATTCACATCTTTCAAAACCTGTCTGCAGAAAATGAGCCTCAATTCTTGCATACCAGGCTCTTGGAGCCTGTTTCAAGCCATACAGTGCTTTTTTCAGTTTGTATACCTTGCTTTCCTCCCCAGCAACCTCAAAGCCTTTAGGTTGCTCGACATAAACATCTTCAGTCAACTCACCATGCAAAAAAGCACTTTTAACATCAAGTTGAAATACTGTCAGACCTTGAGATGCAGCCAATGCTAGAAAAGCTCTGATGGTATCCCACCTGGCCACTGGAGCAAATACTTTAGTATAATCCACTCCATACCTTTGTGCATAGCCTTTGACAACTAACCTTGCTTTAAACTTGTCCACAGACCCATCTTCTTTGAGTTTTGTCTTGAAGATCCACTTGACTCCTATTGGAGTCACACCAGCAGGCCTGTCCACCAGCTCCCAGGTATGATTTCTTATGATTGCATCAATTTCTTTCTTCATAGCTTCCCTCCATTTTTCTTCCATGACTGCATCTTCAAAGGTTTGGGGATCAGTAGTAACTGCTATATTGATCCAGCAGTCAGCATCTGCAAAGTATCCTGTGCAATCATAATCCTTCAAATAACTGGGGACCACCCTCTTTCGTTTCCCCAATGTCTCTTCTGCAGGACTGTCATAGTCATCAGTAGGTTCTTCAGAAGAGGAATCTGAGCTTGGATTTGCAGAAGGTGGTGCTGGTGCAGTGGTGGGACTTGGAGTGGATTCTTCTTCTTCACTGTCTGAGGTAACCTGCTCAGGTCCTGCATTTTGATGGGGGTCAGCAGAGGATCCTTCTTCTTCATCAGAGTCATACCAGGGGTCTTCACTGCCTTCCCAAAAGATTTGAGTGAGAACAGGTTGTATATCTGACTTCCAGCTCCACCCTTTATCTTCATCAAAGACCACATCTCTACTGATTACAACCTTTTTGGTGATAGGATTGTAGAGCTTGTAAGCCTTTGATTCTTTTGAAATCCCAATGAAATGACACTTCACACTCTTATCATCGAGTTTCTTCCTCTGCAAGTCATGAACATGTGCATATGCAACACATCCAAACACTCTAAAATGGTCAACTGTTGGAGCCTTACCAGTCCAGATCTCCTGTGGTGTCTTTCCTTTGTTGGCTGCTGTGGGACTCCTGTTCAGGACATGTGCAGTCCATTCCACAGCCTCTGGCCAAAAATTTGAGGGGACTTTGGTGTCCTTCAGGGAGCAACGAACCATGTTCATGATGGCTCGATTCTTCCTTTCAGCAACCCCATTCTGTTGGGGTGTTAAGGCTGCTGTAAGTTGCCTGGTAATGCCTGCTTCTTCACATAGCTGCTTAAACTCATTCAGCATAAACTCCCCTCCTCTGTCAGTTCTAAGACACACTATTGATTTGCCAGTTTCATTCTCAAGTTGTGCTTTAAACTTAGTAAACCAAGTAAGTGCCTCAGACTTAGCAGCTAGGAAAAACACCCAAAGCTTTCTGCTGTAATCATCGATAATGGTTAGGATGTACCTCTTTCCTCCATTTGAGACTGGAGTAATAGGACCACAGAGATCAGCATGTAGAAGTTGAAGGGGCTGACTTGCTCTCCAGGTACTTTTCTTTGGAAATGTAGCCCTATGCTGTTTTCCTAGCATACATGTTTCACATACTCCCAGCTCACCAGTTAGCCTTGGCAAGCCAAAAACCAGCTCTTGTTTCTGCAGCCTCAGCAGCCCTCGAGTATTGAGATGGCCAAACCTTCTGTGCCATAGCTTTAATGGAGCCGTTTTGTTGGCACCAACTTGCAAGCACTGGAAATCTCTCATCATGGCTTCACTGGAATGATTAGCCTGAAGAACAAACATTCTGTTTGCCTTCATGTTTGTCTGCAACAGAAGTGTTCCTTGCTCTCGAAATATCTTGCAAGTGCCATTCTTTATGGAGAATTCCAGGTTCTTTTCCTGTAGCTGCCCTATGCTGAGAAGACTGGTCCTGAGACTTGGCACATAATACACATTCTGTATGACTAGTGGGACTTGACCAACCAGCATTTTGATAGTTCCTTTCCCTTCCACATCAAGTCTACTGCCATTTCCAAGCTTGACATCCCCTTTGAAACTCGTGTTAAGCTTAATGAACCAAGATTTGTCACCAGTCATATGATTGCTGCACCCTGAGTCCAAGAACCACCATTCCTCTAACTTCTTTTGTTGATCAGCCTTGTGTCCATCAGTATATGCCATGAGCAGAACATCATCCTTGAATACTTGATCCGAGGATTCAATGTAGTGTGCTGCTGTGTTCCATTCAGGACATTCACGAATGTAATGTCCCATCTTGTGACATTTGAAGCATTCTACCATTTCACGAGCCCATGCTCTTCCTCGTCCTCTGCCTCTTCCTCCACCCTGGTACCCACTTCTGCCAAATCCCCTGCCTCGGCCTCCTCCAAAGGCTTGTAGTGCCTGCTCTTCTCCATGGGAGTGCCTAGTGAACTTTTGCTCGTGAACTAGCAGCGAGCTTTGCAACGCATCCACTGATAGCTCCCCAATGTCCTTGGATTCTTCAATTGAACACACAATGTAATTGAACTTCTCAGTAAGAGTTCGTAGTACCTTTTCTACTATCTTTGTATCAGTCATATCCTCTCCGCAATTCCTCATTGAATTGGCAATCACCATAACTCTGCTGAAATACTCTGCTACACCCTCTCCTTCCTTCATTTGCAGCAGCTCGAAATCCCTGCGCAGCCCCTGCAGATTGGACTTCTGCACTCTCTCGTTACCCTGATACCGAATCTTCATGGCATCCCAGAGCTGTTTTGCAGTACCCTTCTGAGTGATTGTTTTGAGAATGCTCTTGTCGATTGAGCAGAATAAGTAGTTTTTGGCGTTGAGATCTTTGAGCCGATTTGCTTCCAAAGCCTTGGATTGAGCAGCAGATTGCTCTTCCTCATCAGCAGGCTCATCGAATCCTGGATTCACCACACTCCAAAGTTCCTTCGATCGAAGAAGATTCTCCATCACCAAGCTCCAATGATCATAGTCACCGTCGAATTTGGGAATGCCCACTTGGGCAAAGCTATGATCACTCATAATCAATTCTTTCAGAGCTCTCACCAGGAAAAAAATGCAAGACAACCTCACAGACTCTCGTGTTTCCCTTTAACCCAGATCAAAACGATTTCACACACAGAACTCTCTCTTGGTTACAGCCTGCGATTGCTCTGATACCACTATGTGAAAGCAATTGGAGGCAAACTGACAATCTTATTCATTGATCGGAGATCAAGCTTTATACACAGGACTCATAACAGAAAAGGCCTCCAGACTCGGCAATGACACTCACAACTAACTACTGGATCCCTGGAGATTAGCTCCAAGCTAACAACCTTGCTCTGCCAACGTAAACCTTCTGCAACGGCTAGATTAGCCCGAGGGACCCTTACAGACTCAAGACAAACAATAGGGACTAAAACAGAAAGACTCCAAACGACACAGCTTAGCAAACAATTAACTCTTAAAACTCAAACGACACAGTTTTGGCTTCAGCACTTTCCTTCTCCAGAAAGGATTCGGATTCACCAACTCTTCAGCAACTCCATCACGCAGCAACTTCAATCCTTGCTTTAACATATAGATCTTTTTCCATAACTCAGCCTTTCACACCATTATCATCTAGGATAGATGCTCAGTACTGTACTGTTGCCCACGACTACCAAGTTTGATAGGAGAGAAGCTGAGGTGTACCTTTTTTTGTCTGTGTAAAGCAAAATGTAGCTTTTGTTGAGAATGAAGTACAAGAAACTCGATTAATAGGGTGGTTCTCATTCTACTTACTGGTTAACATCAATACAAAACTACATGTTGTTTGATGTAAAGACCTCAATAATTTGTTAAATTATTGTTGTTTGATGTACAGCTACAGCAACTGGAGGGCTCTCCAGGAACAGATCATCGCAATTCTGCATCTCAACACCCTCCACCTTGATGTAAACCAGTCATGCCTGCAACTGCAACAATTTTCGATCGAAAGTGCAAACCAGTCATGCCTGCTTCTCTAATTTGTCCTTAGAAACTCATCTCTTGTCATTACAAACCTTAGGTTTCCACAGCTAACAAAAACAGGAAACAACAAGCACAGAATTAGAGAAATAACTTACGAAATCACCTACATGAAAGTTAGATATAAGAAATAAACTCTACAAGCTCCTCCATGATGGCTCTGCACCATGATACGACATGTCTAATTGTGTAACATTGTGTTTGTGTCGAGCGTAGTGAACAACAGAGTCGGGCAATGTAGATAATTATGTTTCAAATGCCCATACCAAATGAGCTAAAATGCAGCAAGCATATTACAATACGTGTGAGCAGATAGTGAATAATGCTAGGGCCACCCTAAGCTCTAAGAGGGGCATGTCCTACCCGCCAGTTATCGTGCCAAAGTTGCTTGCTCAGCTGCTGCTCCTGCTAGGTTTTTCCCGGAGGAAACTCGATTCCAAGCATTGCAGTACCATAATATTTCCTCACATCAGTAAAGACACATTCACCAGCCCAGGGATCTGCAAGAACAGAAATAGTTGGGGGAAACTTCCAACTTTTTGTTTAGATGC